GCCTCGTCCATAAGCCCATTTCAGGGCAGCAGAATCCCAGTTGGTACTAGCAGCCAGGGTGTTGAACCGGATGTTGTATTTCCGGATGTTCTCGGTTTCCTTCATCTTCAGATTACCGAGAGAATCTTCGGCCTCGCCTTGGGCGTCGTAAACGCCGAAATTGTCCTGAAGCTCCTTTACAAGGGCTTTGAAGGAGGACGTCCAGGCCGGCAGCGAGTCGAGATCCGGGTCGAGGATATCAGGGACAAACCATTCTTTGGCTGACCCACTGAGATAGGAAAGGGTGTAGTTCACCTTCCTTTGGTCGGTGAAGTACTTTGGACGGTCATTAAAGACCAGGGCGAGATTGACGAAGAACGTCTTGAGTTTTCGGGGATCCGAACCGTCGAATACCTCTGGTTCCTTGACCTTGCTCTTGGATTCAGAGCTGTCAGAGGGACGGCCGAGAGCGGCGAGAACGGTACCAAGGGTCTCAATGGAACCCTTGAACCCCGAGAGGAGTTCCAACATAGCTCGTTGCTCGTTGGGGATGTCAGGAGATATGGGAGAACGAGGTCCACCAGGTCCACCAGGACCGCCGGGACCACCAGGACCACCAGGTCCACTGGGGTCACCAGGCTCACCACGCGGTAAACCGCCGGAATCATCATCCAGATCGTCATTGTTATTATCGGCGCCCGGATCGTCGGGGTCGACAGGAGGGTCTTGATCTTCGTGATCACCGGTGTCCAAATTGAAGTGAGGAGGTGGGTCACGAGGAGATTCAGAAGCAGCTCGACGTTGGGGTTGTTTACCCGTACGGCGGGCTATAGCTTGAAGGATTGGGGAATCAATTCGAGTAGTAGACCGGCCCCGAGCCGGGGCGACCACGGGGGGTTGTCCACGGCGAGGGGTCAAGACTTGGACAGGTTGTCCGTCACCAGTGTACAAGGTGCTGTATTCGAATTGTTGTTCCTCTTCCATAGCTTCAGGAAGAGTCGACGTAGTTGGGACTGTAGCTGGACCGAAACCGCGATTACGGCGACGTGGTTGACCGATGGCAGAGATAGAGTCGGAGAATGGGGCAAATGATTGGGCTGTAGTGAAGAAAGTATTTTCTTCGGAGTTAGCTCTAGATTGAGCTCGAGTTTTCGGAGGCATAAAAAATGATATGTCAGTACGACGTTAACGGATTGAGTTTAATTATACTGTTAAGATCATGTACACCGTGTAACCGTGCCAAAGCTACAAGGTGCCTAAGTGCGGAAGACGAATGGGACAGTAGTGAAGTTATTAACAACACCGCCGTTACGCCGTTAGTCCCCGGAGAGCGAGAGTAGAGAGAGAGGAGCTAAGTAGCAGCCAGGCCGGAGCGGCGGTATCGCCGGTGACGAGGAGCGAACCAGAGGATGTATAAGTCCTAAGGTAGGGTAGAGAGTACTTCAAGGCAGTGAGCCTGAAGACTTAGAGGAGCACAGAGTAAAGGAGGGAATCCAAGTCGATCTAAGTTGGTCTAAGTTGATAATTAAACTGAGGAACTACAGTAGCGTACAGGCAGTATTTATATCTACGGAACGGCGCATCGGTGCGGAGCGCCAGACTAACTACTAGGAGCTATACGAGTAGTACCTGCAGGGTAGAGTAAAAGACAATAAGGAGAGACTAGAACGAAAGAGTAAAAGACAATAATGAGAGACTAGAACGAAAGGGTATGTGTAGCGAGAAAGAACAATAAGAGTGAGATAACAATAAGAGCAGATCTTCGGAGTACCGAGCGGCGGAATGGAGGCCCGCGGCATGGACTTGACAAAGCCAATAGAAGGAGAAGATGGGTCAGGTGGATCAGTAATCGATGGATCAGTAATCGATGGGGGTTTGACAGTGATGGGATGATGTATCGTACAAGTAAAGGCGTCGAGACGGTGAGAAAAGGAAAATGATAGGGGCTGCGTACTTTATGACAGGAACTTTCTAGAAGGACTCCCTCAACCATTCGACATCATTACGGACCATTCGAACCTCGAATTCTGGCGCACTGCACAAGACCTCACCCGCCGACAAGCCCGATGGGCCCTCTATCTGTCACGGTTTGACTTTCATATGATCCACCGCCCTGGCAGAGTAAACACCCAAGCTGATGCTCTCTCCCGCATGGCAGTTCATCATGTATCGGACAGCGATGATAACCGACAACAGACAGTCCTTAAACCTGGCCACTTTGTAAAAATTGCAGCTTCGATCCTACAGAACCCCTTAGAGGATCGTATCCGGAAAGCCTCAGAACGGGAGGCACAGGTATTGGAGGGTCTCAAAACAGTCAAAGAGCACGGACTACAGCGCTTGGCCAATGGGATAGCCGAATGGGAAGAAGACAATGGGTTGGTCTACTACCGAGGTCGAGTATACGTACCAGCAAACGACGACCTACGCACTGAGGTACTCCGTCAATGCCATGACCATCCAACTGCAGGACACCCCGGACTACACGGGACACTCGACTTGGTCAGTACCCATTTCTGGTGGCCTACGTTGCGCTCTTTTGTGGAAAAGTACGTTGAGGGATGCGAGGTTTGTGCCTGTAAGAAGATCCAGCGACACCCACGGGCCGTAACTCAACCATTAGATGTACCATCCGGTCTATGGGAAGAGGTAGGGGTTGACCTGATAACACAGCTACCTAACTCCCAAGGCTACGATGCTGTCTTGGTTTGCACAGACCTGTATGGAAAACAAATTCACGCTATTCCTTGCACCAGCTCCATCACAGCTGAAGGCGTTGCCGATATTTACTACCGAGAGATCTTCCGTCTCCATGGTCTTCCTCTTCACTTTAAATCCGACCGCGGACCCCAGTTTGCAGCTAAACTCATGCGATCCCTTCTCGCTAGGCTAGGAATTAAATCAGATCTAACCTCCGGATACCGTCCTCAGTCTAATGGCCAAACCGAACGAGCAAATCAGGAAGTAGAGAAATACATCCGCCTCTATGTAGGACGACGACAAGACGACTGGGCAGAGCACCTTCCCATGGCGGAGTTTGTGATTAACTCACGGACTCATTCTGCGCTAGGCATGTCCCCGTTCGAGCTAACCTACGGCTATCTTCCCCTGTTCAATATCCCAGTGGGCCAACGCAGCGGTATTCCAGCTGTGGATGACCGTATACGGATTCTCCGAGAAGCGCGACAAGATGCCGGAGCTGCCTTACACCTAGGAAAGAAACAACAGAAGGAGGGATACGAACGCGGGAAGCGGAAAGCTCATCAATTTAAAGTTGGAGACCTAGTCTGGCTCAGTGCAGAGGACATTAACCTTCAGCTTTCCAGTGAAAAGTTAGGAGATCGACAGCTTGGCCCTTATCGCATTCTGGAGAAAATTGGCCCTTTAGACTACCGCCTTGACCTTCCCCTATCCCTAGATCGCCTCCATCCCGTCTTCCATGTTGATAAACTATACCCCTGGAAAGGTAACTCCATTAATGGCGAAATACCAACACCACCAGAGCCGGTATACTTAGAGGATGAAGACGAACCGGAATACGAAGTAGAGGAGATCTTAGACAGCCGGGTTCGATGGAAGAAGTTGGAATACTTGGTTAAATGGAAAGGTTACGATGCAGGGCACAACTCTTGGGAACCCGCAGCCAACCTCAGTCGAGCACCAAAAATTGTTCGGGCCTTTCATAAAAAACACCCAACAGCGGCAAAGCCTTGACCATCGAGGGCAATGGTCATAAGGAGGGGGGTAATGTCATAAAGTACGCAGCCCCTATCATTTTCCTTTTCTCACCGTCTCGACGCCTTTACTTGTACGATACATCATCCCATCACTGTCAAACCCCCATCGATTACTGATCCATCGATTACTGATCCATCGATTACTGATCCACCTGACCCATCTTCTCCTTCTACTGGCTTCCGCCACCTTCCTTGTTCCTAAACTGTACAGTATTACATCGTTGTTTCTCGCAGACCGGATTATGTATATATAGCTAACCCTCCACAGCCTGGTCCCTTATCTTGACCTCTCTGTCATTATCTGGGACCAGGTATGTGCTTACTTATTATTACCTATGACTACGATACTCAATATATCTCTGTCATTATCTGGGACCAGCTTGCCGCCGTTCTGCTTAGTCGCTCCGCCTTGTTGCCTTGTCCAGTTGCTCCGCCTCACCGTTCTGCTTAGTCGCTCCGCTTTCCCGCTCCGTTAGTCACTCCGCCTCTGCCGCTTCGTGACACAGGTAAAGAAGCGGAAATATCTGTAATTGAACAGATTTGTCAAGAGCAGGCCACTCATTACCGACACTGTCCAGTTCCCACCCCAAAACACCAATCACCTTTTACGCACCAACCAGAAAAGTTGCAGCTATTTTGTGAAGCTATTGAAGAGTTTGATCGCAGTAATGTAATACCTGCCAATTATCATCTGAGGGCAGAAGAATGGGAAAATGGTGAGTATCCTGCTTTTGAATTTATCAAAACTGGCAAGCGCGGTAGAAAAGAGCTTCGTATTGATCTTCCTCATTCTATCTGGATGCCTAGGGCTATACAGTGGGGACAGTATTTACATATTATGAATTACTTACTGTTTTCTGCTACTTAATCCTACTTACGCAGTCGCGAAAGGTTTCCTTTTGGAGGAAGGAGGTTGGCGCTTAAGTTGCCGCCCACTTGTGTCACGCACAAATCAACAAATCACTAGAAGTTGGAAAGTAGGCTCAATTTCTATCCACTATGAGCACCTTAGCAGACCGGACAAAAAAGGTTACTGCGAAACAGAAACTTCAAAAGTCTATTTACGCTCGTTCTTCTTGTTCCTCTCATGCTTCTAATTTATCCCGTTCTTCTAAATCTTCTCAACACTCAGAGCCCCTTCCCTCTCATTTGCAGCCACCTCCTCCTTCCTGGATCTCTCAGCCCGCCAAGGCTGAGCGCAACAGCTCAAAAACTGAAAGAATCTTGAACGCTGCTACAGACATACAACGATCTGTCCGGCCTAACAGCGTTGTAATCAAATCAATGCTGGAAAGCGCTCAAGAGGCTTCTGACGGTTTAAAGAATAGAAGAAACACACAGGTTAAAGCTAAAGAAGTAATATTTACCCTCCTTTTTACTTTAGTTGCTATTCTTACCTTTACCCTCATAGGAAGACGCCGAGAATGAAAATACATTTCAAGTGGGGGCTTTGTATGTTATTCCCGTGGGCGTTCAGTTAACCGTAAGTCCCAATTACTCTTAAACTGTTTATTTAGTCATTTGTTGTACAGAGAAATCGGAATAAGCTAGCTCTTGACGATCAATGTTTTTCGCTCAAAGGAGGTTCTTCTGGCTTGAAAATGAGTTCCCGTTTCTATAACGAGCTGGTTCAATCAGGCCTAGGTGCCCAATCTCAAAGGTTTAACGACCCAAGCCTTACATTCAAGAAGTCTATGTCGTTTGACGATATTATAACCCACCTTTGGCAGGCTCTTCCGTTACTCATGGAGCACTTGGACGATGACAATTCTGTGACAGCCAATCCTTTCCATCCCACTATCTATAGAAACAATGAACACAAGTTTCTGCCGAATCTTCTATTTTTTGTCAAGGAGGGGAGGCGTCTGGAGCATGTTGGGAACCAGCTTCTGTTCCCAAATGGACGTGATCTATTTGAGCTTTGCTTTAAAAGTAAAAAGACCGGCCTTCACGACAGGATCCTCTTCTTGGGTAGGTACCTATTTTCCTGGATAGAGTATCCACCCAGTCTCAATTTCTGTTGTAGCAATGCTGGAGACTATTCCAACCTCCACTCAAAGGTTGTGGCGCACTGCTACAATCTTTTCCTGAGAGCAAGCCATAGATCCGGTAGTAGCTCTCGAGAGATTGAAAGCTCAAGATGAGACCGCTAAGAAAGATAGGAAAGGGAAGGGAAAGGCTTTATTTTTCCTAGCTTCTGACTCTGGATCGTCAGAATCTTCAAATGAGTTGGAGCCTGAATCACCTGCAGCTCTTTCATCAACTCAAAAGCTCAAGAGAAAGCGTAGTTCAGCTGGTGATGAGGCTTTGGAGGAAAGAAATAGTAAAAGGCCCAAAAGTGAGTTGTATCATTAGGAATATTGTACGAACTTTTCTTACCTGTTTAGCTTCTCTAGCTAAGGAGTACATAGAGATTTCTGACCTGGATGAAAATAGTGCCAAGGTTAGATTCACAGACTCTGAGGATCAAGAAGCATCTTCAGAAGGAGTAAATGATCATGGTACAGTTCAGTTCAGTTTTGGTATTTACTATCTCTAAATATATTTCTGTTCAGGTGACCTGAAAGACCCTGGAATTGAAGACAGAGGTGACGAGGGTGATGAAGGTGATGAAGGCGATGAAGGCGATGAAGGCGACGAGGGTGAGGACAGCCCAGGCTTTAAGAAAGTTGAAGGTAAAATTATTTGATTTTGGAAAGAGTGAGACAAGGGAACTTATAAGTTACGTAGTGAGCCTCAAAGATGAGTCTAGACGTTCCAGTTCTAGTTCTGGCTCCTCGACTGCATCCTCAGAGCAAGATGCTGGTAAGGACAGAGTTGATGAGGATGATGATGACGAGGATGAGGATGAGGATGACGAGGAAGAGGATAGTTGGGACAACTGGACTTAGGCTTTGAATGTTCTCATCTGATTGCTTGCTTTACTACTTACTCCCTCACAATCCCTTATACCCTTGTTAACACTAGCAAGTCCGGACAAAGGATTCTATTTCCAAGTCACTCTTTATTGCACTTTCTCTTCTAGCATTATCAACCTACCGACTTATATACAGTACACTCCTGACTCATTACAATGAGCTTAATAGTATTCAATGTACAGAAAATGTTACTTGGGCTTGAAATATTCAGCTTACAGTCGTAAGTCATATATCACGGAGAGGTTTAGTTGCTACCAATGTTTTTAACGGGGGACTATCTTTTTTGGGTATGCGAATAAGTTTTCCGCTACTTCTTGGAGTCTGAATTATATTTTCTGTGGCAAACTGTTCTTTTGTGCTGAACAAAAAGAATTTGCGCTGACAAGAAAAAGTCGGGCGCACCACGAACAAGTCGAGCTCATGTGAAAAAGTCGGGCTACCGGGGAAAAATTCCCGCGGATTTTTTCGCCACTTGGACTAGCATAGGATGAGAGAAACAGACCTCGAATAATCAGAGAGCACCGGTTGTGCCGTCTTTGTAAAGGCTCAGTCGAGGATCCTGCCCATGTTTTATTTGAATGTAAGGGCAGTCTTGAATTGATCAAATTAAGGGAGACTTTCATGCAGAAAGTAATCCTGGGACTTCCACAATATGCAAAATTCTATCCAGATGCATGGATGCTATTCCGCACCTTATTGGCTGATACAAGAATCACGGAATTATTTGCAAAGTTGGCATATGATGTTTTAGAAGTTGTATATGAGGTTGAAATCTTTGTCCCATCTTGATGCAAAGGTTGCTTGCATGCATTGTCGAGACGGGGAAGACCGTGCACGTCTCACGAGGTTTTTTTCCTGCTTTTTCCTCATCAAGTGTGAGAGTGGCATTATCGCCCCCCCGTATTAGAAATGTGTGTTCCAATACTGTAATCTAAGTAGAGATTGTACAGTATGGTAAACTGGTCGTTCGGGAATCGGACCTCGCCAGTATAATTTAACTATCCTATCCTATCCTATCCTGTTATACAATTCAGAAAATGAACCAACTTGAACCTGAGAAGGGATAGAGCGGATTCAGATATGGGATGACTACGTACACTGGAGGGATGATTAGCCCTGCGAGGAATTTCGCCAACCGTAATAAGTTCAGCATTTTGAGAAGACCTGGAATTTTGGAGCTGCAGTTATGGGTATCAGCACAAATTCACCCATGGTAACGCGGTAAATGAGTTTGATCGCTGGAACTTACAGGTGGAGAAAGAGGCAAAGCTACGATTGTGACAACGTAGAAAAGGAGACCGATTATCAAGGGGAACTTGATTCGGAGGATCGTGGACATATCAATGAACAGTATCAAAATCGTTGTTGATCTAGAAACGATATATGGGATGAAGAACTCGGCAAAGGGATGCTGGAAATTTTTCGGGCAGAGGACAAGTTCTCAAAGGATCTTTGACCAGCAAAGAGCAGTAGGTACCAACCAGCGAATGGGAGTTCGTTTCAATGACGGACTACTTATATATTCCTCTGGCTTTGCCATGTGTATCGTGTTCATTTTCTTCGCGAATCACTGTAGGGCAGTGTCTTGTAGCGTGCAACAAGGGCCTTCCCTGAGATCTACCTGGGTCGTTATAGGTCATTATTACACACAAACCAGCACAAACCACTCGCCGCTCACCAAAGTCCACAAACCCCGGCAGCGGCCTGCAGCGGCGTTCTCTTATCCGAAAACCTCCCTTTTCTGCCTATTTGTAACCATTAAGAGCACAGTATACAAGTAGTGTACACCCAACTTGAAGCAAGGTATCCGAAGGTGTATTTGAATGAATTCTGTTCGGCTCGAGCTTCAGGTGTTGAATCGGTACTGTAGTAACTGTACTCACTTGGGTGAAATTAATGCCTCTTGAGCTATCATGTCCCTGCAGGGACATCCACCTTGCATGTCGGTCCGTTATTTATTGTTGCCTATATCTTGCTGTACAGACAAAGAGATTCCCTAAAAAAATAGCACAGAAAAAGACGTACAACAGTGCACTGATGGAACAAATAACTGCTGGTATAGGGAAAGAGAGAGTGGCAAAAGCGTAAGATCGATTATGGGAGGCTATGTGGGAGGGATATGTGCCAACAGAATATATCACAAGAAAAATGCTGGTGCCTGCACATTGGAATTAGTGGGCAATCAAGTACCTCATCAAGCAAGATGGTACCCACTGTTATCATCGGTCCCTGCGGACGTCGAATCCGAGATGCCTTCAATGCAAATTTTGCTGTGTAAATAATTTCCAGGCATTTCCCCATCGCTTGATTCACCACTGCAACTAAGTTAGGTAGCTGGGTAGAGCTGGTAGCCTCTGGTAGCTTGGCCTTGATGCCCATGATGTTTTAGACAGCCACTGGGTCAACGAAGGATGTGCATAATTTGAATGAGAGTTAGGTGTCTTCTCGAATGACAGAGCGAGCCGATTGGAGATTGAGGAGTTGACCGGTGACCATTTGAATGGGATGTCAGTTCGGCCTTTGAGAAATTTGGTTCACAAAATCAAGATTCTCTTACATAGGCGCTACTTGTAATCGTAGTCGTCCCTTTCCGGTGACGATGCATCAAATTTGAAGGTAAAGTTCATACTGATCTGATATACGTATCTACCATATCATCCTTCATCCTCCTCGTTTATGGCTTCCATGGGTCCTTTAGGTTTGACAAGTTTTTGGTTTTTTTTTTGTTTTCTTGAGATGCGAGATTTGGGCTTTAGGGCTACGGGTTGTACTTCGGTTTGTACTTCAGGTTGGGGTGGATTCCACGATGGATCCTGCAGTGCGAATCAGTAATGTGTTAAGGTAGCGACAAAATGATAATTGAATACAAACTAGTGTATACTCATATTTCTTGCCGAATGGTTTATCATCTTTTTTCAACCCACCCTTCACCTTTGCATGCTTTGTATCACTATTTTGTACGTCCACGGTCAATTTTCCCGTCAACTTCGTCTTCCGGAATAAGCCGTCTGTGACTGTAATATCGAATCTGCACGTAGGGTATCCAGGATGATTACTTTTATCGATCTCTATTGCGACGTCTTTGCCATATTCCTTCTCCATCATGTCTTGGATACGTTGACTGACATACGATCGATAGCTGCTTCTCCATGGTGACGCCTGAAACGCTTTTGACGAGAACGACACCTTGACTTTCTTACTAGAAGCACGAGTCACCAAGAACTCGGCTTTTCGAGAAAGAAGGCGAGCAGTGGGATGCACAGTGGCTTTGTAGCGCTCACAGTCAGTCGTTACCTACATACCCGATGAAAAGACAGTATGGGATCAATGTTATGAGGCGTTAGAAATACTCACTGAAGATGAGGGGTCGGATGCGGCTAGTCCACTAACATCGCAAGGTGCAAACATTCCGGAATTCTGAGAGGGCGCAGAATTTGGAGAAGTAACCATCAAGTCCACATTGTCGGTCGTCAAGCGAAAAATCAGTATATGAAGTCAACAAACCAAAGATGTTGCAACGACTCACGGGGGAAGAAAGAGGTATGGCCACTGCTGATGCGACAAAGAGAAATATACCGAGGAGAGGTATCAATGGGAGTTTGATTTGGAGGGTCCTCACAAGAAAGTACATGTCGACAAATATTAAGTTTCGGTGTAGTGAAAAGGTAGAGGGCGAGAGGCAGCGAAGATATTTTTTTTCACCAGCAAAGAGCAAGTATCGACCAGCGATGGATGAGGGACTAAAATTAAAGAGCACAGAGCAAAGTAAGTACCGTACCGACCAGCGGATGGATTAGGGACTGACAGGGGACTGAAAAGGGACGAAGATTTTAAAGCCAAGCTCTATAAGCGCTCCGACGACCGGTCAAGATGCAATGTTTTGGCGGAACACCGACGGGCGAGCGCGAAGCTATGCCCAGCATTTCCACGCATCCGACCGTCCTATTCCGGAACAATCAACTCGACCATGCAGAGGTAAGCCGAGCACCGCAGTGTGTTGCAAAAGAGGATAGATCTAGTCGGATGTGATACTTTGAAAACAGGAGTGACTGGTTCAAGTCTACTATAAGAATGATAATACATACATACATTGAGTGTACACTGTACACGGTGCCCGACAAATGTTCTAATGTGAGATATGCAGGCATGATCGATGTGAACAGAAACAAGTCCAAAGCCAGAAATGGATGAAAAGGAGAGAGCAGTGGTATGATGATGATGCTGAATGCGCGATTAGGAGAATTTGTACATGTGGAGACAACAAAGAACATGACGCGTGGATGTGATGTGAAAGGTCAGAGAGAATAAAAGGCGGATAGTAATACAACAACACGGTATGAGTATGTACATACGTCAATTTAGGAGACAAAAGAAAGAAGAGAGGAAGAAAAACAAGGAAAGTAAGAAGTTGAACAGCGGTAGAAGGAATCTAATATGTAGGATAATCTATGAAGGTTGTCGTCCGGACTACGGAATGTCCACAATGTTTGAGGGCTTGAATGAAACATAGAGGAAATATTATCAGCTGGCAGCACATGCACGGGTTGAACGTGAACAGCCAATGCCATCGAAATCAAGGGATATCAAGGGAAATCCTGTGCTGTCCGCTAAGGGTCGACCCCTGAAGCTGAAGGCCTAAAGTTTGAAGCCCGCAGTGGAAGTGTTACGATCAATATGGACCAGTTGCACTGCGTCTCCCGGTCTGCGCCGCTCACGCTTGGACAGTAAGCAGAATGCATGTAGATCAACTCGGTCAACTCGCTAAAAAGCGCAAAAGGAGACAAAGAAGACCCAAAGGACTCTTGAATTGCGAGCCTGAAAGAATGACTTTTGGAGTCGATTAAGTACCCGTCGGGAGAGGATACATTGTGCAGGGAGACGGCGTTCCGCGTAAAGCCAGACGATTCTTGGAGTTCTGACAACGTGATACCCTCGAGGCAGCATAGGAAGGAAATCAACCGGATATTGTATTGCATTTATCGTCATTCCGAAAAGATGAACGACGTGAACGGGTTGCACCTGGGTTGCACGGGTCCCAACTTCAAAGGCTCAAAGCCCGATTGTGAAATGACAAAAGCAATGGAAGCAAGGTCGATCGTGTAACAGGAAATTAATGGCAAAGAGGATGGGTATTGAACAAAGATGACAAAGCCAGAAAGGACGACCATGAGATCCGGTTGTGACCCGATACTGTACAGGGTGTATGAAAGAAGTTATGATATTGACAAATCCATTGGACTGTGGGAGTAATCGAGGCTCAGATATGAATTCATGTACCCTTCGGAACACGAAATACTAGGCGTACTGGTGAAAACGTAAAGAATGATCAGTATGTGAGTGCCAATTACGGGAAGGTATGATTACATACCATTACTCTAACATGCTGACCCTTGGGAGGGATGATCACGTAGCCTCCAGGTTGAGGATAGTATGGGGAAGGAGACGGAGATGGACTCATCATTGAATGAGAGGAGACTGGAGGCGAGAAAGGAGGTGGAGGAGGAGCGTAAGCCGGGTTCGCACTATACGGTCCTGCTGACTGAGGAGCATAGCTAAAGGACCCGGGAGGCGGGTGAGCACCAGGATACCCGTAAGGTGACTGCATCTGCATCGGAATTGGGGGAGCTGCTGACCCAGGGGAGGGCAGAACGTAAGTTCTCGTCTTGGATTTGGCGGAACGCTTGGAGTCGTGATGACGGTGCGAACGGTGCTTCGGGACCGTCTGAATGATGATTTGAGGAGTCCCCGGTGGACTCATGTAGCCTCCTTGAGGAGGGTAGTTGGAATTTACCGGGGCAGACGCGATGGCGCCGGGGTACATAGGCGCGGGAGCAGCAGGTTGTGAGTGGTAGAAAATGGGTGGGGGAGGAGCAACAACGTTCTTCCTACCACCGGTTCTACGTTTTTCTTCATACCATCCACCAGCGCTAGCGCCTGAAGGGATCGCCTCGTCTGCGTCACTCATTCCATCGAGATCATCGTCATCAACGTCAGAACGAGGACCAAAAGGTGCGCGAAAAGCCTCGTGGTGAGCTTCAGTATTGTCGACCCACTTCGCAATGCGGTTTTGTGTTTCCATGAAACGTTGGTAGGCGGCAGGGGAGTAGTCGTATTCCGTCATAATTCGTAAATTGCAAGTTTCGTCAAAAGTGTAGTGAGGAATTAGAGAGGAATAAAGGCACAGCCGGAAGAATATCTAGCCCACTAAAGGGGGAGAGGATATTGGGATTATTGAGGGGGATTGAAGAAACGGAAATGGGGATTATATACTGTCACTCTACACAGACCGTAATTATGTATCGCCTATCTAAAGGTAACAGTGCGTCACTGAACCTTGACAACGTCAGTTGGTAAATCCAGTGCAAACAAAGAATTGCAGTGCCAGTGGCGTCAGAAACTCACCGAGAATAGACAGAATTTCGGGTCTGCTGGAAGATTAAACCCACAGCTCAGGAGCCTGATCTTGAAAACTGGATTGAGTGGCAAAGAAGGATAATCGAAAGACCATCCGTGTTCTTTATAAACCCATCGGAAGTGCGCCGACCGGTATAAGCGACCCCATCAATTTTGACACAGCCACTAGTCCTGCTTTGGCCACGGCTTCACAATTTCCCAAATGTAGAGAACAATGGTCAAGAGCCGGTCAAGAGAAGTCAAGAGACTGCTTCACATATTCCAGCGTAGCAATATGTTCTCGCCGCAGGATTCAACAATATTTTTCATCCGAGGAACCAAAACGGAATCAATCGGAACCAAACCCCGACCCGATCCTGACTGCGCGTTCTGGAGCAGTCGGTTTCCCGCCACAAGACGCACCCTGACATCTAGGCTTTAGCTGATGAATTTCCAAGCAGAGCAATGTCCGATTTGCATCTACGCCCGACCATACAGCGCATCCGATACCACGAGTCGGATAAAATACTAATGAGCAAGTCCGGATAGTCCGAAGCTTCGTACAATTGGCAAAGCTGCAAAAAAAAAAGTGTAAATGATAGTCATCAGCCACATACGCATCCTTCAAACTCTCTTCTTCGCCTACAGCTCGTCATACAAATCCAGTATCATCATGGAATGAGCCTCAAAAGGCTTGATTAATCCATCTCGTAAGTTCGTTATTTGAGTACGAGGAAGGTACTTACTTGCATATACACGCAGCGTCATGCAAATTGAATTTCCTCCGAATGAAAGGATACCGAGTTTCATGGTCCGTGATACACTGTAGGTGTCAGCGGGTTCTCATCGACATCCACGGCTTGGAGCTAGGTACCGGTTGGGATCTTTTTTGAAAATGAAGCCTTAGTAGGTAACAACGGTAATCCTTACCTCATGTCCGGGCTCAGTACGTCCCCAAATAGCCTGTTCTTGTTCTTTCCGGCCAGCAGCTCGCCTCCGACCTCATTCGCCTATTCCCTCGTTCCGCCAATCTCTCTACACGCTGGTCCCGAAAGCTTGCGCCAAATGTTACACGTCGCCAAAGGTATGAATCACGTCGTATAATTCAATCTTCTTCAATCGAAGCGATGAGTATGGAGCGCTCTGAGAGACTCTTGTTGTCGTTGAATCGTGATCCCCTTTTGGGCGAAACGTATGTTTCTGGACGTATGATGATCTATCATTTCCGGGGAGGACAAATCGGAGCAGCCAGCTGGAGTATGACAGTCTCCAGAGCGGCGTCGACTTTACGACGACGTGAAAAGTTGAGATCTTAGCCGTCCTCCTTTACATTTCGTCCCTGTGACTTGCCGGTCTGAAGGATATTTAGAGGACGTATTGATCCAACTATCCATTCGCAATCTGATACGCAATACGTGACGCGAGAGGTTGAATTGAAAAAGGTTTCGGGAAGGCAGAGTTGACGGCCCCATGTAGTTGGAGAGCGTTGGAGGACCTTGGTAACTTCAAATACGTGGAGCACTATACGAGTGGATCACAATCAACGTCATCAGTAGTGAGTGAAGGTCATTGCAGTCCATTATGGCGAAAATCACCAGAATCGAAAAAAAAAATAAGATAAGAGAGTAGTAGTAACTGAGGTAGAATTCTCACCAAAATCAAACGAAAGCTGCGCATATATCTACTATGCATCTTTCGAAGACTGTACCCCACTCAAATTACGTTAGATATATTTTCGAATAGGAATAGTAAGGTACTTGAAGGAGGAGTGTTTGGGATGATTTATGCGTATAGGATTGTATTTATCACTAATCTTCACGCACACGTGCTACACTGCTACTATTGTATCCCGCAACGCGGCGTGCTCGTATGTCCTCGTACTATCTCGTAGCCTAGGCTGACAGTATCGACATCTATCTGACTAAAGATGTAACTCGAGCGATTGAAAAGATCGAATGACAATTTCGATGTAAGAGTTTGAGCGCTAGCGCTAGCTGCTCCATGACTTAAGCGAGAATTTGCTTCCTAATTTTCTCCGGTTCTCTCTCGTTCTCATGAACCTACAAGCTTGCAGGAGAAGCCATCTGTACCAAAATTTGATTCATTGGCGAGCGCGATTCTGTTCTACAATATATACAGTGAGTGACGTCTACATTCTTGATTGGATTACGATTGCTGATATTGTCTCCTCAATGTCCACAGTGGCAAATATCCGATCCACAATGTTCACAAGGGGCAGATTTAAGCTCCACGACCATGTCTTTTTCGCTCGGCTTCACCAAGCCAAGCTGTCCTCTTTCGAGATTGACGATGTATCCGAACAGAGCCTGTCGTTTCAGAGAGTTCACCTCGACCTCTGGACCAAATAGTTTCCTCGCGTCGAACTTCTTCAACACGTTTCGGGTCATCTCATCTTCTGCCATTACCTCAATCTTCTTGTTTCCAAGGACTGGGGCCATGATGGATATGGACTGCATGCCGTGCACCTTCATGACCTCTGCAACGTCCGGTTCATCTACCGATGAGTCGAAGAAATGGCCGAAACCCTCCATGAGGTTATTGACATCTTCTACCGTCCACTCTTCAGTCTTGTCCCCGCTTGTCCTCAACTCTTGTATCGCTTTTCAAAGACATCAATTAGCAGAGGGCAAAGATAGAGAACGTGAAGCTTACGTTCGCGGAAACCGATGAAGGCATGGTTGAAATATTCTTTTCCTTGGCAAAGCAACTCTGATGCGTAATCGAAGTTCTGCTGCTCGAGGTCCATCTGGCGGTATGCACCCATTACTGCAAGCAAGAATCTACAAAGAAAACCGAGCGGATGAACAAATGTATCTACTGCTGGAGTATGAACTATAACTGACCGCACATGTAGCATCCCGACCTTCAAGTCGTGCCATTTTCGCGCCGTCATCTCATCTACATCCCCTCTTATCGATGAACATATTGAAGCAGCGGCAGAAAGCCCTCCTGACATGGAGATATGAATTCCGGTGGAGAAGAACGGATCGACGAAATCTGACAAAGTATTTGGGGTCACTTCGAGGTCAATAATGAAGCGGAAAAATTCATCCTCACTTGCAGCATCACCAACGAGACGATAGTGGTCGCCAGCATATCCTCCCGCCCAATAACTGTAGTCAGACGCGCTATGGGTGGTTCCAGGAATCATTTCTCCTTCTTTCAAGAAATCTTTGACGTGAGGCGCATACTGGAACATGTCCAGATAGTGCTCAGTAACAGTAGGCTTCTTTCCGTCGGGCCCGACTTTTGATCTACGCTCTGTGGAAGTGTTTTGGTGGGTGACGAACCCGACAGAGGTGGTCCCATCATTGAGGGGAATGAACCATGCCCAGCCCTTCTTATCTAGGTATGTCTTCAGATTGTGTACTGTATTTATCTGAGAGTTCCTTACCTGTGAGCACCTCGGCGTAGAAGGAATAGGGTCTCCCAGTTGCCCTAATTCCTTTCCAGTAGGACCACACTGCAACGTTTCGGAAACTTTCACGCATGACGCGATTCTTCAAATACTGGGTGGACATGACACCAGCACGTCCTGAAGCATCTACAAGCCAGTCGAAAGCAATTCGACCAGACTGACCCTGCTTGTTGGTCCACTGTGCGGCTACGGGTCGGGCGGTCTTAGGGTCACCGTTACCCTCAAATTCGATGCTTTCGATTTTAGTCTCATCAAAAGCCACAGCTCCTTCTTTTGCTGCATGTTTGAACATGAGGTTGTCCATTTCGGAACGAACCTAATATAGAAACGATATAATTCACAGAAGAGGATCCGCAAAGACCTGAAATAACTCACCACGTTCCATGTTTCGTAGTCGGGGATACGTGCTTGGAAGTCCGTCCCTATTTAGCGGCATTGAAATCAGTTCACAGAAGACATATATTATATGTGAAACTCACAGTTGGCTTCCATTCCTTGAACAAGTTGGAACAAAGCACCTTGCTAAGGGTCAGTTAGTCAAACGCTCTTACTCCTTTTCAATAAATCGGAATGTACCTTCAAGTTAAATCCGTGCTTTACAAATTCTTCTTCAAGTCCAATAAAACGCAGATAGGTTCTCATAGCGGCTGTCAAAGACTCGCCAATGTGATACCTTGACAGCAGAACCTTAGAGTCAATACAACTTGTTCGAAGTAACAGTGTATTGGTATTCACCGAGGGTGCTTTGCGGATTCAAGGATCACAACGTCGTGACCTTCGCGCGCGAGGGCAGCGGCGGTGTAACTCCCTCCAGGACCACCTGTTTCGTGAGCAAAGATTACAATCCGGGATGATTTCATGGCGGCGAAACTGTAGCTCACCACCAATAACAAGGATCGTGGTTTTCTCGGGCTAGAAAAATGCAGGGAGAGACTTGAGTTCTTCGTGACAAGGGTACGGTGAAGGCTGATCTTACCACTGCAGTAGTGGTGGTAGACATCGCGTTCAAGTGTTGTTTGTGAAGAGTAGTACAACGAAACTGGTGCGTTGTGCCATCTCTAGCATTTGTGGATGGGTTAATATGCAAATGATAGCTGACCCGAGGTAGAACTTGAAAGCCTTACTCTCTGAGCAGTGAAGATGGGTAGACCCCTAGTCCAGATGTAAATGTTGACTTACCCAATTAGTGCCGTCAGCGCCACTTCTAAACTCCTAGCTTTCCCCAGTTGAACTTTTGAAATCTGAATTGAATCCATTCATTGTATCGATACAGATTCTGCCGCCCTTTGGAGTTTCAGAAAGTCTTGGGCTTAATCAAATACTCCTCATTGCGGGTATCCATCTGTGTCGAACGAGCGCGCCTTGAAGATCTCCAGATGTTGATAAACTCGAACAGGGCGACACAAAAGCGAGCACCTCTATGTAGGTCAATGTTCCTTCAGGTTTATCACCGGATCGCGCGTGATCCGAAATCCACTAGAAATGGTCTTTTTACCTTTTCATACCCAGTGGGAAGACCGTACTGATGAAACTTCCTATGTCCCATGACTGTGACTGTTGCATAAATTGCTTTCTTGAACTTGAATATCAGTCCCTATTCCTTCCCGGTTCCTATTTACTAGAGTAGCCCGTTATCATCGGTTGCTCAATGTAATGTTCAAGGAAGGCGAAATGAGGTGGTTGAAATATACATGCTAATATCAAGCGCGTGTATTGCAGAGGTCAAAGCTACCATCTGACTTGTCGGTAACGTGTCTAGCTTACCTGTGAGGTTGCTGTGTAACGTGTTTGCAGGTTTCCACCACATACTATTACTATTCATAATATCAGATCTATAAAGCTGCAAGTAGCCCCGATGAACCAGACCTGAGGTCCTGTAGGCCGTTCTTAAAATTGTTGCGATTGGACCGATAGTTCGGCTGTTGCTCAACTCATTGATTTCAGATTTGTTGCCACTTCCAGACGCCTTGTTATCTTCTACCCACTCGTGATTTGTGACTTGTGAATTTTATCTCTTTAACTCACACGGGGATCCGAGGCAGTCGTTCGGGCTGGAGTGGGCATTAAATCAAATTCGTCAGTCGCTTTCCGCAGTTTATGGAATGAATTTTTCAGTAGATTTCAATCGATTCCACCCATGACCTTGTTGTATACAAGCTTATTCACGACTGCATGAGCATGAATATGAATCACGGTGCTCCCTTACCCCAGATTAATATACAGTGCTTAATCTCTTACTATTGAAGAATTCTTGGTAAGAATTCTTCATTAAGAATTTGCATGAATACTTCGGTCGAATCCCATAGGCTAGCGGGAGACACTTTGAACCTGTGCTGTCGCGCAGCGCCTTTGTCAAGTTGGTCATTTCATTTCATTGCACAAGATTTTTGTAGGGTGTATCCCGATGATGCGCTCCCGATCCAAGTACATACAGTATCCTCATACAAGATCTGTTTGCCCTGAGTAAGTCTCGGCCGGAATTCTTGTCTTCTACATTGTCCGACGAACTTTCTGTCACTTCAATGTGTAACATCAGCCTGAGAGCATCTATGAATGGGGGGGCTCAAATGATATCACGACAGGATATTAGTAAAGAAATGGCACAAAATTGAGTTCACATATTTCATATATATTATGAATATGCGGGATGTTTTTAACTAATGGCGGGAGCATCGAGAGACAGCAAAATTTTACTGTTCAGCCACTAGGGAGAAGCAACTTAACGAATCTAATCAATTATAGCACTGAACTTGAATAAGCCGAGCCCTCGTACAATAATTGCACTACATAACTGTTTTCACAGTAGATTCACAAGACGGTCAGGTCATTATCTCCGCAACGATACTATAATTGAATATATAAAAGTCAGCCCTAATGCTAACACGAGAGTAGTCTTTATCCGAGTCGAAGACCTTGATACACGCTCACCTCATACAGGCAAAGATATCAGCAGGGATTTACAAGAAGAAACTAAAGGGGAAGAGGAAGAAGCATTGAGAGCCCGGGGCAACAGGACGATCGCCGACATTCGAATAATGAGTTGCAAGTGTTAGCCAGCACGCACAGCGTGCAGATAATCAAACGAATGAGAAAAAATCATACCCCTTTGTTTCTTTCTTCTTTTGGGTCTCTTTTAGGTTTTATTTGGAGATCAAACTCTTGTCTCCGAGTCCCTAAAATAAGAACTTGAACACCATGTCACGGCCGCACTGTCATTACTAGCCATTTTTCCTTGTATTCCCTCAGCTTCCTTCCTTCGTCATCACAAAGTCCTGTCATTCCCACAGTTCCCCGTAGAACTTGAACACCATGTCACGACTGCACTGTCATTACTAGCCATTTTTCCTTGTATTCCCTCAGCTTCCTTCCTTCGTCATCACAAAGTCCTGTCATTCCCACAGTTCCCCGTAGAACTTGAACACCATGTCACGACTGCACTGTCATTACTAGCCATTTTTCCTTGTATTCCCTCAGCTTCCTTCCTTCGTCATCACAAAGTCCCGTCATTCCCACAGTTCCTCGTAGAAAAATGTACCTCCCACGAGCTCCCACACCACACGTACCCGCATGCAAGAATCCTTTGACCGTAAGAATTCCTTCGATTTACGACTGTCTTCTCCTTCGACTTACGATGTCTACCCGACATCACTAACGTTGCCGTTACCTTTTTTTGCCCGTGCTAATTCAGGCTATACCATGCCTACAATGCCTTGGGTACCTCTTCCGGAATTCGTATAGCCCCGAATGCAAACCTTGATTCAGACAGTAACGGATTCCTCTCAAACCGAAGGACGGACAAAATCGAGATAACGCACGTAAGCGGGAAAGTATCAGACCTCTTTGCGGGAATGTGATTGATCAGTGAACGTCGAGATGAGGCAACTTGAAAATAGCGTAGGATAGCACCGACCTCGGCACACCGAAAGTTGAATCCATGATAGTTAATATTATTTACAGTAAATCCCCAACATAGTCGGCAAGGCAAATTATGCAATGCGTAGAATAATAAATCCCGGTGTGGCAATGAGTGAGAATGGAAGGTGAGTGACATAGTATGTATATGCAGAGACAATGACGATGATGTGCAAACGGACGAATGCGATGTGAAATATAGTGAGTGCAGATGATGGACGATGAGTCAAGAGTCAGTTCGTGCAACAATAAATGAATGAAAACAGTCTATGTATCAAAGTGAGACCCATTATTGAAGTCGAGAGTCAAGAGCGAAAGTGGCTCAAAATTTGAACGGACAAATGAGACTTGAAGAAACCGCCGCAGTTTTTCACTCTTCCGACCTTCGAATCCCCACATACGGAGTCCTACCATATCCATCTCCAGCACTTCCGCTGATAAGGACAACAAACCAGCCAAACATCGCCATCAAAAACCTCACCATCCACGCTGGGTCAGCTCCGAGACCTAGTCCGGGACGTAGCTGCATTGCCAGTGCAATGTCGATCGGGGATCGCGCAGGGTGGCGTTTCACTGGTTTGGTAACAGAAATGGAAGTAGAAGTGGACGTAGAAGGAGCTTCCGCGCTGGATCCTGGAACAGATTCGTCCTGGGTACTTGAAGATTCAGTTTCCTTGGTCGTTGTCTCCGCTTCTTCCTCATCTTCTTCTTCATCATCCGGTACCATCAAGTCAGAAAGTGGGTGGACATCCACAGGGAAGGCCCCAGGGAGAATGGCTGCACTCGGCACAGGTGTCTTTGTGCTTGGACGTACGTCCTCGCTTTCAATTATTTCATCACTGAGTGACGAAATTCCTTCCTCGTTTTTCTCTCGAATCTCAATTTCGGTCTTCAGCTGACTTTCGGCCTCCTTCACAACTCTGGCATCACTGCCCTCAATCACAGAAAGCGAGAAGGAAGATTTATGTCGTAGCACAGGACTCCGAGATGCAAGTCCGAGAGGCGGGGCGTCAGCTGCACGAATTGACCACGCTGGAAGAGGCCGAGGGAGAGGACGACGTTGTTGAGGTGGCGAAGCGGGAGGAGTAGGAATTTGGGATGTGGGGGACACGGAAGCAGTGGTAGCAGCGGAGGAGCTGGGTTCTTCTTCTTTGGCAATGAGAGAGGGATCCGGTGACGTAATGTTAGCTAGGAGGAGGGGAATATCTAGCTCGGGAAGTGGAAGCAAGTCTGGATCTGGGAATTCTCCCTCCGTTTCCTCAATATGCTCGTCGTCGTCCTCTATGACATTCACATCACCTTCGTTAGCTTGGGGTTCATCGCTGAAACCGTCCTCGAACATCCTAAGTTCCAGTCCAACATCATTGTCAGGATGCGCACGGGAAACCAATGTAGAAAATTTCTCGTGAGATGGGGGAGGAGTTAATGAATCCTGTATTGCCTCTTGCGATTCGGGGTTAGTCGAAGAGTTGTCAGTGTAAGTTAAGACGTCAATATTTTCATCCTGAGTTAGGCTCATGATATTCACTCCACTCGGCATTCCTTGATCCATGACCTCTTCAGCCTTAGCACCCTCTGCGTATTCATCACCCTCAACGCGGTCATTATTTTCATAAAGGTCATAAAGTTCATCATCTTCCCGGTCACGAGCAACGAACATCCCCGGTCCTAGCTCAAGCTGCCCAGCAGCATTTTCATCATCATCGTTATAAACCCTGTGGATCAAATCCAAATCGAGAGAAGTGTCGTCTCGAGATATCGAAGGAAGTGTCTCATTATCCAGGTTTAGGTCTAGCTCATCCTCATCCTCTACACCAGTGTTCTCAACGATGACAACGTCAATGGGGCGATGTCCAGCATCTAGCTCAACCAAATGACGAGGTGCGCTCGGAAGTGAAGATGAAGAGGAAAGGATTGCAGAGGAAGATGATGAAGATAGAGGGAGGGAATCTTCACTCTTGCCAGCAAGGACTTCCTCGGTGTCCAGTCGAAGATATCCTTCGGACAACGACGAGGAGGCAGTGATCGGAATCGAATGAAGCTGTGTGGCCAGAAATTCCACGGGCGACGACGGCATCGAGTTTCCATCCACCAAATCGCGTTCTTCTGAGACCTGATGAGCTTGAGGGATCGAAGACACCCTCATACTCGAGCCAGAAACGCTCTCGAAGTCCCATTCCAGACCGATGTCAATCTCCTTGTCCTTACCCAATCCCGTAATTTGTTCACCAGCTTCACCTTCTACGTCCGGCTCGTATCCGTCCAAGTCGGAGGAGGTGTTACCCTGTTCCTTGGCATTTGAACCCTTACTTTCCTGAAGTAGAGGAACAGAGACTGGTTCAAAATTCCTGGACGCACGCTGTTCTGGATCCGGGGTATGTAGGTCAATGAGGTTGAGCTCTTCAGCGGGAACAGTGGAAGATCGTGTGTACGAATGTAATGCCCATAGATGCGCAGAGCCCGCCATATTAGGAAAAATGGGGTTCAATGGTGATGGCGCAGGTACTGGAGGTACCGACAAGTCGACTAGTGTACCGAATTGGGTCTGTGGCGCAAACGGAGTATTCGGGGTAGACGCGATCGCATGGCGTGGGGGAACAACCGTATCTGCATCGGACTCTGGATCAGAGATGAACGGACGTCGATTGTTGTTATGCAAACGTCGTTTGGGACTGAGGGGTGAAGAGATTGATCCGGCACTGTGACTGCGTTGCTTTGATTTCAGACGCGAACCTGGCGTTGATAGACCGAAATGAAGTGGAGACTTTGGCCGTTCACGTTCAGGCATGTCATGCACCACAACCGCATGTTGCAGGTTCGAAAATGAGCGAGAGCGTGCGTGAGAGGGGACAAGACTAGGAAGAGGCGGCGGAACGGGGAAAGCCTTGAACTCTGGACTAAGCGTGGACGTATTGGTCGGAAGAAGTTCAACGTCGTCATCGTCGAGTGTCAGCGCAGCCGGTCTATGTCCGCGGCGCCATCGTGTTATGCGAACACTGATGAAACCAAAAATGGCCAGTAGAGTCGAATAGGCGAGCAAAGGCAAGATGGCGAATGAAAACATGGGGGCTGACGTGTCGACGATTACTGAGGCTCGGGGACTAGGGAATAGGAAAGAAGGAGGCGGAGGAATGGAATACGATCTATGTCAAATATTGGACCTGAGTAAAAGGAAAAAAAGAAGCATGAGCATGAGCAAACTTACTTGAATTCAGAGCTAGCCAAGAAGTTCAAGCGTGGCGCCACCAATGGATTCGCCCAAGAAAAAAAATAAGGACAGAAAAGCAGCAAATACCAAAGCGCAATCATATGCGACAATGGAGATGCTGGTGGTTCTTAACGAAAAGCGACCAAATCCTCGTTTAGTACACGCTGAACACACACGGTCGGAAATCAACTCGTGCTATGAGTATTCGGCCCGGTCCGAAATTAGACCAGTATCCGAATTTTGAGAACTTTGAGCTTGAGCTTGGGCACTGAAGTCAGCCTGTCGAAGACATGGTTAAATGTTAAATCATATACAAGGATCGCTGCGACCATCAGACTTCATCCGCACGTACAGCAGCGGATTTTGTCATCCGAAAATCTGCAACTATGTAGATAGAGTATTCAGCGAAAATCTATACAGTCTTGTTAATATTTACGGCCCCGTCGCCATCTTCTTTGAAAAAGACTATCTAGCTTCTCTCCGTTTCTTCTGAAATGACAGATCGCTTTCAAGTTTCCGAACCCGACTCCACAGGGCTGAGATATTCGCACAGCGCAAATCATGATTGTGATTGAACTTGAGCTTGAGCCTTGGGTGTTGTTGTGATTTCAGTTGTGACGCGTGAAGTTGTGATTTTATGAGATGTCATTGAGAAAGGAAGAGCAAGCGTAGAAATTCAAAAAATGAATGTCGGTCAGCGCTTATGCTATCTATGTTGCACGTGCTAGGGCATCTCACAGAGTGTTACATAAGCGCTCAGGCGCTCACTCAGGAGCTCGAAAACTCTCGAAAAACGAGATCTATTTTGCACCCTAATTCATTATCGGATCCTGTTGTTTCACTTCTCCAGAACGAACTTCAAATCAAACTGTATTCACATGTGAGCCTCCTTCGTCCAGCTCGGAGGAGGGAGGAGGAGGCCCAAAGGCCCCCAATCCAACTCCAGCTCACATAGGGTGCTCGCTTCAAAGTGCTAGTTGAGCAGTCAGTAATATCACACCTCTGTTCATAATGATACGGGGCAAGGAGGAGAGTCTAAGACCAAGATCCTGTATTGTTTCCGAGTGAGATGTAGGTCTCAGGATCAGTGGGAACGGTATATATCCAGCATACTCAAGGAAGAAATACATCTACTAAGTCTTTGTATGTCCGCTAGCATGATCTGCAACGGTAAGTATATCACAACTTCTTGCAGCGCGATTAGAGTCTTATCTTCACTCCTCTTGTAGATCTTCCGAACATGGTCATGCTTAGGGGTGTGCCGGCCTCAGTTTCTGATCTTACAGATGACTCTTATTCATCCCGTTCATCCCCTCGACTATCAGCGACGATTTCGCATCCCGTCTCTTTTACAGACAAATCGAATCCATCCACTACCACTTCTGCCAAATACTCGTCGGAGTTCCCGGTCGCTCCAAACCTCAAGCGCTGTTCCTTCTTTCCGGACCCAGAACTTGAACCACTGAAGCCATGGCAGGTTGCGCTAAATAGGCACATGAAGAATGCCAATATCCTAACCTTTGACCGAGATGAAACTAGATCGTCTGACATTTTTGTGGAACGCGGAAATGGTCCACACACAAACATACAACATGACGATTTGATTTCAAGCGCTTGGAGGCATCCTTATCCATCGTCTTGGCTTGAGATGAGTATATCGGACGAAGAAGAGGAGTTAGATTGGGATGATGAAGATGACCGAAGCGTTCAAGGAAGTGATGGTGGAAGTACAACAAGCATCAACGGCTTTGTCGATACAAACAAACCTCTCCCTCGTACCCCGCTCAAGCCACCTAATACGATTTCATTTCGTACACAGGAGATAGGGGCGACACCCACCATACGTCGTACGAGATCGCAAACTGTTCCCCAGCACGCACTGGAGGCGTATGCATCCCCTTTGCCGTCCCCTTCAACGACGACATCCAAGCGGGTTGAATATTTGCACCTGGCAGACAGGCCGCGGCCCCCTCTTGATAATCCATTTCTTTCTCGTATATCTGAAAAATCTGAGGAAACGGTGGAAGAACCGAGACAGTCAGAAGCCACAGTCAACGTTCAGTTTCGTTCCAAAGATACGCACGTAGTGGTGCCATGGCACCGCTCTTCTTTCCCCTCCAAAGTCACCTTCCTGCCGACTCTCAAGCGAAGTTCTTCCTCGATGAGGTCGTTGGAACATTTCTGGGAACAGAAGTTTGGGCGAAATGACCCAGAACCTGAAACCAAGTACAGGCGCAGAGACAGATTTTTCCGTTCCAAGAAACGTTTGGAACCGCTTCAAGAAGAATGCGCCTCAGAACATACTCCCGAGCCCATTGATGTTCCACCATTTTCAGTTGACGGTATTCCCAGCGCGGCTGAGACCGCTCAAGCCACGTACATTCGCGTGCTCAATGAGGATGGTACTTCCATCTCGTTCGGAAAAATACTTTCTGGTGGTGATTCCGGTGATGTTGGTGACAAGGTCAAAACCATCGTGTGTTTCATACGACACTTTCTATGCCCGATGTGTCAGGATTACATGTATTCGATCGGACGAAACATAGACCCAGTGGCACTTGAGCGGGCAGGACTTCGGTTGGTGATTGTGGGCAACGGAGGTTGGCAAATGATCAAGAGCTATCGCCGTCAGTTTTCCCTCAATGTTGTTCAGATTTCTGCAATCTAACTTTTTTCACAGGTATTTTCAAACTCCCGTACGCAGTCTATACTGACCCTACTGCAACGTTATATACTGCGCTTGGGATGACGTTGCGTACGCTCGATGCGGGTCCGAAAATATCATCAGCGTCTTCTTCCTCTTCGACCATTTCCATTTCCCCTACCTCCTCCTCCTCTTCCCTGCCCGACTCGACTGAGATTCGTCCCGAGACGTATGTTCGGCACAAATCCCTTCTCTCTGGTGTTTCCCTCGTTCTGCGTAACGCCGTCAAAGCCCGCATGCCCATCTGGCGGTATATGGGCGATAAGGCACTTCTCGGAGGCGAATTCGTGTTTGAGAAAGTGCCAGGGAAGGATATATCTTGCGTGTGGGCTCATCGCATGCGCTACACCACGGCTCATGAAGAGATCAAAAGTGTCGTTGGAGAAGCTCAAGCGAGCTCGGTCGATGTTGGATCGTGTTCGGGTACGGATTGCAGCACGTCGTTTATGACGGCAATGTCTTCGTTGAGTCGGATTAGCTCCTCTCTTGATCAGGCAAGTCTGGCTCGGGAAATGGGCTTTGTCGATGCATCATCATCCGACCTGTACAGTACAGATCTGTCGTTCCGAGATTACCCAAGTATGACGAGCAGGCCTGTCTCTTCGATTTATTCCACCATTGCTTCACAAACCTCTTCTACTTCATCTTGGAGCAAACTTAGGCCCAAGGATCTATGGCTCTCTAAGGAGAAAAATAGATGGAACAAGATGATTGGAATGCTTGATCAGAGACTCGTGGCAGGTAGCTCTGGTGATAATTCATCTGACTTCTCAACGGAAGGTTCAGAGCTTGATCATCATTTAGAAGTCGAGATACCTGAGGTAGTTGATGATACGCGAGATGAAGAGGAGGTCTTTCAAAGGTGGTTTTCCACGGCTCCTTGATTGTTGTACGTCAATAGGATACATAGCTTGTTGAGATAATGATACAAAACATCTTCGCATACATTGTTGTAGTCTCATTCGAGATTAGACTGCTAGGGTCTCAACAAATTCGCCGTTTTCGACCATTTCCTGCACTATGTCCAGACCACCCACAAATTCTCCGTTAACGATAAGTTGTGGGAAGGTAGGCCAATCGTTTCGTTTTTTGAGACCTGCAAAGCAGGTTAATGAATGTACGATATTCCGACAGATATATGACATTCACCTTGTCTGACGCCTTCGTCTGAGAGGATATCAAAATGCGTAAAGTCCACCTTTTGGTCCCGGAGTAGTCCGGTCATGCGCCGCGAAAATCCACATCTTGGCGCGTCTGGAGATCCCTTCATGAACAGCACAACTTTGCTCTGGTTCATGAGTCTGGTCATGCGTGATTCTAAATCTTCCGAAGGGTCAGCCACTTCGATGACTGTATTTGACGCTTTAGCCGGAGGGAGGTCTGTTCTGGACAGTGGGTTGATCGAAGGAGAGGAAGCAAATTTAGCAACAGCAGTAGTCAGAGCAGGCGCATCTGCACCTGAGATGCGTTGCAAGAGTGTATGACCCTGTATTGTGTAGTGAAACGACTGAGCAACATCCGGATATAACACAAGTAAGCCCGATGCTTACCCGAAGCAGTATCAGGGATGGAACCGATTCGATATCAAAAGACTCCGAAATATCACTTTGTGCTTCAGCTTCTATCTGTAAGTACTTTTTGAGAAAAGTGGAACAAACGTTCGAGCTTGCGAAATACCTGCAAGAATAAAACCGAAGGATATTTGTTCGCCAGCTCGACAGTTACAGCGTTCATCTGTTTGCAGGGCTCCGCCCATTCTGCCCAAAAATTGAGCACGGAAACCCGATTGAGATCAGAGGATAAAAGCTGTTGGAAATGCGAGGGGGAAGTAACTTCATGGTAGTTGGACATTGCGAGGTATTTGTTGAATGTTTGTCAAATGTCGTGATTGTCATCTCATCTTTTGCCGTGCGGCCAGATCCTGAACTACAATGAACAGAAAGGGAACCCTGGGTGTGTAGTGATTTATTCCAAATCCCGAAGAGCGAAGTAATCATACCGAATAAAACGCCGAGGGTCAAGCTAAGGTCTTCATAGTCTTCATGTGCAGCCGCTGATCACTGGCACTTCTACAATCCTTCACGCGTAAAATAGTAAGACGCATAGACTGGTTTCTAATTAAAACCTCCAGACTTGTATTCTTCTTTTCGGTCTAACAGGCTCGCAACGTCTTCGATGTCGATGATCTTTTCGCTGACTCGGAAGCTTGAAAGGTCACCATAGCGAAGGACCCACAATTTGTTATGCTTTTTGCATATGCATCTCAGAGACTTGCAAGTTGCCTGGTTACTATACTATACTGTTGTCAAAAGACTCGCTCTGAAAACTTGCATTCAAAAACGATACAACCTCTCCACAATTCCCGCTTTTCGACCATCAATGTCGATTTGCTGTTGGATTTTGTGCCTTGAGGTGGCTTCTGCTTACGTTCAAAGCTGTTTTTCGGCGGGGCCGGGAGCAGGAATTTCCTGAATGAGGTAGAATGAGGTCTGCTGGAGAATCCCCCGTGCTTCGACTTCCATATTCCTTTAAAACATCGGAGTTCTTCTATCCTTGATTACGCTGTATCAAAGTAGTACGTCTCTATCTGTCTCTATATCATCACAAGTTTTGTGGATCCATTGCGACCCTTTCCTTACCCCCCCCCCTTTGTTTTTCTCCTAGTGTGACTGCCTATGGTTTGGTTCAATGATACGTGAGTTCCCCTTGCCTTCCTACATAATTCACCGCCCACACGGATTGGTTTCCAATTTTCAGCCCAATCGGTCTTTCTCAATCAACTTCGGCCTTCACATGTTCAAAAAATGCTTCTGACAGAGCTTATTCCAATGGAAACTGTGATCTAGTTTCAAACTTCCAACGGAATTTCGTTCGTGTCAAGCGTAACTTGGTCGTTGCTATACAAACATTCATTATTTTTCTTTTCCCTTTCTAGTGCTCCAACTTTGTCTGCATCTGCTGTTATGTTCGTCTTCCTAGTCTTCATGACTTATATGATCACGTCGAGGAAGCACATATTGGACGGAGTGGTATGAGAGCATGGCCTCCTAAGGTCTTTTCCGAACTTTCTGAAATCTCCAGCCCACCTCGAGCGACAAGCCCGTTCAAAGACCAAGACTCGGACTGTACTCCTGACGAGTCCATTCTCGCAATCGCATATTCTACTCGAGATTTGAATAATGACAGCGCGGTGTACAAAGACACTTTGCACCTCGATTATTGTATGACTTGCGACCCAGACAGTTTTCCTCAGTGCCCTCCGCTGCGTCATCCGTTTCCTCGCCATGAACAATCATGTCATACCCCACCTCCACCAAATGTGGCGTCCGGTCTCGCAGCAGCTGATCTTCGTCCAACGGCTGTACAAGATAGCGAGTCAGAGCCTGAGTCTCCGAAACACGGTCGTGAAAGCTCGGTTGGCCCGATTAGATCCAGACTGCGTAATCGTGAACGTCGCGCGGACGTGCCATCAGATTCGCCACTCAGAGTGCTGTCCGGCAAGAGCAGTCTCATACAACCACGAACGAATGCTGTATCGCGAGAGCCTGTGGCGAAGTCTAGTTATAAAAAAAAGGTATCGAAGGTATCGAAGAAAGACTTGATCTATAATTGTCCAGTAAGCATTCGCATGTTTTCGGTTTGCTTGTCACTCAACACTTCCACGCTGTTACAGACTCCTGGTTGTATCAAGGTAAGATCGAATTTGGACCGAATTTGAGTGGTTTCGCATCTGACAAAATTTCGCTTCAGACCTATCGCAACGCCAATGGCCTCAAATATCACAAAGACAAGGGCACATGTCTCATTTCTGAGGAGTTCTTGGCCAATAATCATTCATGTCTTCCCGCTCCGACCCCGTATTCTCCTCGATCCTTGACACCGCCTATGGATTACCTCGCTCCACCTGCCTTCTCCTCGTCCTCTCCCATTACGCTACAAGGAATCATCACCATAGCATGTCCCTCTCCTAGTCTCTCGGCTGAGCTGATACATACGAGTCCCGGTTCCTCGTCGCTGCGTTCGCACGAATCTCCTTTCAGCTCCTGTTCTCGCAGTCTGAGCCCGCTTTCTATTCTTGAAAGCTCTGAATCGCCTCCTCCTTCCCCAATCGAGCTTCGTGCGTCGACCGCCACAATGATTCTTAGTTCTCCACCATTAGACACCAATCTTCCTGTAACTGTCTTTGCGCCGGCGGTGGCCTTGACACTGAACCGACCTTCTTGCTGCAGAAGTGCAGTGCAGGCAGTCCCCGGCGTTTCAGAGAGACCCAGAAACACTATGAAAACTGAACTTCGATTGAACGAAGGCCTGACGCTAGATGACGACGACTTCGAACGTTCAGATTCGGCGAATGACTTGCATTGAAAGAGTTTTTCTGACCACGCAGTACCTCGTTATTTCGCTACTCGATATCTTCTACGGTTTCCCTCCACCTTCCTCCGGAATTATTCCTTTATATCAAGACCAATCACCGTTGCAATGTCATCCGTCACGGTTTCGCTTTTACTTTCGCTGTCTTCATGACCTTGTAACTCTTGTACTACGCTGAAATCTCCGTCTTGAATTTAGTGACAAAAGTACTCCAAAATTTCAAAGTTATAGCGTTTACTTCAACCTATTTTACCGTAAAAAAATGTTCGCTTCTTATCGAATTTTTTCGTGAACCATAATGGCTAATTAGTAATATGTTTGTACTGTCGCGGCTGTTTTAGCTATTTTCCTGGTGTCACGGACCCAGCTGTCTGGAAAAGAAAAGAAAACCGTGCAGCCAATTGCAACAGTTGTAAGCTTATTAATCACCCTGCCGATATAACTCGCTTTGACCCCGCCCGATTAGGATTTTTTCGAGAATCTCAGTTTATAAACTGTGCAGGCCCTTCGCGCGTTTCGTTTCTACAACTGCGAAGTTGGATCGTTGGAGCTCAGTAAGACATTATGCAGTAGGATCACCGAGCTTCCACTCTGTTGCGCAGATGTACCTTGCTTGCATGTCTGCATATATTAACTTAGCGGCGTATTGGTTCGATGGCAAAGTTTTTTGGATACAAATCTCTGTCCTATAGATTACTATCTGTGCTCATTGCAGGCTACAATCTCGGGATTTAGATGAGCATTTGCTACTGAGACGGCTGGAGCAAACTGTTCCTTTGTGGGACCCCGTCATTGACGGAGAGCCGTGTATCTATCTATCCATTTATCAAAATTTTGGACGGATAAGCCACAGTATCCTGACCATGCCACGTCACACATGCTCACTGTTACGGCGATGTTATAGCGTGCACATAATATGACCATGAACAAAGTTCAGGATGCCAGTCGATGGTCGGACTTATTGTAGCTTGTTACCAGTTAGATTGGTATAGTTTGTTGAGCACGAGTCTCTGCAAGCGTGCAAGCTTGAAGTCAAATTGGCGTATGTACTGGGCTTTATGCAATGAGATGAATGACGGTGATATATAGAGGTTCGTAGCCTATACATAGACTGCGCATGCACCTGGCATGCACTGTGTGACACGGTTCTGTGGCTTCTTACAACATTAGAAACTTGTTACTCCGTGGGGATCAAGACTCACATTGGAATTGCAATGCCGAATGTAGATCTTTCACCCATATTACAAGTGTGGTATATGGCAAGCGATGATTAGATAGTATTTTCCGGGTATTTGAGAACATCCGTGGCTTATGTGGAGCATATTGTGACAATATTACACATAGTGGTCAGTTAACTTAACTTTCAGCCTTGGGTCTATTTTCGAGAACCGCGCACCAGCAGCAACTAGAAGGTGAAGTGAGCACTGGGAGGAGAAACCTGAGATATAGCAGTAAAAAAGGCCGTAACCGATGATCGCCGTGCAACGAATTACAGGATACAACTTGAATGATCCTGGACCCAATAAAGGCCGAAAGGATGAAAGCCTAAAGACGTTTTACTGTCGCGCCTGACCCTGGAATTTGAAAGACTCCTGTGCATTACCCTGGCATTACCTCCTGTGCAAAGTGGAAATTGTATCGCTCTTCAGCAGGCACTGGAATCATGGACCCTGTTCCATACAGTTTCGATTGGAGGGGATGTTCGACAGCATGAGTGCAAATGACGATGCCAGTTTACTAATTCAAGTTTCACCAGAAGTTGATGTTTGTTCCTTAGCACACTAAGAGTTGTCCTAGCGTACTGAGAAGAACAGAGGCAGTTTGTGCAGTTTGTGAACTTGGTTGAGCGAAGTATAGTCCAATAGATCTATGTACGCATTTTGACTGAGATATGAAATAGCTGCTGATTGCTGACCTTGTCAAGTCCATAAGGGTTGTTGAAGGTAGATAAATGATCTTGTGTGTAACATGCATCTCAGTCCCACCGTGACACTGGTCCCACACGACAGGACTTCGCTGATTAGAGTCGAGAGGGTCATTTGAAATTTACCATTGTGCATTCCTCTATCATCATATTATAAAAGTCACATTTTTCTTAAGAACAATGTTCGTGCGGTCAGCGATAGGCTTGGATTTCGCTTTTTGTGAAGTTCTATATGGCTCGGAAAGATACATCCATCGATCCATTCAGCGGGGAAGACAAGGAAAGGCACCGAGCCGCATTGGCATATTGATTCGTCGGATGTGCAGAGCAATATGACTCAAGAGAGAAGTAAGGGATTATAGATATCCGAAATTAAGGGATAGTGTAGCCAAGGTGTAGCAGCATTTTGAGAAGGTGCTGACAGAAGTACATTTGACTTTGGACTCTCCCTTGTTTGCATGATGTAGTCAAATTTGTATGAACCAGGCAACCTACCGTGAACGTCTCATCAAAACGTGTTGAGGGAAACTTGTTGAGTCTGTACACTGGCATGTTAGATGGTCAGTTGACTTGTAGGCAGAAGTGTTATCAACCATCGACGAAAAGATCCGCGATGGTCCCGTTAGGTTCCGTTGATCGTCCGAAAGAGTTGGGACCAGGTTGGGACGGAGTTGGACAGAAAGGTGCGCAAAATCATGGCACAAAAGCTGAAAGATAGCAATGATAATGATAGAATTACCCGATGCTCTGGATCAAGATAAGTTCGGAACAACATAGCTCGACAAGGACTCTTGTTTTCAGGTTAAAACGCAGAGGAATACTTGTATAGATCGCCGCCAGTCGCCGCCTTCCGGGTCCATCTGACCTGGTCAGGCGGGATCATTGACAGACCACGACGTCCGAAATTCGAATATTGTTATGTAATTTATGCACACGTGACTTTAGGATTTTCGGCCCGATGATTTTGAGCGGAATTCGCAATGCTTAGTTCGACCATCACCATCGAGTAAATATTCCCTCCGTTACCCTCGTCGTTGTGCCACAATAGTTGGGTTGAGCGCTACCAACGACTGCCAATGCTCAACAATCCTCCGAGACCTGTTCTCAATGTTTCCGTTGATGCTCTCCAGGATCTCGACGGTTCTGAGGCTTTGGCCGGCCTTTGGTTTCGTGCGTCCTTCGAATTGTTTTTAGGGCTGTGGACTAATTTCAGAACCAGTGTTCTCCAAGTGCCAGTTCTCTTTGAACGAAGGAAGACGCCTTGAAAATATTTCATGGCGCCTGTGGTCTCAACAGATAGCTGGCAAGTCCCTTAAGTATCGACCTTTGACGCCGGATTCTCCCTCAGAAGGTGTCTTGACTCATGGCTCAGGTACTCTTCTTTCCGGACCTTTTCTTTCAGTCTACGTAAATTTGACCTTTGGTATAGGTACTATCACGCCGTTGCTTTCCACATTTTCTCCTCGACGACAGCCGATAGGGAAAATTCTTTGTGACTTCATACCAAATTTGCAACAAACGATACAACCTTTGTATCCCAAGCTTCGTCTGCCCTCCAGGCTGACAAAGGCTGAGCACGAAGTTAGACTTGCGTCTGTTCTTCCTACTCCTGCTGCCGAATTGCTTTCGATATCCATCATACCCCCTACTCATTCTAACGACGAAGCCGCTGCCAGAAATATTCCATCGATCGTTGCGTCTGCTTCAACTTCCCCGGCTTCTGGTAACAGTTCTTCCAAGTCGATATCTCCCACAAGTGGATCGCATGCTCTTCCGGGTGCACTTGCCTCACCTTTTCCACTAGTGGTCGTAGTCAATCCCACTCCCAACCCGACGCCTCATCCAACGCCACCGGCTACACCTGTCCTTCCGGTCGTCCTGGCTTCTGATGCCGTTAGACACACGCACGTACCACTTCCACCACGAATGTCCCCCGACTCGCCTACGTTGTCTCGAGACAGACGACAGCTCAACTTAACGTTAGCTACAACCCTTGATTTAATGCCCGCATTTCAAACTCGATCATCTGCTCAACCTTCGATCTTCGGATCTTGCTCACCAGTTTCTAACAATCTATTGCCCCCTTCACCGTCTGCCAATACATCTAGTTCAATCACCAGCACCTCTTCTGCCAACTCTAACTCCAGCCATTTGACTGCCAGTTCATCGACTTCCATTCACTCGAATGACACCCGATCTCCTAATGCGACGCTTAAGCCACATGATGCGAGAAAATTCTTCCTTAAACTCGACGAACACAGTTCAGGTAGTTCTGACGAACCCTCTCCTATCAGGCCTGATATTGCGACGTTCACCACCAGTAAAGTGGATGCAGCATCGAGTCGAGCTCACGGTTCTCCGGTAGCTGCTTTTGCGCTTGGAAGTTACTCGACTGGGATGCAAAACAGTAATGGAGATGAAGGTCATTCCAACCAACCACCTGGTCTTGCTTTTCAATCCAGTGTCGGCCAGAGCTCCACGTCCGCTAGCGGAAGTTGGGGAGAGAGTGACGTTAGTGGTAGGCGTCGCCGCGGTCCCCCTTTGGCTAAGAGTAGTAAGGGCTCAAGCGGGCGCGCATCCGGCTCCAGTGACGGCAGAAGCAGGAGTCGCAGCCATGGACAAGCTCACGATGGCCTTATGATGCGTAAAAAGGCACAGGCATCCGTCGCGACGGGACGCAGAGGTCCTCGTTCGGGTGCAAATGTAGTCCCCCCTCAAACGCATGGTCATACGCGTGGTCAGGGACCAGTCGCTAGTGGTGACTCGTTACAACTTGGTACGTGTGGTTGAAATTATCTTAATCGAATTTTTGGAATAATCCAATGCTACTGCCTTCAGGGACAACTTTTTCATCGGCGCATGAACACAACCGAACTGAAGAAAAACCAACTCAGGTACAGCGGACCCATTTAGTAACGCCATCTCCCGGTCACCCCGTTCAAGTCCCACCGCCAATGCACTCAACAACTCCGGCAAGGCGGACAACGTTCAACATTGGTTCGCAATCTCCCAGTGGCTCTCCGTCGAATACGGATCTATCAACATCTTCCCAAGCACATACGAGATCTCCTCCGCCTTCGAACGCCGGCCCAAGTATCAGCTGTCCTCCGTTAGTATCTCCTGATAGGATGCGCTTACAGGGTCATTTGCCTGTGACTGAAGCTCGTGCTGGTCCATTATTGCGTTCGCCTCCTCCCAATGTACCTTTCGTCGTCAGTTCTCGTCAGCCGCGCGGGCTTCCCCATGCGGCATCTAACTTATCTGCTGCCGAAGCTGTAATTCAAGCCCCGCGTACGAAAAGGGTTGTGCTTGCTGACGACGACGACGACGACTGGGATGAAACAGAAACGGATTTAGACAGTGATTTTGAGGATGACAGGAAGAGTGATATCGATGCCGAGAAAGGCGGGACATTAGTCGAGCCCGGAATTATAGGAGGCGGTGATCATAATGATGATGGTGATTGGGTTAGCGAAGAGGACGAACCGGAATCTAGTCAGGCAAATTTACCTGCTAAACAGAATCCCCACCCTGCTCCTCCCCAAGCTCCAACCCAAAATAATATAAAACGTCCCACTGGTGTTTCGAGACATCAGTCACAACCTGATATACCTAATACGGCAATGGTATCGAGGCAGAAAGATCTAGAGCAAGGTCAACGACTTGATCAACCTCGACTTCACCAGCGATCCCAACATCCCGTCGTCCAATCTCGAACTTCACATCGTAGCGAGCGTGACCAGGCACACGCTCTCAACGATGCAAAGCTTAGGGATGCTGCACTGGAAGCTCAGCGGCAGCGTGAAATGTTCGCTAAGGTGCCGAAGCGGAGCTATTCGAATCTATCAACGCGATCACAATCAGGTCTTTTGAGTCAACTTATGAATCCTGACCCTAACATTTTCCCCGGAGATCATCCTTATAGAAGAGGGTATTCTGACGTTGCGGTTGGAGGTCGTACTGGTAATGGGCTGGCTCGATTAGGTATGCAACCCATGACCAACCTTACTGCTAATGCGGGAGTAAGGAATCATAAAAGCAACTTGACGACCGGTGCGCCGGGGCCTTCTGCTACCCAGAGAGGTTCAACATCTGCTGCCGAATCTAGTACCAGTGTTGCAGCTTCGTCCGTTTCTAAAGTTGCGCCCTTGGGACCTACCAAAAGCGCTGTAGCTCTCCCCATTGCTAATTCTGTGACGGCGTCAAGTTACAAAGGGGATCTCCAGACAATTGCCGGTTTTCCGAAAGGAAAGCAGAGACAGATAGAGCCTGATAGCAATGCAGGCGCGTATCGACCTAAAGGACGCCCCCAGGACGAGGAAATGGAAATGGAAGAAGAAAGTGAAGATGATCGAGACCAAGCCTATCATATTTCCAAGAGCGTTGCCGAACAGAAGCTAGCTGCCATCGCAGATAGACGGACTGCGAAGAAAGGGTCCAGTTCAGCTCAAGCGGGACCCCCTGCGGCACTCCCTCTACACCCTCATCCTTATCCAGCACCCCAGCCACATCGTTCCAAATCGCAATATATCGCAAATACTCACGAAAGGATTTCTACACCTCCGGTTCAGGTTCCGCTGCCTCTCGGATTCCCATATAACTTACCTCCGGCAGCACCCCCCTCCTCGCCTCATACTACCCGACAATTGATGCTTCGAAAGGAAATGCCAGAAAGTCTGCGTCAGAACCTCCTTTGGTCCAGAAAGATCAGTAATCAGGAATTAAATGGCCCGCGGAGAAACAGCAGTAGTGCATTGAGTCCGACACTACAACCGTTAACAGCCATTCCCACTGTGGTGCATGTGACGAAGAAAAGGAGACCTGAACCTGGGGAATCGATCCCCCAAGAAGTGGAGGACGCTCGTTCCGATGAGGATATTATGGAGCCAATAAGGCCAGTGGTGATGCAACGAAATCGAAGCTGGGCGGGCGGCGGGCGATAATAACCTTTGCTATTTTGTATACAACCGGATTTTTCTCGCAACAATGAACAATGGACCAAAGGGTTACTTGATGTCTTCTGAGTGCAAAGACTTGCACTTATTTGTCTTCTTCCATGGGTTGTTGCATTTTGTATTGTGTCTCTTCTTACTTCGCTCGTAAATGTTTCTTATTCTCCTTTACTTTTCCAAATTGCATTAACTGATCACCGACTCATCGTCGTTATACATACGCTATACATCCCTTACTACTTGCACACCACACCCCCTATGCATCGCTTTCCTCGTTTACTCTTAAAATTGTACTCTAGTACTTACTCACTTGACATTTCTGGATTCGTTACCTTCACCGCTTTTCCTTTGTTATAGGGCTTTTGTGCACATCTATCATCCCTCATTTCAACTGTACTTTCAGTGTAATAATACACAATGCATTTCCGTGATGGTTATTTAAACCTTTCGCTGACCTCTTGAATTGTCAGAAGAAGACAAATATTATTCATTGATCTTTAGGTATTCTCAAAATCTCACTTTGCACGGGGCATGGCCCCGCGCAGTCTCATATAGAACACTGAACGAACACTGAACAGTAGTTGGACCTCTCAGTCAGAAGTACTAGTGTAATGGGGCGTCCGGACGGGGCACCCCGAGCAAGGGATACCCGACACAGTCGGCGATTCTTTACCATTCAGAGAATTAATCATCAGGCTGAGATTATTTGTGGTACGATGGCAAAGCATGCCCATTGGCTTGCGTAGTACTGCGGCAGTGGGGCACGTAATCCTTCTTGCGCAATAGGATAGGATATATATCCACTTTGCCGTGAAGAAAAATAGCGAGGTGATTTTGCCATAAATTTGCTATAATAGCGTGCTGCGGAATTAGCAGGAGTAGAAAGGGCGTAAATTTTGGATGAGAATGGACTAGCTACTGCAGGTTGTCTTGCCTCATTTTATTTGCTTAGGCTTAGCTCTAGGACGTGGTGTTTTAATCCTGCGGTGCAATAACACTTAAAAGTGTATCGGCATGATGTCAGGCACTGTTGCATAATTATTAATGATGATTACCAAACCGAAGGCTCTTTAAGATATTCTCGGCTAAATCTTTGGGCTAAATCTGGAGAACTTTCATGTCGTCTAACGAAGACGACCTCAACGATCGCGAAAGCTCCCATGAGCCGTCTCAATCCAAGAAAAGACGAGTTGCTAGAGCCTGTGATTCTTGTCGTAAACGCAAAAGTGATTTTTCTCCCCTGTTTTGCTCTGAATATAACTGACTCTTCCCTAGTACGATGTATGCTCTGTCTTATTTCAACTTTAACAACTCAGATTAACATGGACAACGAAAGGCGACGGAATCCAGATGCGTGGGAGTCAATGCTCGAACTGTATCGCCTCCAATTTTGATTGCACTTATGTAGAAGCAGCCAAGGTGCGTCACGTCGATTTATCCTGATGAAGCTACCTCAGCTCTTTACTAGAAACGTGGACCCCCAAAGGCGTTAGTCTTTCTTTGAATCACATTCCAACTCGCTAATTCATGCTCTAGATACGTTGAAAGCTTGGAAACTCGAATTGAGAAGATAACAACCCTCTTCCACAATTTAATGCCCGACTTGGACCTCGCGAAGGAGCTGGAATCAAATTTGTCAGGCAAGAGGAACAACTCCTGGCAGCGTCCAAACGCACACTCTCCTCCGAGCAGAAATAGCACTACTGAAGCCGCCATTAGTGCCATTCGTCGGTGGGACATATCTCCAGAATCATCCTCACAACAAAACGCGGAGGACGGAGAACACATAGAACTTGCTGATAACATCAAGAGCCTGCAAGTCGATTCCCGCGAGTATCGATTCTTCGGGAAATCAAGCGGTGCTATGCTCATCAAAACAGCAATTGACCTAAAGCAGGAATTCACAGGAAGGAAAACCGATATGAAACCTGTCGTACTGGGAGAACGCAGACCAGAATTTTGGCAACCTCTGCCTGTGCGTCCTACACTTGCTTCCTGATCTAGCATATGCTGATTACTTTATCCATTGCATAAGTGGGAGGATAATGCATCTGATAATTCTAGTCTTAATTATACTTTTCCGGAAGCAGATCTTCTGGCAAGTCTCATTAACGCCTACTTTGACAACGTAAACATTATCCTTCCTCTCCTCCATCGTCCGACATTCGAACGGTCCGTGTTAGAAAAGCTGCACTACCACGACGATATGTTCGCTGCAATTGTCCTGCTGGTCTGTGCGGTTGGATCGAGGTATATCGATGATCGAAGAGTCTTACTTGACGGAGTTCGCTCTTGGCATTCGTGCGGATGGAGGTATTTCAATCAAGTTCAACTAGTACGCAAGTCATTGTTGGCACCACCCACCTTGTATGACCTTCAGTTTTATTGTGTATGTGTTCAATCCACTCCTTCTCTCATTCCTCACATGTTGCGCAGCTTTCGGTACAATTTTTACAAGGTTCATCTGCGCCTCATTCATGCTGGACAATGGTTGGCATAGGCATTCGGCTCGCGCAAGATGTGGGTGCCCACCGGCGTAAACCAACAAAACCCCTGACAGTAGAAAATGAGTTATGGAAAAGAGCCTTTTGGTAAAACTTCCCAGACGATTTATGAATGCATAATTGGTTTTGACGATTTATACGAACAAGGGTTTTGGTTTGTATGGATCGTATGTTCAGTACGGGGTTGGGTAGACCTTGTGCTATACAGGACGAAGAGTGAGTTGATCCTTTCAATTAACTTGACTTTCTGGACCGTTTCTGTAGTTATGACTTGGACATGCCTGTCGAATGTGACGACGAGTATTGGGAGCACCCAGATCCAGCTATGGCCTTCAGACAACCTCCCGGAAAACCTTCTACCGTGTCTGCGTTTAATACTTTCATCAGGCTTAATGTACTTCTATCGATAGCGCTGAGGACCATTGTAAGTTCGAGAATCGCTTTGCAAAACCTCGTGTTAATTCTCAAATTCCTAGTATGCCATTAACAAGTCGAAGATCCTGATGGGCTTTGGAGAAGTCCAATGGGAGCAACATATCGTCGCAGAACTAGATTCTGCGTTGAACCGATGGGTAGATTCAGTTCCCGATCATCGTAAGCCTACCCGTTCTCGTCTAAACTCCTCGTATACTAATGACACCCTCTAGTCCGTTGGGATCCTAATCGCGAAGATGAAACTTTCTTCAGTCAATCGGTTATGCTTTATTCACATTATTATCTCGTCCAAATCCTTGTCCATAGGCCGTTCATTCCTTCCCCGAAGAAGCCCTCGCCGCTATCGTTTCCTTCCTTAGCTATTTGTACGAACGCAGCGAGATCGGCAAGTCACATCATTGACGTGCAAAGGAAAAGACAAACTTCTGTGCTTCCGTTCTCACAGGTAGGTCCTCCTTTTTCCGCCCGTTGTAGGGCGTTTGATATATGCCTTTTCATCAACTTCGTACGATGTTCTCAGATTACTACATTCACGGCTGGCATCGTCCTTCTATTGAACATTTGGGGTGGCAAACGCTCTGGTTTGTCTACTGACCCAAATAAGGAGATGACTGATGTGTACAAATGCATGCAATCGCTTAAATGCTGCGAAGACAAGTGAGCATTTCCTAATTTTCAATGGAATCGAGCTGACTTTCGCGTATTCAATCGGCTGTGACTAGATGGCATTCTTGTGGTCGATTATGGTATTTATCTACCACTTCGTTAGATCCAAACGGACGGAATGATGATGTTAATTAGGGATATTCTGTACGAACTTGCTTCTGTTGGCGAGCTTCCTCTACCTAATGCTAGCCCAACGGCAACGAACAAGCGGGAACGAGGAGCCGAAAGCCCAATGTCATCCGCAGAAACTTCAGAGGGCAGTCCTTGCCTTTCGCTTTCAGACGCCCCTGTTTCTCCGGACTCGCGCTCCATAGCCGGTTCTCGACGTGTTTCTGCTGCTACGTCAGGCAATTTTGACTTTCTTAAGCCCACGGCAACCGCGACATCATCGCTTCATCATACCGCTGTAGGCGAAAGCGCACTTTCAACTGACTCATCCCCTGGGATGCAACTCTTCTCTCTTCCCGTTTACAGCAATGAGCTCGGTCGATTACCCCTATATGGACAGGTTAACTTTTCGGCAAGACCTCATCCCAACTCGCAGCCTCTAGACTGGTGTCCTCCTCATCGTGCGGGATCTTCCAGTTCAAATGTGCCCGAAATCGTCACACATTCACAATACATCCCGCCTGAATACTATAACTATGGTCATAACGAAAGCGGAGTTGCTCCACCGACGAATTCCGCTGTGCATGATTCAATGTTATACCACAATGGTCCGCTGAATGATACCGCGGGTCCTGGTCTTTCCTCTGTGGCTGCATATTCTGGAGACTCACCACTACATCCTTCGGACGGTTTGCTCTCAAGCAGGAACGGTGTAAATATGCCTATGTCCTTAGATAGTGATACGTTCGCCATGTGGTCAAACGCACCTTCTGGGTTCGAGTGAGTCCCCTCAATTTTCAGCTGTCCGATTTCAGCAAGTAACCTTTTGCATTGTAGACTCGATGATTGGGGGACATATTTGACCAACGTGAGCGAACTAACACAAACCATGAATCGTGGTCAAGATTCCTTCCAACAAGGTTAAGAATGTGTATTGAACAAAAAATCCTTTACCCTCGTTAATTCTGGCTTTCGAGCCTTTCGCGGGTATGTTCTCGGTTATAGGTAGTTTAGATTTAAGTAGAATAAACGATGTAGCGCCACCTCGATGTATTCAATATCTCATATCTCGCTTTCAATTGTTGCTTGTAGTGCCCCACCAAACAGCAAGAAAATTTCCAGGTAGTCTCCAAGTTTGGCCGTTTCGACCAGGTATAATTCTTGCGGCAGCAACAGAAGGACCCACAAGCTTGCATGCATAGCTAAAAGATACTGTTGTGGAAAGACTCGTCCTTATGTACGTCGCTTTGAGGGTTATTCAAATATACGCAGGGTATGTCTTGTTTGACCAATACATTTTTGGGCCCAGGCTCTCTTTGGGGACAGCTGGGGATGGTCGGACTGAGCGGGCTCTTGCCAAAATCCTTTTTTCGGTGCAAAATCTATTGGACAAACCATAAACATAAATAGACAGCAAGAAATTCAAAAGGTTAAATAATCATGCACAGCGCTGTATTGAGACATCAGGTGGACGAATAAGACGCAGCTGTCTGTCCTCCCCGTCGAGCCTGATATATACCGCTTTGGCCGGCAGGACAGGTCGAAAAATTTGATGGGTAATACCTACAAATCTTGAGCAATTCGACCAGAAAGCGGCTCTGAAATATTACAGAACCTTATTGATGCATGTGTCGTTGAGTACAGCACCACTTGGCGCCGTTCTGCCCCTCAAATTCCTCATTCGACTCTCCCTTTGTTCTGTTTATGGAATCTTGGCACGAGTCAATACCGAGAAAAAATCTTGTGACATCTTCGCCTGGACAGCCTCGTTACTTACTGCGACCTGTCCTTCTATGAGGCGATTTGATTCTCTCTGGATTATCTTGATCGATTCTAGCTTGTACGCTTGTATCAATTACTACCAGTCTTCATACTAGACAATCATGATGGACAATACTGAAACACTTACTATCTTGTGGTTCAAGGGGATTAAAGAAGGACGTTACACCCTTTACACCCTCCGACATCTTCAACACTCATCAATCATTCTCAAACTTGTGCGGCTTGAGTCAAGCTTGATGATCCACACGATCGGAGACGACGACTGCTACTCCACGATAAGGGGATGATGACTTTTCCATGCATTTTGATATGGTGGGGCACAATATGAATACTCACTGACTGAATGTGTGTGTTGAGATAACAGAGTTGGAGTGGCGAAATAAGCTGAGATCGTGTCTTGTGAATGCCATAGTGGTGAGTATAACAATTATCTATTTGAGGTAAGGCACACTTGACTTAGAGAATTAAAGCTTCGAGATTGCTATTCTTCATTGCCATGATCATTAGACATCAAAAAATGAAACTGGATCAACGGATTCCAGTGCATGTTGTTCAGCCTGAACATGTTAGAGCGCGCCACGCCATACGTGTCAGTCAATAAGTTACTCGACGGGTTTGGGGGCTCAACTTCAGAATGAATATGTACCATTGAGTTTCCGCAAGGATCCCAGACAATTGATCTCCATCAAGAGCGCAAGGCTGTTGATTGGGAAACAGCAAATTGCTGTTACTTCATTCCCGATTGATTCCGAGCACTTAATCATTGAAGTTAGAGAATTGTGATCCTAACGGATGATAGACGCAGCCAGAGCTGTACAAGATTGACTGGAGGTAGTTAGAGATTTTACCAGATAGATTCAAGTTCAATCAATCGAGACGGTGTGTGTTATATTTGCACAGGGAAGTTGAGTAAATTCGACGTCAGAAACCTATGCTACTAGAGCGTCAGAAGCAACCTTTTTCTCGAGCCTAAGATCAGAGAGAAAAGGGAACCTGATAAGACGAAGGGATCATTGGAACGCGCTTTGGACGGTTACATGCTCAATCAGGGAAGCCAGCCCAAAGCTTGAGCCCTGAGGCCTGACCTAAAAAGGAGGTTAGTTTGAAGATTCTCTTTTGAGTAAAGAAAGCGCGAAAGAAGGAGATTGGTTCCTTTTGTCAAAATTTTCAACGCGTTCATGGATGATGCAAAGATATATAAGCGCCATAATTGTGTTTGAATGAGCTTGCCCAAAAAGGAAATGGTGCTTTTTGTCTTTCGCTCTCATTCTTCCCGTGATTCTGAGGGTCTTTTGTCTTTCGCCCTTTCTGAAACTGGCTTCCCCAAGAACATCTCGCATGGTGATAATGTCTCGCCAAACAAAAAAACGCACCATCTTAGCGAAAGTCGAACAAGAAGAAAGAACAAAAAAGCTGTAGCGAGCACCGGGCGCTAGAACTTTTTGTGTTTCACTCAATTATTTTTGACACGGCTTGCTCGTTCTAATATGGATGTATCCTCCGTCTGGGACTATATAACCCCTACTCAAAAGATGGAGTGGAGTCACCGACATTTCGCTCAAGATATCCTTGACAATGCCAGCTTACTACTCCCAGCCTGCTGCCGCTAACTATTCCACACCACCGGCACACTCCCAAAAACAGAGAGGTTATCGCATCTGTGACCAGTGCGGCCAGGTCGAAACTCCAGTTGCGAGGTTCCGTTTATGTGGTGGATGCGTACGTCTCGGCTTTCGCGATTAGGATGTTTCTAACAATTACTTCATCCATTTAGATGGTCACCCAATACTGCGTACGTCGTATCTCCTCAGAGCCACTCTTCACTTCCTTATGTCGTACTTTCAGTCACAGGAATGTCAAAAAATCCATTGGCCCCACCATAAGACCATCTGCCAGCATACAACATCACAGATCGCTTCTATCAAACAACAAGCAGTCGGCGGTTTTTCCAATGACGAAAACATTGCCAAAAATCTACGGAAGTTCTGCTCCGCTCACACCTCTCTTCTTTGCTGGGTTGGGTTTCAAGCCCTGCAGCTGAAACGCGTTCCTTCGAACATCCGCCAACACGTCTTGATCATCGATCTCGCCCCTCACAGTCATCCTGAAGGCCATCGACGGTTCGTTCTACCATTTCTTCCTTCCTTCAAATGAACCGATAGCTTATCATGTGTTCTTTTTCAGGTTCTCGGTTGTCTCTACACGGATCGTCAAACGAAGCTATATCGGTGACCCTCTTGTCCTTGCAGACATTCAACGACGAGATGACCGCTGTCGGCATAACGGAGGTATCGGCGCGCTTGTTGTCCTTGTTCAATGCGCAGGGATATCTCAGGTCATGCCTATCGAGGTCGACCCTCCATCGAAAATTGCATGGGACACCCGTGAGGATTGGGCTTCTGTTCTCCATCATTTTGTAGAGTCTGGTCGGACAGATTTCCAACCTATATCAACGACGGCGAGAGGGTGAGTTTACTGGTTTCGTCTATGAGTGAACTTCAGAAATTCATGATGTTACGCAGTGTCTACTACGGATGAACATTCCGAACGCTCGACCTACCCAATTGTACATGTGTTAGTTTTTATACATTCTTTATGTTCTCCTTGTAGCATTCTCCTGCTTCTTTCTGTATTTTTTGCACTGCCTATGCATGTCATCATTTCGTACGTTACATACTATTCTATTGCTACTCATATTATAAAGTTTTTTTTCGTTTCTTAACGTCTGCCTGGCACAGATGCTTATCTCTTGCTTACTTCGACTTGATACCCGCTCATCTCTTGTTTTCGTTATACTGTACTATTGCTTACTGCTATCATGTTTCATTAGCTCTCATAAATAGGATGGTGCCAGTTCTACGCTAGTTTCTGAAGAGTCTATGAAAAAATTGTTGTGTGTGACACTCACTCTGCTGGAAGGACGTCTGTGACATCGTGACGCTTAATTAAAAGTGATTCGCCCCGGCATCGATATTATCGGGATATCATCATATTAAACCCCTACCGGTACCCCTACCTGCTCATCGAGGTGCCTGGTATCATCAACATCTTTTTTATTCAAATTTCTTCTTCACTCGTTCAACCATTTCTGCTACTAGCATCAACGCCGAGTTGTCGAAACCTTTGCTGCTTTGTTGCGCACTAGCATCCTCGTCGCACTCGATTAATACCTCGCTTAACGCGACGATGACTTTGGAGAACAAGAAACCACTAGGAAACAACGGAGATGATCAAAAGAAGTGGTGTTCACATAACGGACGAGATTATTTTCGTCTCCTTGGTGAAAGCGAGTATGCATACTACGTGCCAGCTTCGCGCGATGGGTTGAACGACATGTAGGTCGTCCATTTATCAACTTTCACCTGACCTTTATCTGTTGTAGGTTTCTTCACTCCTCTTTCACGGTCAAATCCAAAGAAACAGTGATGGATCCGTCCAGGATAGCTGTTTGTTGGGCTATAACTCGTTCCCATCATCCTTTACTCATGGCCAAAGTCATCCGGGATCGAAATTCGCAAACTTCCGAGGACGAACCGTATTTCTGGTAAACGCATAGTCCATGACTTTTCATCCGTTCTCTCAAGTTACTCCTAGGTTTTCACCTCCAGAAGACGCGGTAAAAGAGGCTACAGAGAGCTTGGTATTCAATACTTTATCCAAGGATGGTGCGTAACTTTTATCGTAAGCGAATTGTATGCTAATCACGGACTTCCGTAGAACTGATATCCAACTACCTCAATGGTTCCCGTACACTATCTGACGAGCGCATGTCATATCTGGTTATATCAACATCCTCAGATCTCGAACCGTCCGCCAACAATGATGAAGGAAAGTATGATCTCTTGATGTGTGCCCCTCATTTCATCGGAGACGGCGCTTCACTTCATCAGTGTACGCACGAACTGATGACCTTGTTGTCCTCTCCTCAAACGACTCATGACCTTGCCCAAAGTTTGATACGGCCTCCGAATTGGGTACTCTTAGTCTTTACTTGCAGATCATTGGAGTAATAACTTCCTTATTCCGTAGGTTGACCTCCTCCCTCCCGCACTTGAAAGCCGCCTGCCAGTGTTATCTAGTAGGATTGGTAAAGCCACAGCGAAAGTCAACTATCTTCAGACTTTGCACAGAGAAATCGTCAGTCAATCCTCCGACTTCTTTCTTTAATCATGATCGTTGTTGTGCATTCTGCTTACAATCTGTGCGCCGATATCGTTGTTTTATCCTGATCATTCTTAAAATCTTCAAGTGTTCATGCCATTATGATTTAGGGCGGCCACACTTTGCGGCGACAACAACGCGAACCTAAGAAGACAGTCATGGTAGAAAAATCATTCTCCGAAGAAGATACTGTGAAAATACTCGCTAAGTGCAAACAAAGTGGGGTCACTATCAATCATGCCTTGTTCGCATTGTGCAATGTCGCCTGGGGACATTCGAATTTGGACTTTCGAGCTGTTGAATCACCAATGTAAGTTTCATCGCATCTCCCTGTCAATCCGTCTTTCCGCTCCTACAATTCGAATTTGTCTGACATCTATTCGTCGTTAGAATGATGTATACCGCACTAAACCTTCGTCCCTATTTAACCCTACACCCGTCATCCACATACTGGTTCCTCGCCCTCACCTACTTCAACGTTGTCCTACCCTCTTTCGTACCAGGTACTATCGCCGCATTTTGGAACCGAGCACGTTCGGTCAAGGCGCAAACACGGAAAGTTGTACAGTCCCCCTTCCTTCCTTCCCGAGCTATGACGGGAGCTAGAACAAGGGCAGCGAAAGCGAAAGGTATACTTTCCACCGTTTCGACCTCTAACGTTGCCTCCGCCACGGATACAGCAGAATCTCTTCCTGCGTCTATCAATGATGTTCAGGCGGCAAGTGGAAGCATCAAGCTTCCTCCAGCTCCGAGCGCCGCACTTTTTGGCTTATCGTTGATTGGAAACTTGGACAACATATATACGCAATCTGCTTCCTACTCCCGCAAACACATCTCGCCCACATCCGCCTCCGCTTCCCCGTCTTACGACACACTGTCTTCTTCCCCCACTCTTCCTCTCCCGTCTGTCGATTCTGGTACGCACCCAACAGAATACATTCACCCAATTCAGATGATAACCATACACACCGTGACCACTGCGAGTCGACAGAAACCCGGGGGTCTTCTTCTCCTCGAACACACATTCGCGAAGAAATTATGGCTACATTTGTGTTGGGATGTAAATGGGTTCGAGATCGGACACATTGAGAGGTTTTGGGAGTGCTTGGAAGATGCAGTGGAGGAGTTGTTGATATCTTCTTAGTAGATGACGGATATTGACGTCGTCGGGTTCTTCGTCTTTCTTGGCTGGTCCGGTGGTTTTGTTATGTTGTAATTTTGCCGCAGCAGCAGGTTTGTATTTACTGTATCATCCATACTTGTTGTGTTGCACGATTTCCTTCCGTACTGAAGATTCGCTGATGAGAAATGTCCGGACCGTGCGTGAGGTTCTTACGCAATCTCATTCAATCCTTACACCTTAACCACTACTACGTTGCACATATATGGTCGCTACTCTACCTATCGAGATATTGGAAACTATCCTCGACCAACTAGCGAACTCCAAGACAGACCTTCATGAATGCACGCTTGTGTGTAGAGCATGGGCTCCCAGAAGTCGTGCTTTGCTCTTCAATTCATTATCTACTTGTCCAACGTCTCCCGCTCGCATATCCGAACCCTTCTTGAAAACAATCCAACTTGTTCAATCTTCACATCTGAACTTTCTTGTGAAGAGTGTCAAGGTGGACTGTTGTCACGTTTCCGAGTTTACAAGGATTACATTCAACACTTTGAGGCTCCAACATCTCACTAGATTGTGGCTCTGCAGGACTGATTTTGCGCGCTTCGAGTGGAATATATGTTTGACTCGAACGCTAGTGCCTTCTTTAGATACTTTGGTTCTTGATCGAGCAGTGTTCAAAGCCCCGGTCCAATTACTTCACTTTTTGTCGAGCCCTTGCTTTTCAAAACTTCGTTCGCTCACTATGACCGACATATCATATCTGCTTAGATCAGATTCAAGCTCTAGTGATGCAAATCGGATAATCGAGTCATGGTCAAGATCTTCGACCGTGAGGTCTTCCACCAATTCCCGCATTATGCTCGAGGAGATGGAGATTGGATTAATCCCGCATCACAATATTTTCAATATCCTATACCACCCCAATTCATCATTCGATTGGGCATGTTTGCGAAGAATTACGTTCTACCGTATATGGGACAATGGACTCATACAGGGATTCTTGAATGGGCCATTGACAGCCCTAAGGTGTATCGAGTTCAAAGAAACAGAATATATGTATCATTTTGGTCAGTATATTTTTCAACTGTGTGCAATAACGACTGAAATTTTCCTTGGTTCCTGCAGCTAGCTCCGGAGCTTTCAATGGAATCATACAAAATCCTGCTATTCTTTCTAATCTTACAGAACTTTCTGTGACGTTTTCCTTCACCTATGATGACTTTCAGTTCCTTGCTGATGTGGTGAAGGAGGCTCAGAAAGGGAATCGGCTGAAGAACATTAGCCTTGTATTCCCCATTGATTTGAAAGGTCTAGAGATTGAACGGGCAGAACCTCAAGCACGAATTCTTGATGGGCGTGCTGTTATATTCGCGTTAGCATCATTGCGGTTGGTGGACAAGGTTCGATTGATTGTGCCTATTATTGCAGACATATCGAGGGCCATAAAGCATTTCATTTGCACGCACTTCGACTTTGGTACTAATGAACCAATTCTAGTGGTCTATAGACAGGCAAATATTCTGAAGGATAGACTATCTACATAGATCGATCGAGTAAAATTTCACTGGCTAGGACTTCGTATGAGAAATAGACACACTCTGTATGTACGTCGTTAGAATTTCATTCTCCATGCAGTACTGGGAAGCCGACGTACGTATAATGATTTAATTCTTTCGGGTAATTGTGTAAATAATGCAAGTCGAAATCTATCCAAATCTAAGAGCAGAATTTGTACGAAGAGGATAACACTCATAAAGAAACCAAGGATCGTATTCACTTGATAGAGTGGAAGAATATGATATGTCCTTGTCCATGTCCAAAATCATAACCATGTATGTGAGATATGTGTGGATGGTGAGGAATGATGTGAAAAGTGACAATATTACACAGAAAGACAAAAAAAGGGGGATTGAGCTGAGATGAGCTTTTTTTCTATCAGTTGTTTAAATAAGGAAAAAAACAGCATAGTATTGTGACAACAACTCGAATTTCCGAAATCCGAACAGAAAAATGAAGTCGGGATAGGTATCACGAATAAAAGGGTAACAACGTCCACATAAAAAGTGGTTTTAGGCTTGGTTTTGGTACATTTTTCGATATAGGATCAGGGTATCGCCGGGTGATCACAGATCGGGGACATTCGGCGTATATGGTATGGACTGAACAGCTTCGTGTTCTAGTTTCATATGTGCGGGGGGTATGAGGGAGGGTAATGGGTGGTTATCATGGATAGTCACAAGGACAAGGAGGCGTTGTTCTGATATTATAACAGTCCACAACCGGCCCTCATTTTCTTCCCCTTCGTCCTAGTCCTACTCAATGTCATCAGTCTTACTCCCTTCATCATCCGATATATCCAGATTCGACATGACATCCACAATGTCACCATCTGACACGGCGTCCCATCCTCTCCTCCTCGGGGCAAACGCAATTGAAGACGACGGACCCAAATTGTACCGATGATCGTACCGGTACTCATAATCGGAACCACCATGACTGGGGTACGGCGAAAACGATATCGGCGAAGTGGGTGAAAGCTGCTCAGGCTCCAACGAGTCAAGTTCAGCAGGATGACGACCACCTTCTTGATTCCATGAAGGGATATGCCGTACACGACGGTATTCGCCTTCGTCTGAAAATAAAGACATATTATCGTCATCAAGGTCAAGGGACGACGAGTCAGAGCGAGCATCCTCATCGGAGTCGACGAAGAACTTCATGTGAGACCGAACACGGGGATCCGAACGAGCAAAACCAAGGATTTGTGGTTGTGTTAGTGCATGGTTTGGTCGAGGACGTATCGAGGAAGGTGATACTGGGGAGCGCGAGGAGACTGGCGAAGTAGACAAAGATGGAATCGCGGAGTTTGGCAAGGAAGTTACCCCCATTGTTGATGAAGTCCCAGCCACAGCACTCAACACACTGATACCCGACGGTGCAGAGGAAGGTGAGCACGTATTTGACGCCCCTGTGACACCGGGAACTGAGGAAGCACTCCTGGCATGCGTAAGATGGCCATGGGCAAGACCTAGACCTAACGACACTACACTCTCACTCCTCCTCCACCCAGACGATAACGTGGAGAATATCTTCCCCATAGGTGACATACCTGCATTCGGGTGATTTGTAGTGGCCGTGAGCGTCGGTGTGATGGTACCTGTACCCGCATCTGGTGTTGGTGAACGCGATCGGTAGATGGCGGGGGAGCGTGAACGGGAAATTGAACGACGAAGAGATATAGATTGTCTTTTGGAAGGCTGAAAGTCCTGCGTTTGTTTTGCCTTACCTTTCCATTTATTGCGCGGAGAAGGAGCGGCTGTGGTAGATACAGCAGATGAAGGTAGTCCTCGAGTTCCAAGTCGTGGCGTTCTCTCAGCATCTTCCAAGCCCAGTTCTCGTAAACGCCTTTCTGGCGCAGAAGCACTGGGGCGAACGGATGGTGGCTTATGGCCTAGGCTAGGGGGTTGAGACAACAGGGGGCTATTCGCAGTCCCTATGATTGCTCTCTCTAAAAATTCCTGCTCACTGAGCTTGGTAAGGTCAGACGAATGACTGCTTCCCTTACCCTCCTCTTTCCCTCGAATCCGACGCCGCTCTCTTTCTCGAGTTCGAGCATCTTTATCATCGCGCCTCAGCGCCCTCAAGCGCATATTCGGCTCGCTAGTAACAGGTCCGCGATCACCAATATCCTTGCCTTTGTTGTCGCGCCTTCCGCTAGAGCGAGAACTACGTTTGCTCGAAGTGCGGTCGACACGGGAAGTACGGTCATGACTGGATGTAGAATCAGAGTCTTGAAGTGAAGGCCTGGAGCGAGATGGGACAGCGCCACGTAAGAAGTTGGAAATTCGGTGCGAGATCTAGTGCACCGGGGGATACAGGGTATGCGGATACCCGGAGCGCAACGTATTCGAAGACACGCAAGATGCAGGTTCACCAATTGTAAAAACCAGCGGTTGAGATAATTGATATGACGAACGGTTATCAGATGAAAGGCAAGGAAATAGTAAGCAATCCATCTTTTGCATCGAAAACGGAGTAGAAAACTAACCCGAAGCAAACCTCCCTTCTGTACTTGCAGCTCTGAGACTTCCTCCGTAACCTTACTGACCCCACCAACCATCACTCGACTTCCTCTGCTCTCCTTCTTCTTCTCCCCAGAGGCACCTTGCCTCCGCCATCTGAACTTGACTGCACTCATCGCTGCGTCCCGCTCCTTATCAGTGACCTCAATCTTCTCTATTGGGGCAAATTGCGTGATAGGGTCTTCTTCGTCTGCAGCGGTATGTTGAACGATAAAGCCGCTTGCACTAGTTCCTGAAATTCCTGAGGTAGAGTTCGCCCTTGCGGAGGATGAAGGTGGTGTGGGATAATTAGAAGGACCAGGGAAGATAGCGTCAGGATGCGTGACCGACGCAGTTGAATCCGTGAGTGATGTGGTATCGCTGAAGCTAGTGGCTGGGGTCTTGAAAGGTACCGGGGGGGAAGATGTTATGCCTGTAGGCGTTGATGGGCAAGTAGAATCGTTCGGCGATGTCATGCGAAGCCAGTAGTCGGGGTTTGGGAGGTCTTGAAGGAACCAAGGGTTCATCTGTGATAAGAGGATGAAGTATTAATCAGAGGAATTGAGTTAAATGAAACATAAGCGACGTTGGGGAAACTGAATGCACCTTCACTTCTTCAAGCGTTATCCGCCTCTCTAAATCCTTCTGGAGGAAATGGTCCAAAAGATGCATAACCAACGCCCCTTCCTTGGATCCCTCGGGCTTACCCTTTTGACCTTCCTCCTTCGCCGCGGAATCACCACCCTCACTATATTCTCTTGTTTTTGTATCAGTTTCAGTCGTCGTTACCCCATTCATCAACCATCCCCAACCATTCCACTGTCCTTCCCTGGCCTTTTGTCCGCCTGTGAGCACACCGTCCCAGCCCATTTTGTCCTCCGCCCGCCAATCACGATTGCATACCCAATAATAGCCCGCCCATTCAGTTATCCGGTCTCCTTCATCGCCTGGAGGGCGAAATGGCGTTTTACCGAAAAGAAGACAGTAAAGTGTTACGCCGAGGGCCCAAATATCGATTGATTTTGTGACTGGTGGACGAGGAGGTGCGGGAACAGGAACTACGTCCGCAGATACTGGCTCAGAAGGTGAAGAGCCTTCTGGTGTGGTAGGCAATAACGGAGTGTATGTAGGGTAGAATTTCTCCGCCTGGGGCCACTCGACGAACTCCCATACGATTTCCGGAGCCAGGAACGCGGGGCTTCCTGCTCTTTTCGCCAAGTCGGCGTCATTGAGCAGTAACGGGTCTTCTTCGTTGTCGTCAATTATAGGGAGATTCGAAGCCTTCGCTGCAGCGAGACGTTGCGCGTAGCTAAAATTAAAGGAATGCATTAGACATACACGGTGATGAAGTAGGCGGGACGAGAAATTAATGATAAGAGCAAGATTTTAAAAAATCGTAGATCAGAAGAAGAAAAAAGACGGTAGACGAATAATGGTAAAGTTGCTTATCCTCCGCTCAAATATAGATTTGGATAAGGAAGAACATGGATTTCTTCGAAAAAGTCCACGGAAAAAGGTCTGGAGCGTTTCGCGCATATAATATCGCGGACCGAACATATACAGACTGATCGTGAAAACCAGGATGGTCAGGAGAACGGATTAGAAGTTTGATAGAAAGAGAAAAATAAATAGTCGGTGGGAAAGATAGCAATATTAGAAAACAGAACGGTGAACGGTGCAGAGGTAGATGGAAATCGAGCACAGTATAACATGAAGCGCAACAGAAAATGGACACAACCATGAATTATTAAACGTACCTAAAATGTGCTGTTCCAAAATCCGCAATTTTCACTCTGTCGTGGCCCGTACTCCACAGCAAATTCGCAGGTTTTATATCCCTATGGATAATACCCTGGTGATGCAGATACTCTAGCCCAAGTATAGCATCTCGCATGATTCTGCGAGTTTGCTCCACAGTCAGTATTGGTGTACCGGGTGATGTAGGAGAGGTGTATTGGATTTCGCCGCCCCCAAGGTATTCCATGACTGGTAAAGTTGTAGTTCGTCAGCAAATGAGAAGAGTGAAAGTGAATAACGAAAAAGTGGAAGGGACGAAACACGAATCAGAAAGAATCCTCGTGCTTCTATCAAGGATAGTGGATTGACACTAGGAGTGAACGAAAACGATGTCGACGGAACGTGAAATTCAAAGGCAACAGAAAAGTACGGTACACGAATTGGATGACAAACAAACTTACCCATGAACACCATTTCGTTCTTCCTGTCGTCGATAACTTCGTATAGCCGTACAACATGCGGATGTCTACATTTTTTCATGATTGCGATCTCTTTTCGAATCTCCTGCTCTGCGGTACGTATACCGTCGACGACTGTCGGTGTACTTCGCGGACGAGAGGTCCCTAATCCGTTTGCAGAACCCGACGCACTGGAAGCTCCTGCCGCGTTGCCTGCGCTACTTCCAGAATTATTTGCGCCAGCACCTGCGGCTCCCAGTCCTCCTCTCATCCTCAGCATCTTATACTGTCTATCCCTTCTGGCCTTTGGATTATCTCTCTTGACAATCTTCATTGCTAGGACCTTCGAGTTTCTCTGCCTCTCAATCCTCTCTCGTTCCTCAGGATCTTGGCCATCGTAGTATGAGTAGTAGTACTTGTTCTCGTAACATCGCCAAACGTTGCCGTGTTGTCCAGAGCCGACTTTAGCGTCCATAACGTATTGATTAATCATTTTCTTGCCATCTGCAAGCCGTGTGGTTTGGACGAGGGAAGTTGTGACAACTGCAGGTTGCGCAGTAGTAGGTGGCGGGTTCGAGACCAAGGTTGGGTAGGATTGAATAGAAACCTGAGAATCGCAAGATGATGAAGCTTCCGGGAACGAAGACATGTTGTTATATGGATGTATAGTTAAAGGCGCCGACAGTGGAAGCGACACCTCCATCGTGGTACCAACCATCTTGAGCGAAATTTCAAAGGAGCCGCAACGACGTTTAGTAATTCGAATTCAGTATAGCAACAATCACCGCTAAAGCGTCCTGGGTTTCGTGCTATTGAGCCAGTGTGTATTTAGGAAAGATATCGTTGTTGGTTCTAAGTGAAAGAATCCAGTTACAGCAAAGAAGTGTTGTACAAAGCCCACAGAAAGGAATCTGGTGGTAGAGCTATTTGGTACAACGAAGGAATAGTCGAAGAACGAGGAAGAAGGAAGGCCCCCAGAATCTCCTGCAGAACCTCACCCGAAATAGCGTCATTTTGGGCCCGATTTTGACGATTTCCTGGTCCTAAAATAGCGTCATTTTCAGTCAAAATCCTTAGTCCTTGTCCGTTTATAGCGTCATTTGAGTCGGCAGGAGTCGGCGCACCAGCACCAAACCAAAAAAATTTTAAAGCACCGGAAAAAAATGGAAAAAGAACACCAACATTTGAATTTTGAAGAAAATTTTGGAAAATTTTTCGATTTCACGTGACGATCCTGGTCCGAAATAGCGTCAATCATGGCAAAATCATAGCGTCAATTAGGGCGTCAGGCCGGGTGGGGTTCTGCAGGAGATTCTGGGGGCCTAAGAAGGACGATTTTGGATTACGTTACTATGAAATTCATGGTGAGTAATCACCGATGTGTGATCGTCCCACATCAATTTGATTGCGAGCGAAGCGAAGCAATAAAAAACCTCTTACTGACCACCATCTTCTCACAGGCGCTAAAAAGAAAATGGAAGGAAACGGTGCGTTCTCCCCACCAGTTATCTTGCTAACATCATTGCAACTAGGCTATCATTCATCAATGTTGGACATACTTATTTGCTTGCCGCTGGTGGATGTTTGCCCTTGCTCGTCGCCATTTTTTCACCTTCTGTGACCATCACCCACGGTCTTGCCTATCACCCCATCAATCTTCAGCCACACACACCGGCCTACTATCATCTACTCTTTTCTTCCCATGACCACCAATACCTGTAACCTTTTGCAATGGCACAACTGCTCAGTGCTGCTCACTATAGCACTCAAGCTCGAGAGGGGTCATGTCTGACTTACTCCACCACTCCACTCCATTCCACCCTGTGACTTCATATTACCAAAGCCAAAGCTGCCGGCCAGCTGTCTCCCCACCGCCACTTCATTTACTCATTTACACAGTTTTCCGGAGTTATATTGAACATTTATATCTTTGCAGTTCATCACAGTTATCATCCTGAGGTGGCCATCAAAAACCGTCTTTGGACAGACTGGACCATAGGGGAATTTGCTTTGTCTATGGGGCTTTTGGACCTCAGGCCTCAAATGAACTGACCCTTCAGTTACATCTGCATTTCACAACACCTTCAGTACCTAACTTCTACATTACATTCAAGTAGCTATGTCAGTGTACCTGCAGTCATGTAACTTCCCCACTGTACTTGCTGCAGTCTACCATGACCATGTGGCATGAGCATTCGCTGTAGTGGAGGCAGTGGGCCCGGCTGTTCCCTTGTGGGACCCCGTCTTCGGACGGAGCCGCGTATTTATCTATCTATCTATCTGGCTAGAGGGCTGAACCGGGAAGTAAACAAATACAAATTGTTGTCGCGCAAACTCCCACGGAGTCGGAATACCCGCGGATGTGTACGGATGAGCGGATGCTGGGGCGGGGAGCTGTTCCTTTTTAAGTAGTGCTCTGTAGCCCCGTAACAAAAACAATCATTTAATTAATCATGATCAAACATAGTACGGAGGTGCGCCAGCACCGACCAAGACTATTGGATCTAGCACTTCGAAGCGAGCACCCCATGTGAGCCGTATTTGGATCGGAGGGGCCGAAGGCCCCCTCCGAGCCGGACGAAGGAGGCTCACATGCGAATGCATGTTAAGATGTGATTTAAGATTGCCGGAGCCGCCGACGTCATCGAATGCTCGAAAGCGCGCGCCACACCTGCGCGCCACCGAGCTGCCACTCCAAGAATTCCAGGAGTCTATTAAGTTTGCCCTTCCAGTGCAGGAAACAAATTCTCACTGTTACAAACGCTTAAACAAGTACACATGGTTATAAATATTCTTCGCGAGCTATTATAAAGTGTTCATTTGCATAGAGCAAATGCAGTCGTTCAGCATGTCCTTCAGGCCAGACTTGCAAGTTTTGCATCCAGATTAGTGTCACTCTGCACACATCATCACTGAGAACCGAGATAGTCCGAGCAGAACGCATTCGACTCACATTATACAAAACACCATCATCACTGTGGTGAATGACAGAGGTATCCAGACGCACTCTTCCCAGGTCCGTCGTATGACCTACAGACGTCGAAAACGTATTGGGGTTCTGGATAATTTGGACAGCGGGTCGAGACTGAGATCCATGAGAACTAGATGTAAAAGTATTCATTTCCAGAGCGCGTGCAGCTTGTCCGATTTTTTCTCTGCTGTTGAGGTTGGCCATCATGACATTGGCATATCTTGCAATGTTATGTTCATTTGAATGGTCGGATTGTTCAAAAGAAAATCGCTCACAGAGGACCCAATGTAAATTCCCTGTTCCGAGTGACAGGCATCTATTAGTTAATACTATTCGGAAGAGAGACGCATGATTCAAAACTCACAACGTTACACGCACAGTTGTGGTAGGAAGTACAAGAAATACAATGAGATCTGCTAATGCGAGTGTCGCAGTGATCAACCCAGATTCCACGAAATTTATGATTATCCTGTCTAACAGAGCCTTGGTGAGCGGAAAGGCAGAGTTTTTTCGTTCCCGACGCATCTGACGGGTTACATGAGCTTGGCCTAGAAATTAGGAACTACGAGTAAGGAACCTACCATGACCACAAAGGTAACACCGTTAATCCAGTCCCCTATGACGGCGGATGCTAACCAAACCTAGTCTAATGATTTACAGGTAAATTTTTAGAAACCCGCGACCCGAGACCGACCTCTGAAATCTTGTTGAGCGAAGGCACAAGCTCAAAATTGCGACTAATGAGATAGAACTGTTTCATTTTGCTTCAATATATCTTGTCCGTATTTATATTCAAAAATCAACACACACCTTGACATTGAATGCCAAACAAGCTGAAAATTGCATGGTCGATATCTTGATGGGGTTTAAACCTGTTCAGACTCGATATCATGTGCCAACAGCGAACGATCCTCACCATGATGGCGATGCCTAAAAACCCTATCAAAACTGCTCCTCCTTTAGTCGCTCCTCCGCTGAGAGTGTATATGCGCCTGTGATCAGCCAAAACGTCAGTCGATCCTGATATCAAGTAATATATGGGGCAGGAACAGGGGGGTGAACATACCAAGAAAAGAACATTTGAGCCAGTGATGTGGCTAGAAATTGAGTACATAGAAATTAGCTGTCCTGTGATCTACCGGTAAGAAAAGAGGGAGCCTATAGAAAAAGGGGAGATTGCAAGAACTAAGGCACTAAATTGAACGCACATATACCAGTCGTTAACAGCGCCAGAGGTACCGACCATGGTACGTGCGTAACAACCGCAACAACGCCAAAGTTCAGAACCAGGGTTCCCCAGATGGTATGGGTGATGAAGAATATCGCGCTCAGCTGGATGAGGATTGTCACATAGACTGAAGCAAACTAATATCAGAAAAAAGGTTCGGTTTTGACTCGTGGAAATTTCTCATGCCGAATGATTTAACGATAAAGTTGTCATACTTTGAACGACTTGAGGAAGTATAGTTATCTAGCAAGAATTCAAGGTTCGTATTGACGTTTTTGCTAAAAATATGAAGGATGACAACTCACAGAGTTGTGTAAAGAACGCTCCGAACAAGCCCCAATGAAGAAAACCTGCCATAAGCTCAACATCCAATTTGAGTGAACGAAGGTGTTCAGATGTATAGAGTATACTCACGATCGGCCCTGTGCTGGAAAAAACAATGAATTTCATCCTTATTTGATTCAAGCGAAGAAACTTACAAAGTGATGCTTGCTTGGGCGACTTGCTCTGGAGTGGGTGGGGAAGACATGGATATGGGGGCAATATCCTTCGAAAGCCTGTATCACTAGACGGTATATATAATAACTTAACCGAGTATGTGAAGATCACAACTGTTTCGTTTCCAGACGCAGAAACGACCTCAAGGTCGATGATTGAAGATTCAACTGTAGGTGCTTCTCCAATACATTCAGATATGTTACAGAATGAAAGCATCAGTACTCACCGAGGGCCCATCTCAGCCCGTCTCACGTTCATCCTGAGCACTATGTTAGTTTATTATTGTTCGGTGCTACCTATGCGCAACACGTTTTGAGTGCTTGAAACCCGGACGCTAATCCGAAGCCGAGCACTTGTCGACCTGAAGTATTCTGGAGCCAGGACTAGCTCAGTCTGGAAAGTAACGTCCAATGAGAGTCTTGGAAAACGAAAAGCAAGTCTGCGTGGGAGGAACGGGAAACCATGCTCACACAAAGAAGTGCAACATTCAAGTTGAAAGCGATAGTTCGGGCTGAAGAAATCATAGTCTGCAGAGCGGAAGGTGGAGGCTTGATTTGTTGATATCAAGATATCATAAAGTTTCAACAATGATTGGACAAGATTGCGCTCCTGGGTCATGACAGAGGAGCTCACTGGTTGTGCCGTAGGTGATTATACGTAAATGAATCAGTCTAGATACCTTGCTGCTGTTCTCATCTAGGAACGAAGATGGTTCAGATTGTTTGAGGTTGCTGGATGAATGATGTCGGAGACTATGCGAAGATAGCCTTTCACATCGTAGTATATGTTCGAGACCCACAGTATCGAGAATCCGAGAAGAGACCTAGAATTGAGGAGAGACGAGGAGCCTAATATTCGGGATCAAAAGCAAACATCTCTTTGATGATCAAGGGTTAGTAGTAGCCCCGAAGAGAATGAGAACCATATCGATAAAACGTCGACAGCACAGCTAAAATGGCTTGATCGTTATTGCTCTTCTACGACTCCATCGCGTCAAAAGCTATAGATTTTATGTTGATGAGACTGTGCCAGAACGACAATGAGAGATGCATCGAAACATCAAATATGTCCGAAGAGGACATAGTCAGACCTGTGGTATCTAGTGCAGAAGGAGAGGGAAATATGCTTGTACCTCTTGGAAACAGGGAGTTATCAGCGAGCTTCAGTTCAGAAAAGTCAAACTTCAACTCGGACCACTCAAGGACATTTACAATATCCTGGCTGAGCATGATCGAGTGATACTGACACCACCTGGGATCAAGTACACAGTGATGTCGCATGTCCACGCGTGATTCATGTACGACTCGAGTCATGGTCAGGTCGAAAGCGGGTCGAAAGCAATTGCACGCCGAGGTCGGGTCAGATCGGCTGTATTAGCCGACTCATCACCACATGCGCCTCATGGAAGGACCCCTGATTATACCCTATGATCCCATATGAAAATTTTGCCTGATCCTGAGGGATTTTGTCCGAACCAAAAGTAGAATTTTGGGAGGGACTTTTGTCCGAATTTCCCTCCGGCCATGGTATAAGCGCCCAAATTTTCCGACACCGGCAAAGTGCAACTGGTTGTAAATTTGGTTCATTGAATTTTCTGGTGCAATTTATGGTAAATTTTAAGGTGTTTTGTCCGAATTTTTCCTTCTGGCTGCCGCCTATGGCGGTCTTTTGTCCGAATTTTCCTATGGCTATAGACCAAATTTGGGGGGGTGTCTTGTCCGAACCACCGTCTGGGATCATAGTGTATAATCAGGGGTCCTCTCATGGACCTGCGCAGTCATCATGGTCAAGTCTCAACGAAGCCATTTACGACTATTTACGACTACTTTCGCTGGAACTTGATAGGCAAGTACAAACTTGTTGGATGCTCGTACAAAATATGTCTAGATCGTAGCGGTTTCCCATCTACACGTCAAACTGTCTTTCCAGGACCTCAAGAAGAAATCCTCAATGGTCAGGTACTTCAGGAACACCGCCTCAAATTTCAATGCGAAAAAAATGATCAAATGCGGCTATATAAGAGCTAGATTATCAGATAATTTTTCGTCCATTATCTGATAACACTCCTCTCTCCCTCGTACTCTGATCAGACTCGAACAACTTGCTCCGACTTGTTCGTCTAGAATCTTCACTCGTTCGCCATGAATACGACGACAGAGCTCAATCACGATCATTGCTCTTCCGACGAGTACAATGAGAAGCATAGTGCCAAGAGCGTAGTCGTCGCGGGGGAGGGTCAGACGGAGGGTTTAGCGAAGGTAGAGGCTGTTCAACGTGTCTGGTACGTTAACTCCTCCTGGAGCCCTATGACCACTCTCTGTAGAGCTCATTTTCGCGTGGTTACTACCAGGGGACCCAAGTCTAGAATCGCGTTCTGGGTGGGCATTGCGCTCATCTCATATGTTTACTCGCTAGACGGTATGTATCTCTTTCTTCATTCAAATCTCTGTCGATGTCGATGTCTAGTACTACTTCCTTGTGTATCCTTCTCGTTACATTGTGCTCATATTTCCTATCGACAGGCGAAACAACCTACACCTACCAAACATACGCGACGTCTTCGTTCAATCAGCATTCTCTTCTCGGCGCGATTGCTACTGCTCAAGTGAATTTCGATTCTTATCTCTACTTACAACGGCTGAATGTGCTCGCAGGCCATCATCCTAGCATGTATGAAACCTGTCGCTGCCAAGGTGCGCATGATATGCTTCCCGTCATGCTGACTGACCCATGTGCTTATACACAATTAGATTGCTGATACCTTCGGCCGTGCGGAGGCGTTCACGTTCTTGGTGTTTTTCTACTGCCTAGGTTATATCCGTGAGTATAATTATGATAATGTTGTTGCTGTTTTCCAGCTTCGTCCCTTCTTAACATATATTCATCCATTCATTGTCTTCCGACAATCGCCTGTTATCATTTCCGCTCATTCGTCCTTCTACTTACTGGAAATCACCGCCGAAGAGCACTAACACATCATATCCGTAGTTCTTGCCTCATGCACTGACATCAACACCTACGCCGCGGGTGGAATTATCTACTACGTCGGCTACTCATGCTTGGAGATTCTCATTCAGGTTTGTTTGTTTCTATGTTCTCAGCATTCTCACTTCTCCTGTGCTTAATCTTCGGGGATTAGTTCACTAATGCTATGATTCTCTCATAGATCATTATTGGAGACGTCACAAACCTGCGATGGCGTTCCCTCCTCTCCTCCCTCTATTCGCTTCCATTCCTCGTGAACTGGGCAGTAGCATCTAACATCTCCGCCGATGTCCTCGCCCAATCCGGCTGGAGATGGGGCTATGGTATGTTCGCTATAATCGTCCCCGCCGCCGTTGCTCCCATTACAATCACCCTTTACTGGGCTCAACATCGGGCGAAAAAGCTCGGTGTCGTGGCTACCAACATCAACGACGCGACCGGAGAGGTCGATGCGCCTCGAATTGTTTCCAATCAACCATTCTTACTAAAATTCTGGAACTTCTTGATTGATATGGATGCGTTGGGTTTATTGATTTTCGCGGCGGGATGGGCTTGTTTATTGGTCCCGTGAGTGGAATCCAATCATCTTGATTTTGCTAAGGACTGAAAACTCTTCTATGCGTTAGCCTCACTCTCGTTAATGGTGCCTACACAACCTGGAATTCGCCTAGTATCATTGCCATGCTTGTCTGCGGTGGCGTCATTCTTATCGGGTTTGTCCCCTACGAAGCTTATGTCGCCAAAATACCGGTGTTCCCTCTGGCATTCTTCAAGAACCCGACTATTCTGTTTCCGGCGTTCATTGGGTTCTTTGATTTTGTGTCGTTCTACCTTCAATACACGTACCAGTACAGCTTCATTTTCGTCACAAGAGACTGGAGCACGGTCGACCAAAAGTGAACTTCTGCAAATGACATTTCATATCAACTACTGATTCATTACATTCAATTTCAGCTATTTCGCCTACACTCAGACCCTGGCATTAACAGTGTTCGGTATTCTTACTGGCTTTGTCCAAGCCTACACTCGTCGTACCAAGGTCCGTTTTCCAGCATCTTGCCTTTAGTACGCGTCTCACCATGAAACACTTCCGCATAATAGTGGCTACTTACCCTTGGTCTCTGCATCCGTCTTCTAGGCGTTGGCTTAATGATCAAGTCCAGAGGGGCTCATGGATCAACCGGCTTCCTTGTCATTTGTCAAGTCCTTCAAGGTCTCGGAGGCGGTATCGCTGCCTGTTCCTCACAGCTGCTCGCACAAGGTAGTGTGCGGCATCAGGATCTTGGAACGGCCACTGCGTTCGTACTGCTCTGGGCAGCTATCGGGGTGAGTTTCTGTAATATTTTGTATCGGGTTAGGGATAATGATACATCGTTGTATTATCGTAGAACGCTGTAGGCTCTGCGCTTGCTGCTGCCATCTGGAGGGATTACATGCCGAAGCAATTGTCGCAGAATCTCAACGGTCTTCTCAACTCGACGGAAATCGATACCATTTACTCCAGTATTGTCACCGCGGTGACATACAGGTCTGATGAAGCGGTTTACAACGGAATCGTGCGTCTTTCATTTCTCGCCCTCTGTCTTCTCTTTGCAACTTCTTTGCACTCAATGCTGTGCATCAACGTTTTCCGCTATTTCGCTATTACGCACTATTGTCTTGTTTGATAAACGTTCATCATTAATTCCACAGATAACATCATACGACTACACGATGAAAATTCTCCTAATCGTCGCAACGGTTGTTGCAGTCATCCCTGTCGGGCTATCGTTATTCGTGAAGGATATGTATCTTTCTGACAAGTACGTTGTTCATTCATTCTTGCAATTCATATATAGTTAACTGTTCCGTTAGGCACAACGACGTGGAGGATGTTGACGCAAATGGCGGTCCTGCTGACGTGGAAAAAGCTTAATCATAATTTTCCGGATCTCAAGTGGGAATCATCCACTAACTTCACAGACCACATACATATCAAAACGCAGCGAGCATAGCACATATCATATCCTCTTCGCATTGACAATACATATCATTTGCAAATGATCCTTTTAGTGGGCGATGTCCTCCGCCCTAGGTCTCAAAATTACCCCAAAAGTTGTCGAACTTCCACCAGACGACGGCAAAGCTCCCTACAGATTACAAACATGACTAGTGAGGGAATCAACACCCGGAATCTGTCATAAGAAATGATATTAGTTGGATGGAGACCCTGTTTAAAGCAGATACGCACATTAAAACTAAGCTCCAGGATACGGTTGACAAGTGGATTGCTTTGGATAAAAAATTAGGATAAAAGTGGGCTTGGATACAGAGCGATATAGTCTGTGATAGATGTTTTCAAAAATTCAGAGTGGCAACACAATGTTGATATCGATAATACGAACCTGCCCCAAGGTAAGCACCACGGAGGAAAGAGCGAAAAGCAACGCCGGAGTCCAGCCGGCAAGCGTAAGGAACAGATAGGCAGTGTTTAACGCTACCTCTGTAGCATGAGGAAATACTACGAGATTGTGTCATTATTCAAGTTTAGTGTTCTTAGAAATCGGATGAGGTTGCATGAGCCTCACTGCATACCTTGATGAATGGGATCGGAAAACCAATGGTTGGAGGGAATATCGATCGGTAATTTGGAGAGAACAATCTCCAATTTCTGGAGGACGATCTCCTCAAACTGACAGAAATTCGAAATTGTTTAGTGAAATTGACATAGCAAGATTACAGACAAGCATTTCCCCAGTCCCGGCTCTGCGAAATAGCAAACTCAGTATAGGTGATGAAAAACTGGTAAGATACGCACCTCATCACCCATAAATCCCAGATACCAACCTTTGGATAGATAATTGCAGTTGAAATCGCGATTTGGCAGATTAAGGGCAGGAAAAGGTGAGTGGAAGTCGTAGCAACAAATCAAAAGCTACACGGTCAGCGAAATACATCGAGACAAAGCTTGGACGTACCATGGTAGAAAATAGAAACCACAAGTTTATCCATATCGGTACTGTTGCTGACGGCGGGTTGGCGAAATTTCGCGGACTATTCAAGACTGAGGGTTGGTTTCCTCGTTGTAGACCATTTTGCGAGCCTTCGATTGCAGCTTGAAGGATACAGTAAGATAGGATAGTAAAGAAACAAAACTTGGATGAAGCCCTAGGACCGTGAAGGACGTCGGCCGAGCTTACCACGTGCTTCCCTTTCGGGAGCCGACTGGCTGGGATGAATGAGGTAAGCATTTCGCACGTATACCGAACCAGCTACAGGCGCTCACCTCGTTTCGCGGTGACTCTCCCTCCATGCAATCTCCTGAAACTCTTCAACCCTCCTCTGGTTGCTGATAGTCTTCTTAGCGACCTTGTCGACTTCTTTTTCTTTCTGAACCCCGTTTGTCGTCTCTTCATTCCCTTCCTTCACTTCGGTTACAAGATCGGCCAATTCTCCTTTAAATTTTGAGCTGAATCCGAGGTGACTACTTCGCCAATGCGGCCATTGGACATTCCCATTGTCAGCGCTGTTATTTTTTGAGCTGACATCTCCAACGCCTTTTTGGAATACTCCAAGACGATGAACGGCAGTCTCAAACTCGTTGAAGTGATCTGACCGACCATGAGATCTTTCAATCGAGTTTGACCACGAATGGATAGCAAAGTCTTGGGCATCGCTGTGAGCAGCTGAGAAGATTGGGAACGGATATCCGTCCTCGATGTTGGAGGAGCTCACGGAAGAGCTCATCCTGAGAGATATAGTTATTGTGACATGAGTACCAGCGGCGAACCATTTAAGGCTTTGATGAAAGACAAAGGCGACCAACGGCGAGTTTTCCATGAGGCGTCTTGATTGACATGAGTTCTGTCATGATCTTTTGGCAACGTTCGTTGACACGTTCTATGCTCTTATTGTCAAGTCAAAAGATGGCGTGGAATGCTCAGCCTTCCGTGAACAAGCAAGACCGAGGCAAAAAACGAAGGGGACGGTGGTACTATGACGGTGACGGTGAACAATGGACTTGACTCTCGTAGCAACTTTCTACTCCTCAGAACGAAGACTTTCTCATCCCTCACTATATATAAATCAATTGACCTTGGTCTTCCCCAACTCGTCCGCATCTTCTTTTGCAGTAAGGTTGACAATTGGCTGATAGACTCTTTCAAAATACAATTGCTCTCTGAAAATAATGACCTACCCCTCAATTAGCATTCTGGCTTCTTTGCATAAAAGACTGCCCATTCCCACCAACATCCCTCCGACGCATCCCACTCTTCCCGCATCTCCTCTAAAGCCTGATCAAATTCTCCTTCATCCTTGAATAACCCTGCCATCAAGAATGGTTGTTTTGCAGCTACGAAGAACCCAATAATGTTCTTCTTATGTTCTTCGTAGTGGTCTAATTCTGAATCCGACAAGGAGCTCGAATTCCTTCCGGGACTCAATGGGAGGGGAATTACGCGTTTCTGCACTTCTATGAAGCCAGTTTCCGAAATCAATTGTCCCAGTACGTCCTGAATTTCTGGAACGAGTCCTCTCGCTCTATATAACGAAGCCCATGAATCCACCATTCTCTTCATCTTAGCTCCACTATATGCATTGGGGGTTGGACCAGTCTCCATGAATTGGATCCACCCTCCCGGTTTGAGGACACGAAAAATTTCAGTTAGTGCTTGGATCCATTGGGGTTTGCTTAGAGCACCTGTAAGAAGACGCTGGTTTATGAGTGTGAAGCGGTTAGACCAGGATGGGGGGAGGTCGGTGATGGATTGAGAGGAAAATGTGATGTTGGAGGGGTAGGTTGTAGGCTTGGGGAACAGACGTGTGGAGATGTCGATTCCGGTTAGGGATATTGTAAGAGGAAGCTGATGAGCGAGGTCGAGGAGCCATATACCTGCAAGTTCCATCGTCAAGTAATATATTCAATTCATTCTTATTGTCGACCCACCAGTCCCAGTCGCGCTTTCCAAAATCTCATCTCCAGGTGAGATTGTCAAGGACGGTACAGATATCAACCTTCCACCGAATACGGCTTTGGTCATGAATCGGCTTTGCTCGTTAAGTCTAAGTTTGAAAGCGTAGCGCAAGTTGGGAGAGAAGAAAGTCAGCGCAGTGCGCGGAGAGGGACGTGGGATCTGGGATACCGTTGTCTTTCGGGCTCATCCGAAGGTAGAATATAGGCGGATTCTGTAGTGAAGCTTGAATCGATAACCCCTGTGTCCACACTGGATTGAAGGTTTTGGTCGGCTCTAAGCAAATTGAAGCAGTCAAAATGAGAGATGGCGGGTATGTTAGTAATACATGCATCTGCGGTCATGGAATACTACTTACACTTCTAGCATGGTTGATGCCCAAATGTCTTTATATGTCTGTGTCGCGCGGCGTTGACGAGGTCGTTCGGGTGCTGTTTCTTCGAGGTTGAGACCGGAGTCTTTCTGTTTATAAAGTCTTGAGATGAATGGAATGCGAACACCGCGCAAAATTTGTATTCATTCCCTGTAGAAATGAGCTCCACGATGCTTGAATTTGCCCATTTTTACCTGAAAAATGGCTTGTCTATTACTGCATTCCCCACAGTGTACATATACATATGTCAATCTCCGAACTGGTCTCCGATGGCTTGAGGAGCTGTCTGAGGACCGGCGTACACTTTCTCTAATTGAAATTTTAGGGAATTTTCTTTTTTGGAGAGTCCGACCACCCATCGGTCAGCGCTTCAGCCCTCAGTGTCGGGCTAAAGATGGAGTATGTATCTTGAACTTCACAAGTGAGATTAATGATAGAGGTGAGTTGACAGGAAGAATAGGGAAGAACTCGGTGTACATAATTTAAACTCGAACCCCGATATCGTAGGTCGTCGACTATGTTGGGTAAACTCTGGGTAAACTGTTCAGAACAAGGTTGAGAACTACCACCTCCTCAGATAAGCCAAGTTGATCCGTTGGGATTTGCAAAGAGCGCCCTGTCATATGTAAGATATCGACTATCCGAATCATCCGAATTATAATAGATTATAACTTCGGATATATAGTAAGCAGCGAAGTTGGCGCTGTGTATTTATACATTCTATGTCTCAAAATTTCTGTTGCGAGAACCATGAACGATTGAGTTCTGCGACTTGCAAGCAGCACAAGAGAGAATGAGGGGGAGTAGATACGAGCAGGAGATTGAATGGAAGAGCTAGGTGGGTTAGAATATGAACTGTAGGACTAGGTGACACACGTGCTGGTTTCCCCGGACCGCAGATCGCGATCGCGCCTCTTCTTGCTTCACAGATCTGGACGTCGATACAAACAACCTCAATACTGACCGACCTCTGCCTCACAAACTTCCATCTGATTCGTTCAATCACTACAAATATTGGAATTTGAATGCAGAAGCAGCCAATGCGCAGATCACAAACACTTCGAAACCACACCAGAACATCTGTCTCGGCAGCAGGTAATGCCAGCGCTGCTGATGTGCCATCTATCCAGCTCAAAATGATGTGGTCACTGCTTCAATCCCAATTAACTAATTGGAGAACGTTCAAGCGCTGGAGAAAATACAGGGATTTTGAGTAGCCAGAAGTGACGCAGAGAGAGAGAGCGAACGGTGTATGAGAGCGATGGAGCGGTACGTTCAGCACTACTAAATATTGTCGGTTTTTTAGCTGTCTGATTGAGATAAACCATTGCCACATACAAGTGATTTCTAGTTGCTATATTCTCATCTTCCTTCTCATATTTCCGTTGTCCCTTTACCTGCAAACGATCGAATACTGCTCGGGAAAATTCAAGAATGGATCCTTCATTTCCTGGTCGTTCCGCTGGTTCCTCCTTTCCTCTCAATTCATCTATCAACATCACTGTCAATCACTCTCCTTTCTTTGCCAATTTACCATCCATATTCCGAACTTCCCCCCAAAATGACATTACCGCTTCGCCCAATCAAGGCTCCGAGCTCAATGGCAGCGGTAAGGGATGAATCCCGCAGCGCTCGCCCCCTATATTTTGACAATCAGTCGTTAAAAATGGGAGGGAGACCCGGATCTCGAAGGAGAAGGCCATTTTCAAGATTGTCCTGTTATATCGCGTATCTATCTTATTTTTGTAACAGAAATTACAGACCTCCCGATGGTATTGTCTTTCTGTTTTGTACATCTTCATCAACCGCAAGTAAGTAAGACTAGTACTAAGGCGCGGGGAGCTGCAACGACTACCTAGACTGCCCCTAGACTCTCGCTCGGCTCCGTTCGTCATTTTTGGTAAACGCTGTATGTCCGTGTGGGGTGATGTAGCTATAGGTCATGGGGATGTTGCGATATGATGTTGTAGTGTATACGTTTATATCTACTTGATGATCATAGAATATCGCCTTCATTTTTCGTATGACCGTGCGGTGTGAGGTGGATAGAACACGTGGCATTCTGCGCCCTTGACTTTTTCTGCTTTCGCCTCCTCCGGCCTCCTCCACTGATGATCAATGCACTCCTCGCTCCTGGAATCCCCGCACTCAACTTTTCACGCTCGAAGTATCGAACTGGGTGCAGCTAGACATGACTCCCCTCTTCCCTCTTCTTGCGGGGTATGTGATGTACCAGGGCTCTTTCTCCTTCGCCCATATACATAACATTTTGATTAGCACCAATTAGACTGTCGGCAGATACATAACGGTGGATGGCTCAGAATGTTCCCTCTGAATCCCCGGAAGCCTTGTATATATGGCTATGCTCATGGCAAGGTGACGTCTCCTAGAATTCCGACAACTTTCCTCATCGACTTTACTTACGAACTTACAATTTAGAGCAACCTTTCACACTAGACGCATCTACCTAAGGGCATAAGTGTTTCAAAGTCTGGAAGAGGGAGTCAAAAAGTCAAGTATGAATGGAAATTCAATGTAAGATGTAATTATTATGTAGCTGAGTTCCTTTATCCTTTGTGCTCATGAACGTACAACTATTTCAAATTGGCGCCAATCAGGCATGAGGCGGATGCTTTCAAGCATTAAGGTGGTTGTGGGGTAAATTGGTCGCCCACTTCCTGACTTCCTTCCTCTCCGTCTCCCTCTCTATTCCAAAGTCTCAACTTGCATCTGACTCACTTGCATGGGTAATATCAACCAGACAATTCTCCCACTGCCGCCTTCCTCACTATCCGTCTACTACTACCGGCGCCAACTCGCTGGCCATGCAGCTCGAGCTCTGTCCGAGGTCTCTATTTCCAAGGATGGCGACATTGACACTCAACTTGGAGTCTTCGGCGTCTCCATTTCCCAGCTCGATGATGGGGCGATCGACCATATTGCCTTCGCCACCGACATAGCTGTGTATCTCATCGAGGTTGGTGGAAATGCGCGGGGCGATGGGGCTCTAGACCGTGTTTTTCAAAAATTCTTAGGATCCACTACCACGGTTTTAGCAGGATTTGGTATGCCCCGGATTTCTCTTCGACTTCGCCATAATCTGGGATATCATGTCCGAGGCGTGGACCTTTCTACACTCTTTTCTTCTAGTACTTCCGCGTGGCGTCCATCGAAGGTTGTACAAAAACTTTGCGCGATCGATAATACATTCCGTGTTGACTCTCTTTGGCACGAGAACGACCAAGAAGGCTCCGTAGAGAAGCTGTGTTTGAGGGCGTGGATTTCTGCAAAGTTAGTTTAACGCTACTTGTCTGTGTAGTATGCCCATCTGACCCAGAATTTCTCCTCTAGAGTTGGAAGGTCGGAGGTGGCAAGAGTTCCAATTGAGAATGTACGAAAGGTTGATACACGTCATGTAAGGAAAGATGTACGTATTGGTTGTACACTCGTATGTTGCCCTCATTGAAGTCCATCTACATAGATACTCTCGTGTCTGGGCACTTTGTTACAACAGACCGATGTTTTGGCCCGAGCGGCTCCAAGGGTGACGCATAGCGAACACGAGTCTTACGACTTCAACAAAGACGGGAAAATGAAGTTGCAAAATTCACGCTACAAGACTCGGGTGCGAGTCAGTAAACAGGTATTTCCGCGGCCAATTTGTGACCCACCTAGTAGCAGCTAACGTTTTCTATAGTCATACGTCGAGGTAGTGAGCCGCACTGGCAAGGTCTATCAAGGTGAAGCCGTCCGCGCAAAGGGAAAAACCACAGAAATTGCCTTTCGACAGGGGATCTCGGAAGCCAGTGATATCTCTTCAGTTCATATAGTCGGCTTAGACGAACCTACTCCTGCTGAAAAGGCTCGAGATACACTACTTTTGAGGGTTCTGAAAGATGAAGATAAACTTCTCGATGCTGATTTTGTTCGTTATCTCTGGTTTCGAACACGGGAAGATGAACAAATCCTTCTGTACCCGTCTCCGGATTTCACAGGTTCTACTCATTCGAACGCGTTAAAGCCGTACGTTCGGCACTTGAATGATTCACAGGCGAGGGTGGTAACGGCGATGACTTCAAATGACCCGATAGTAATTGTACACGGTGAGTTACCTATCCCGCCATTTTGTCTTTTATTTTCCGCTCACTTTCCTTCTTTTAGGCCCCCCTGGGACAGGTAAAACAACAACGATATCTTCTGCCGCCGAAGTCTGGTCGAAAATGTACTCCCTCCCCGTTTGGATCATCGGACATTCGAACGTCTCAGTCAAGAATATCGCTGAAAAGTTGTTAAAGCGAGATGTTGACTTCAAATTGATTGTCTCGAAGGAATTCTACGTTGAATGGTGAGTCCATCTGTAGTTTATTCGTCACTTGCCGCCGACCAAACCTGCTTCATGTTCAGGCACGAACACATCTATGAAAAAATAACTGCAAGATTGATCCGCACGGACGAGCTACCAGATAATGTCCTTGGAATGAGTCGTTTAATTGGCAGTTCTACAGTGATCCTTTCGACGCTTGGACTCTTATCGAATGCCGCTCTAGAGAGTAATGGTCTTTTTCGCGTTGTATCTGTCGAAAGGCTCGTTATAGATGAAGCGTCTCAGATCAATGTATTTGAATACATGGTGCGCCGTCAAGTGCTCCCCCAGTATTTGTGTTAATTCAGTATTTCCCACGTGTAGCATATCTTTCACAAATTCAGAAGATCTTTGGTCAAGGTGTGCTTTTTTGGCGATTCGAAGCAATGCGAGTATCTCTTTTCCAATTATACGTCCTCTCTTGTCAAGTCATAGTCTCATTTCTCGTTCATTCAGTACCACCATTTGGTCAGGAGAGGGTAAAAACTCTACAAAGTATCTTCGACATTGAGTACTTGAAACCAACAAGCTACTTTCTTGATGTTCAATGTAAGTCAAAGAACGAACAGCATCAGGAAAAAAAAACTTCTCATTCAACCCTTTCTAGATCGTTTGCCAGTGCCCCTCGGAGAGTTCATTTCAATGAAAGTTTATGAAAATCAGTTGAAGTCATTCCATAGCATTACGCAGTACAGTTGTGTGCGGTTTGTTGATACACCTCGTGGAGTGGAGGAGAGAAGCGGGGTCAGTTGGATTGTGAGCTGCTCGACCAATCCGTTCATTTCCTGGACTTGAGACTGACTGGAAAACGGCAGAATCTGGGCGAAATTTCGGTGATAGTGAATCTGATTAAGAATTATTATCAGAAAAAGGATTTTTGTGTTATTACTCCATATGATGCACAACGGGCTGCTATAGAGAAACAGCTCAAGCAGGAAAATATTCCATGGGAGAAGGTGTTCAATGTAGATAGCTTTCAAGGTGACCAACATCCTTTTTTTATTTACTAGCCATAACGTTTCTGATAATTGCAATCAGGGAACGAGGCTGACTATGTTGTTCTCTCCGTTGTCCGTTCTGCCCACGTTGGATTCTTGCACTCGCCACAGCGAATGAACGTCATGCTAACTCGATGTCGCCGCGGTATGGTCATCGTGTCTAGTCAATCCTTCTTAGAAGGGGTCGCTCGAGACACACTTGTCGGGAAGATTTCCGCATATTGGACTGTACAAGGGGGTAAAAACGTCTGGGTTGACGCTATGGATATAACAAACTCCCGAGTTGACCTTCCTGGCGCTCCAGGATCGAAGGTAGATCCTGCGATTGCGACGGCTAGGAAGTTTATCAACAGTGGATCTTCTCGTTCGGTTGGTTCTGGAGGTTCCGGTCCGACTATCCCCAGAACTTTCGATGTTAGTGCACTATTTCGGAAGAGGATTATCTCCCCCAGCCCTGGCACTCCAGTTCCTGTCACACGATTACCTCTGCCTATAGCTCCCAAGTTCGCAACCATCAACACTGTTATTGAAGCTCCGCCTTCCAGGAAAGATGACCGACATTTCCCAACACTCTCTAGCACAGGCCTCATACATAACCGCTACTCTTTACTCTCCTCTGGCAGAAAGCAAGCTCCAAAACGCAATGTGTGGGTAGATGCTGTATATAAAAATAGCTCCGTGGTGTCTCCCCTCCAACATACCTGTCAATCTCCACGACTAGCTGCAAAGAATTCGGTTTTACCTCAGTCGTTCATGAAGGATTATTCTTCACCTGATCAGCACTTTGTACACCAATCCAATCCGTTGTATATAGAATGGGCACCCTGGCACTCTAATGACTATGGAGTCTCGTTCCAACCATCTCCTGAAGATGGAGGTGACTGCTGGACGATAGTCAAAAGGCGAAAGAACCGAATTCTTTCTTGATTCAAAATGTTGATGGGGTTGCAATATAGGCAGATTGGAAGAGTTCCTATTTTTGCTCATTGTATAGAGTAAATGAGTGTCCTTCAATGTAAGTACAGTACAGTACTAGCTAGTACTAGCTCGGATCTATGTCGGAGCAATCGTAACCGCCCGGACTCTAAGTAATGGACCTAAGGCCCCAAGCTCTCCCAAACTGTTGTTGGGCCCGGCACAGATGAATCTATTAAACATGAGCGTGTCGGCGTGAGGTCGGAGCAGTACATTTCTTATAAAGAGGGTTCTATTTTTCTGCAACTTTTTCAACTGTTCCTTCACCTCTCAACAATGTCATCTGCACCCCCTGTGATCAAAAACCTTCCTGTGACCAATCGACATGAGTGAGTACGGCCAGTACGCAGCAGTACACTTGTGAAGACAAAAATCTGACAACATCTTGTGCAGTGTCTACGATGCGATCTCTCCAGAGCCCTACTTCTCTGGTTCGTTCAGCTCGACCTTCCGCAACAAAGTCATTCTTGTTGCCGGCGGCTCCAAAGGAATAGGCTATTCCATCGCCTCCTTCTACGCTCGGGCAGGAGCTACAGTCATTATTGTGTCCAGGTATCGAAATACACTGGATGAAGCTAAGGCTCGCATCCTTACCGAAACTGGATCATCGAGAACATCAGCGGAGGTGCTTGCACTGGCAGCTGATGTTTCAGACCCTAAAGACATAGAACAAGTCGTAGCGAAGGTCATTGAGAAGTACGGTCACCTTGATGTGGCTGTCGCGAATGCGGCTATTGGCGGGTCTTGGGACAAACGTAAGTTTCACATCAAACAAAAATCAGAATTTTGCGTTCTGAGATTTCTTTTGTTGATTAGGTTTCACGGAGGGAGATCCCTATAATGACTGGTGGAAAATAATGGAAGTAAACGTACGAGGACCTTACAACGTCGCACAGTTAGTGTTTAATGGATGATTCATGTGTATAATTGATGTAATTTGTTGCTCTGCTACTCTCAGCTATGCCCTCCCGCAGCTCGAGAAGACTGGAGGATCATTTGTCGCCGTCTCATCATTGGCATGCCAGGCGAGCTTACCATTTGCAAGCGCCTACTCGGTTTCCAAGTCGGCGTTGAATAGGCTTGTTGAATACACTGCTATGGGTAAGCATCTTGTCCTACAATCTGCCCCAATTGGCACCTCAGAGAGATAGCCATTAATCCTGGGTTATGCAGAGTATCCTTCAGTCAGGAGCTTCACTATTCATCCTGGCAGGATCCTTACCCAAGCTCCAACACTGAGGGCAGGACCCGCTCCAAAATGGGAGCCAACTGCAAGTGATACTCTGCAGCTACCAGCTGCAATAATCCTGAAATTGACAGATGGAAGTGGGAGGTTCGACTTTCTTTCAGGAAGGTGAAAATCCTGTTCCCAATGGTTCAAGATTCAATCTTCTGATATAATGGTATCCTCTAGATTTCTATCGGCGAATTGGGATTTGGAAGAAGTAGAGCGGGACTGGAAGAAGGATATTGTTGAGAAAGACATGCTTGTTACACGATTTGTAGTATGATTAACCGTATTTGTACATAAGTATATGTATTGTTCAAGACGGCCCCAAGCAACAGTCAGTAGAAGCTCGTGTATGATCAAGAGGTTGAGGAGGCATTCAAATATGATATATGCATGTTATATTTTTTATGAATCGGTACTTTCACATTGGCGTCATCTTGCTATCATCTCTTGCTATTCTCTACTGCTATTCCCGCCAAAAGATAACCAGCAATAGCCACGTTATTGTCATGGCTCAAATAAACATACAGCTGCTCTAAGCTATATGATTACTGTTCCCCTTCCCCATTTACCTGTCCCCATTTATTTTTCCTTTTGCCCCATCCAACTTCTGTTTTGTTTTCCTCACCTCCTTTACTTTCTCATTGAAGCAATCTATATACCGCAACCACAAATAATCTGGTTAAGTGAGAAGTCCTGGATATTCATCAACCAAGATCTTCCACAATTTACTCATAAACTCGCTATCATCTTCATCAGGAAACAAATGGATGTCTCACACATATCTCCGCATTTGGGTCCAAGTGATAGATTTCCTGGGAGGAAGACGTGTATGTTGAGAATGGATCTGAAAAAAAACAAAGTCTTGGAGGGTTCCGGGACCTCGTTCTTCGTATCTAATTAGAATGGTAAGGCGGGTCGCGATGGTCGTGTTGCTCAATTTGATACCTTCCTTGTGGTCAATGACAAACCCCCACGTATTTGGAGGTTCACAGTAGATCTCGAAACACTTCAAGTCGACATCTGTAGTATATGATTGTGTATACTGATGTTGGAACACTGATGATGAAAAAGCTTACACACTGGGGGATCTTGGCCAATTTTGTTATTTGGTTCAGCATTAGGGTCTATTTCAGAGACTTTGGATGACAATCAAAAAGAAATATGGAACATGACCGTAACAAATGCCAGTGAGATGGTGAACTTCAAAACTAGAACGTGATAATCCATTTCAATTCCGTTTTTTGAATAAATTGTGTGGACGGTGAGCGAGTAAAGCCAGACAAGTCAAGCAAGTAGAAGTGTGAAAAGGACATTGGTCCAGAACCTGTGGTGCACGGACCCTCTCTCGAGCTTTAGAGATTTTGCCGCAAGACAATTAATTCTGAATGTTCTCTTCACTATACATCGACATTACATTAGCTTCATATGATGTTTATTGTCTGAAAATTCTCTGAAAAGGCTTATAAGTTGCGCTATACCTTGCCAAACCACACCTCTGCACTTTCTTTCCCTGTTCCCATTGGTGCCTTTGCCTTCTTCCCCTTTCCCCAAAAACCACCTTTGAAAGCAAGTCCTCCTCGAGCAGATTTTGTTTCATGCACCCACTCTACCTCGAACCTATTGTCAAACCCAATAATGATATCTTTGCCGACATTCTCATTATTCTGGTGATATCCCTCCTTCTCTCTCACTACCCAATTGCTCCATATGATCGAGCCATTGAAAAGGTTCCCGCAGAAATGGCGGAGCATGATGTGTGTAACAAAGAATCCATTGTAAGGTATGATGAGTGTGGGTATAGCCAGTGTATCCTCTAGAGTGGAGTTGTGACTAAGAGGTGATTTGATGATTTCTTGAGTGACTTCATCTGTGACTATGCGGGTGCATTCTGAGTGAGGACTTCTATAAGATTGGTTTGAACCAGGTTCAATATAGCATGGCTGTAAAAGTCCGTAAGTGGGATGCATGAATGAAGCACCCTCCATGGAAGCAATTGGGGCTGTAGGAAGATGGGGTGCTTCAGGCCTTGGAAGAGCCATTTTGACAATCTCTGCATTGAATTTTTGTCTTTGTGCTTGCAGCCTGGATTATATATGAGCTCAGAGCATGAAACCCAGTAATCCATTCATTGGACTAACCTTATTTTCCAATCTAAAGGATCGAGACCAAGGATTTCATCGGCAATGCGCCTGATCACAATTTGGTGAATTTCAGTCCCGAAATCTTCATCATTTGAGAGTACGACAATGCCGAGGTTGTCATTTGGGAAACGAGTGACCTAAGAAAGCAATCAGGCCTCTTATTATGTCAACAGGTCTGCATAAATATTATAGATTTACCTGTGTTTTGAATCCTGGATTGGAACCTCCATGTTCAATAAGGTCATGTCCACGGTAGGTGTATCTTTCCTGCCCAGCGCCATACATTGATGCACTCTGAAAGAAAAAAAAATAAGGACATTGCAAGATAGATAATAGCATGACTTACCAGCTCAGGATATGAAGGAGTACCGTCTATCACAGCCACGCCCTCTGCGATGTGCTGTATCAATTTCTCAGGTACAACAGTCACATTTGTAAATGGGTGTTTCCCATTCCCCAATAGCATAGCAACCCACACAGACAAATCCCTGGCACTGGTTATAACCCCTCCAGCTCCAGCCCAGATCTTCTCATTCCCTGGGCGAGAAAAGTACGGTACCACTGGAGTCAGTATGCCGCTCACACCGGTGATCTCGTCCCGCATTGAACGCATGTATCCGTGGGCCATGTGCTCACTAGATTCTTCGGCGATGGCCACAGAATAGGTCGAGGCTGACATATTGAGTGGGTTGAATAGGTGGTCGGCGACGTAGGATTCGAATGGTTGATCGAGTAGAAGTTCGGGGAGGTAGGAAAGTGTTTCGTACATTAGGTTGTTGTACTGCCATGTCTCACGAGCCTCTGCAGATGGGCGTAGGTAGCGAAGGTTTGATATCTTAAAGGATAAATCAACAAAGCTTTGATCAGAATGTTAAATGTAATATTACCATCTCCGCAACACCGCCTTGTAATGGGCGACCAGACAGGTCATGTCGGGGCATTCCTGTGCGATGTGAGAGCATATCTTGTATATTCACAATCCGTTCCATGTCTTCATCCATCAGACCCCATTGCGGAATCACATCTATGGCTCGGCTACTCCAGGAAAGCTCCCTCCCCGTCTGATCAGCAAGAGTTTGGTTCTCAATGAGCAACCCGACTGAGAGCGATAAGAACAGTTTGCTATTTGATGCAATAGCGAACAATGAGTCAGGAGTAACTGGGGAACCATCTGCCTTGGCAGTTCCATAAGAGCCGAATTCCATGAGCCATCCAGTGGAAGATGTTTCATTACGACGAACTAAGGCGAGAGAGAGTCCAGGAGAATTGTATTCTTCGAGTATACCTTCAATAAAGTTGTTGATCTCGGGAGTTATAAAAACATTGTGGGTGTCATCCTGGTGGGAGGGTGTTGAGAAGGATATTTGAGCTGCGAGGGAACATCCCGCAAAGCATAGCACTGAGAGAGAAAGGATGACAATCATGGTGATATGTAGGTGACTGGTTGGTAAGTGAAAGAAAATTGTATTGATGGAAATTGGAATATATCTTCCCAGGCTAGTCAATGGAATTCTGGTGGAATTCATGGCCACGTTGTTCAAGTAGTGTGGTCAGAAGTAAGATAGAGGAGTGAAGGAAATTGGGTAAAGGGGAGTGAGAAGCAGAGAGTAAAATAATCTATCTTCTGACATGTAAGATGAAGCACTATTCATGAGCAATGTGAATTTGAAAACAATATGACTGATACTGTCAGATATGTCAAATAATGTTCTTGAGCTTTCGAACACATCCAATTTCAACGTAATTATTGAGTAATATCGGTCTTTAGACTATATCCCCAGCAAAGTTATATTCTTGAACTTGTCAAAAATCTTTAACATATCCAATTTCTGGGTAATCATCCAGCAACATCCCGTGTCTTCGGATTCCGGAACATGCTCCCAACAATTTTATCCAGCTTGATGCACAAAATTTGAAGGGTTCATATGTCCATTTGTCTGATGAAACAGATGTACAGACTTCTCCCCTTATGACATGGTTTGTTGTAGTGTTAGCTTATGGCTGGGGTTGTTCTAGGAGTCACCAGAATATTTACAATAGACACTAGCAGGTTTCCGGCATTGCCAACTTGAGTGTGACAGTGAGATAGTCAAAACTACTTATAGCCACTGTTAAATTGTACAAACTGATATAAATTTCTTGGATGGTACTCTTTTTGAATTTTCTATTGTAGCTTACAGTAATTGTGAAAGTTCATGATCTGTAATTGCCCATCACACTGAACTTAAACTTGATTTTTTTCAGTGATATGTTTTGCATAGGCTTAGAAACTTTCCCACTACATGCTTAAATACTCAAAGCATGCACTACTATCCAACTTTGGTGACTTGAATGTCATCACAGCAATCATAATGTAAATGCATATATTATAATAATGACCAAAAGAGTGAAGCTGACATCTGTAAAACCTGGATTTTCGGCTAATAGCTGGGAAAGCACTCCCAGCGGTTGATCAATACTGCTGGGAGTGCTTTCAGTGCTGGACAGCGCTCTCCAGCCAGTATCCTTGCTCTGGCAAACATCCATGTTTTGCAGATGTGTATTGATTGTCTGTGGACCCATGGCCCTAGAGTATCTCCTAGCACTTATTGTTGTCTTTTGTGTTCAGGTGTTTTTTGCATTTACTGTGATCCATCTCTGTATTTCTGTTCAAGGTTTCAGATTTTGTGGGGCCAGTGTGGGTTCCACAGATGTCCATCAAACTCTGTCATGTCAGATGCCAGTTTCTAATATAAATTGCCTCAATCACTTGTGGGTTGTTTCCTTTAGACCACAACATGGATGCTGCCAATTATGCCAACCCACTTACTGAGCTTGCTACTATTCTGTACTCAGGGATAGAAACTCTTCTATCCGAGTACAATCATCAAGGAGTTGCTTTCCCTTTGCTGAGCCAGCCATTCACACCTAGCCCACTTGACACTAACTCTGTTGTGAATGAATCCACTTGCCTGATTATTGCAGCAGCACACCAAATCATTGCTACTGTACGGGCACCAGCTGAAAGCATACAAGAGCATGCTACTGGAGCATACACTGCTACTGCACTCAATCTCTGTGTGGACGTTCATGTTGCTGATATTTTGCAGGGTGCAGGAGCACAGGCAAGTGATATTTGGGCATTATTCTATGAATGTGTTGAACTATTTCCACCTTATAGGGTATACACACCAAAGAGCTTGGAACAAAAACCAATATTGCTACCGAGCACTTGTGTAAAATCTCTCATGAGTCATCATATTCCAAAATTCCCTACTAACTTAGATTCCACAGCACGTATTCTCCGCTATCTATCAACTCGTCATATCTTTCAGGAGATTGAGCCGGATGTCTTTGCAAACAATCGAATTTCGTCTCTTCTCATTAAATCCCGTTCTTTAAACGAAATAGAGGCAAAGTTAGATCATTCTCCATTTCTAATATCTGACACACACTTACTAATGCATGTCTCCCATCAAGTCCTGACATTGAGTTCGAAGGGGCAACACTTGCTGGATTTGTCGGGCATGCGTATGTCTGAATTCCTCTTTAACTTTCGGTCTTCCTATGGTTACTTTGCACATGCAACTTTCAGGACAGACGAATGCCTGAAAGCTTCCGTTTCAATTGTCCCATGGCTCAAGGACAAGTCAACCCAATTTCCTTCTCCATTCAACATGTCTATCGGCAGCTCCATCAGTCTTTTCGAATGGTTTGTGGCTCCCGAGAACACCCGTCGTCTGCGCCGGGCAACTGCAGCTATGACTGGCGGTGGCGAGCGTTTTCCGGCTACTATTTTCACAAATGGTAAGCATTGAATGTCTGTTGTAACAATAACCCATTGTCTGACAATATTAGGATTCAACTGGAAGTCTCTGAAAGAGGATGCAGTTGTGGTGGATGTTGGTGGAAGTGTTGGCTCCGTAACCTACACCATCTTGCAGCAAAACAAACATCTACGTTATGTCATACAGGACTTGGAATCCATCATCAATAAAGAAGCCAAACAGGTTTGTCTAAATCCCCATCATGGCTCTAATCAACATCATAAAACAACAAACTTGTCTTGGTTAGTACTGGGAAGAAAAAATGCCTCAAGCACTCACAGATGGACAAGTAACTCTGCAAGGTAATGGTTTCGGTCTAGCATGATTCTAGTCCTTCAATATTCCACCACATCATACTTACCTTCTCTTTTCCAAGTCACAAACTTCTTTGAGTCCCAGCCAGTGCAGAACGCTGCCATATACTTTCTGCGTCTCATTCTGCATGACTGGCCTGATGAGAAATGTCTTACTATCCTCAAAATTCTTCGCAGAGCTGCTGGACCTTCATCCAAGTTAATTGTGTTTGAGCAAATTATGGCTTACCCTTGCAAATATAGTGGTCCCTTTGCAGATGTGTCCAACCCCATCAAAGCGCCGGCCCCACTTTTGGCAAATCTTGGTATGGGTGCAGGTGGTTTCATCACTATGATTGATATGCAGGTCAGGGTTCACTTGACTGATTTTAGCGGTGCTTGCTTACACCAGATTTTCAACCTATGTAGATGCTCACTTTGTTCAATGGAAAAGAGAGAACTGTAACTGAGTTCATCAACCTTGGAAGTTTAACAGGATGGGAGTTGGAGGATGTGAAGCCAGGATTAATGAATGCAATGGTGTTCTCTGCAGTTTGAGATGTATTGGATATGGACTTTGCTCATGATGTCTACATGGCTTGTTTCTCAATGTCGTGGAAGATATTGTCAACACAAAGGGTGGGTGATATTATGAGAGAGTCAGGATTTGTACCATAAATTCATTGCTTTTGTAAACTGTGACACAGTTAAATGAGCAAAGGACACAAATAATTTACACATGTTCATTCAGATGTAGGTTCATGGAATCAATCAATGTCATTGGATCTCTAGAGACAATGTATGGTTCTATAGATTATCATTTTCTGTAGGGTGCTTAATTGCAGAATGTAATGGCAAGGTTGACCTATTATTTAGGATAGGTCAGTGACTAGATCAAAAGGAAGAATCATTGAGAATGGTTTACATTCTCAGCTAGGCAGACTATTCCAACTCCACCCTCAGTACTTGAATGAAAAGCAGAAGGACAGTCAGCATCGGTGCCTGGAAAAATAGTCCATATGTCAGCTCAGAAATGAAATGAATCCAACAGTTTGATGCACAATTTGCTCCATGTCCATCACAGCCATTGTAATACCTACCAAAGTATTCACAATTAATTCGGATCCAAATACTAAGATATGACAAGACATGGCTCACCAAAATCCACTAGGGACTGAGAAGGAGTGGCTATATGTAACATCATTTCAAAGGTCAACCTTGATTAGCAAAGTTCTACTTGGGACATACGGAGGAATCAAATTGATATCAGTACTTGAGCCGGTTCCGGGTGAAGCGGGGTTGACAAGAGTTGTCTCGATCAGTGTGCACCCTTCCCCTTTGGCACCACAACCTGCATTAATCATGGTTACTACCAATAACTAGAACAGCGCCTTGAATGAAGTGCTGACCGACATCAAGATAGCTGAGGACATATACTATTAAGTACACAGATAAAGATTTCAAGAAACAAAGCTCACGCAATGGCAGCTATCAGAGAACCTTGGAAAATGGTATCATTGGTGACAAATCGGTGTATCATAAACAATTGATGTGTACTCACCGTTGGAGGTGTAGGCTGGTCCAGTCGACAATATTTCTCCGTTGTATGTCTTCAGTGTAGGCTGAATAGGTGGGTGAATACAGAAAACAATGCAACTAGTCTCCTGAACTAAAAATAAAAACTCACTACACCCGTACTGCACCTAAGAAAGGGGGTAAGCAACTACAGGTCATGACAATGGAATGGAGAATAGCTCACAAATTCTGAAAGGTAACAGTATGGGTCTCCGACTGCCCCTCGACAACAAAAGCAGTAGCAGCAACAAAGGCAGTGAGCTTCAAAAAGTAGGTCAGGCTAATCATCATGAAGAAGTGCTGAGTAGCAGGGGAGGCAAGCAAACTAAAAGCGTGAGCCTGCTTAGCTACCTGGGGAATCGAGATTAGTTTTTTATACCAGTTTAGGTATCGGGGAACAGACAACAGACCGGTTGGAGGTCAAGCACAATATGCAAGTACTATCGAAAGTCATTGAGTGTGATCCAAAATTGAATGAAGGACAGAATAGGATCAGTTGCTTCTAGCTCTGCGTATGGTGGGATCATCGGCTTTAAATTGTCATTTATGATTTCGGGGTCGGATAGTATGACTGCGGGTAAGTAGAAAGAAGGGATCCGAGACTGGTGGATATCGATATATTACATTCATTGTCGCTGCGTATGAAATCCCGGATGTTGACTTAAAAGTATCATGACCAATTGCGCATCTACTCCTTCAACATCGCACCTATATTGGGAAATAATGACCTGGTTTCACTGTATGAACAATCTTAATTAGCAATGATAGAGAAAAATTCAAACTGTTGTCATGGTATGCCTGAGAATTGCATGGGGATGACCGAGGGGATAAATCGCAGCCCCTCCTGCCAGTGTGCTCCGACATAACTGAGCTCCCACTTGTCATTAGGGCACGGAAGCCGGAAACGATCGAGAGAGCATAGGACAACGGTAAATGAAATGAGTGGAAGTCGTTAGTCGTCCCTGCGCAGAGTTACTGTCATGATGATAAGCAAAGGAGGAGGAGAGTCTGACACGGTCCCGTTTGGGAACAGCCACTACACATTGTGCATGGCTACTGGACGATTCCATTGAACAAGGAATGGTCGCGATTTTCGGGTAAGGGGAAAGGTGCATAGTTCTACCGCCTAAACCTTTTCCATTCATCTAGACGCATTGTTGTTTCTTGACGGGATTGAGTACGTGTTGGACATTCTTTAAATGTCAGTCGAGTTTAAAAACTCGAGAGACTGCAAGGCTTAATGATGAAATTACTCGAAAAAAGCGGAAACGTACCGGTACGACCGTGACAATCTAATCTTACGAATCGTTTTCCTCAATCAATCATCCCACATCGCTAGTCACTTTACGGGCACTTTATCGCTCGAACTTTTGGTAACTGAGACTGGCTCGAGGAAACGTGTAGAAGAAGCGCCTGAAAAGAAAGTCTCGGACCTCGGACCGACACGTCCGTCTCGACTCATGATCATGGCTGGGCTGGGACTTCCAAATATCGCTCATTCGACTACCGCCTAGCATTAAACACGTCCCATGATTTATGACTGCTTCGACCTTGCATCACTCAACAATTCTCTTGACGCAATTCGCTCAATGGGCTCGAACATATCCGGATGATCGTGAATTTTATACATACATCCTAGACCTCTAGGACCCGTCCGCTACATCCTTGTTGACCTACGTCACAAATGGAAATTTTCCACTGCCTAGTCACAAGATGCCTCTAAGCTTAGCTCAACCACTCCATCCCTTCATTCATAGAGGAGGACCAGGACTGGGAATCCTCTAGTATGACTTTGATATTCAAATTTGTTCTCATCATCCAAACCCTGGGTTCCTAACACTACTTGGAGACTTATCACTTGAGTGAGGTATGCAACCGCCTAATGAACCTCATAATTTACAACAAACACATATTCGAGCTCTTCGCACCAGTTCGCACCTCCCTTTTGTAAACAACTCAATCCAGTAACCTGTAAGTATGTAAATAACAATATAGTATCTATGATATATTCTAAGCAAAAAAGAAAAACTTGGAAGACATCTCCAAGATCTATTCTATCTAGAACTCACCCATACTGTATAGTATACACATCAAAAGATTTGTACCCAAAAATCCAATAAAAAATTATCCTTTGTCACATCAAATGGCAAGTTCCATCTCTTGGATTGAACTTATGATACCTCGAAAATGAAAGTCCTACCCCCAGTGATTGTGGTTGAATGACTAGCAAGTAGCTCCAGGTTGAGATGATCTGCTGTGAATAGACAACTTGGCCAATGCAATTACACCCGGTAGGTCAACGCGGGAGTTCATCACATCTAAAGCTTCAACCCAAGATTTCTTCCCCTCTCGGGCAGTCCAATACGCAGCAATCTTTCCAAGAAGTGTACGGCGAGCGACTGCGTTTAGAAATGATTTGCTGGATACAATGACCATTCCAAGACGACAACGAGTGAGCATGACGTTCATTCGTTGTGGGGAACGCAAGAACCCTACGTGGGCAGCGCGGACGACAGAAATAAGAACGTAGTCGGCCTCGTTTCCTTATCACGATTTATTAGGATTTGTTGCAATTTTGAAAGAAGAAAAGGGAGTCGGCTCACCTTGAAAACTATCCACATTAAACACCTTCTCCCAAGGGAGATTTTCGACCTTCAAACGACTCTCGATCGCAACCCGCTGTGAGTCGTATGGAGTGATGATACAAAAATCTGTCTTTTGATAATAATTTCGAACGAGATTCACGATGCAGTCAATTTCGGCCTCATTCTGCGAGAAACCGACCTTATAATCCATAATGAAGAACACAATGGCCCATGGGATAGCTCACCATCCAACTGGACCCCTTTTTCTTCTCCACTCCGCGGGGTGTATTCACAAACCGCACGGAGTTGTGACTGGTGGTTTTATGACGAGATTTCAATCGCCCTTCATAAACTTTCTGTGAAATGAAGTTTCCTAAGGGTACTGGCATACGATCTATGTAGAAGACATCATTCACGTCAGAATATGAAAGACCCAATCATATCAAGCCTTACACTGGGTATCAAGGAAGTAGTTACTTGGTTTCAAGTGTTCAATATCAAAAATACTCTGGAGTGTTTTTGCCTCCTCTTGACCAAATGGCGGTACTACGGACAAGACAAAAGCAAAAGACATATATATAAGTAGAAGGTGCTACGAGAATTAGAGATGGAAGACAAACTAACATTGTTTCGGATCTCCAAAAAATGACACTTTCACCAGAGATTTCCTGAATTTATGAAATATATGCTACAGAGGCGTGGAGATTGATCTAATTAGCCACAAAAATCAACAACGACCAATGTAAAATGCACCATATATTCAAACACATTGATCTGAGATGCTTCATCAACGACAAGCCGTTCAAACGGTACAACGTTAAAGAGACCATTCTGTTCGAGAGCGGGATTCGATAAGAGACCAAGGGTCGAGAGGATCACCGTAGAGCTGCCAATTAAACGGCTCATCCCGAGGGTGTTATCTGGTAGTTCGTCTGTGCGGATTAATTTTTCCGATATTTGTTCGTAGATGTGTTCATGCCTACGATTGAAGCAGTGTCAATGGTATATGGTGACTAGCTGATAAATAGTGAGACGTACCATTCGAGGTAAAATTCCTTTGAGACTATCAACTTGAAATCAACTTTTTTTTTCAACAACTTTTCGGCGATATTTTTCACTGAGACATTCGAATGACCAACGATCCATACGGGAAGAGAATCCATTTTGGACCATATCTCGGCAGCGGAGGCTATCGTCGTGGTTTTACCTGTACCAGGTGGGCCTATACGTGTGAAAAGAAATATGAATATGTAAGTAATAATAACCGGAAGGTAGAGTGAAGAGGTGATAAATGATCTAAAACTCACCATGTACAACGACGATCGGATCCTGAGAAGTCATCGCTTTCACCACCTCTGCTTGTGAACCATTGAGATCTTTCAAATATGCTTTTAACGATTTGAGGCATCTGGTGGACTTGGGTGACGGGCGTATAGAATCCTCGTCTTCCTTTGTTAGAAACCACAAAAACCGAACAAAATCTGCATCAAGAAGGTTTTCCTCGTCTTGCAGAGCCCTCAAAAGAAGTGCATCCCGAGCTTTTTCAGCAGGAGCAGGCTCGTCCAGGCCAACGATGCAAATTGACGACACGGTGGTTGGAATTCCCCGGGAAAAGGAGATTTCTGTGGTTTTCCCGTGAGCACGAATAGCTCGACCTCGGTGAATCTTTCCGCTGTCGCTCACTACCTCGACATATGACTATAGGTGGGGTGAGGTAGTTCGTTAGGAAATTACTATTATTGACCAGGAGTTGTGATAGATAGTGGAGTACCTGTGTGCTGACTCGCACCCGAGTCTTGTAGCGCGCATTTTGCAACTCCATGTTCTGTTTCTTACCAGATTTATAGGCAGCGTGTTCGTTTTTGGTCACTCTTGGAACAGCTCGGGCTAAGACATCGGTCTGTCGGAGTAGACTACCCAGACGCAAGAGTACCTGCAAACACACAGACATGAATGTGGTGCAAGATACAAGAATCACCTTGCACACGTACAGCTTTTTTGAGGTGACGGGTATCGACTCTCCGTGCGCTCTCGATGGTTTGTCTAGCCGCGACTGACCTTGCAACTCTGAAGGAACGGAAATTTTAGACCTTACGGCCAGACATCGTATCCACGACGCAAACTCACTTCGCAGAAATCCATGCCCTCAAGCACAACTTTTCCACGGAACTTTCATCTTGATCATTCTCATGCCAAAGCCGATCGACGCCGAAAGTATCCTTGACATTGCAAAGCTTTTGTACAACCTTTGAAGGGTGCCATGTCGAAGTACTAGAAGAAAAAAGCGTAGATAGGTCTACACCTCGAACGTGATGTCCTAGATGATGACGGAGTCTGAGAGCGATCCGAGGCATATCAAACCCTGCTAAAACTGTTGTGGTAGATTCCAGGAAGTTCCTGAAACTCCTGTCTACAGTGGCATTTCCTCGTACATCTCTATCGGCGTCAACGAGGTACACAGCTGTATCTGTGGCGAACGCTATGTGGGCGATTGTACCGTTGTCCAACTGTGAAATAGATATTCCGAAAGCTTTCGATTGAAGGTCAGACTCGCCGGTGTCGTTGGAGATAGTAGAGGCTTCCTTCAGAGCTCTAGTGGCATGTCCAGCTATTCGACGTGGATATTGATGGACCGCCAACGTGGAAGGTGGGAGTGGAAGAACGGTTTGGTGAATGCTTTTCATTTGATGGTCGGAAGGCCAAGGAGAGATCTAAAAAACGACAGCTAAGAAGAGCAGCGCAGAGCAGCGAGAAAGACCGCCAGCACCGTGTCTTATCGGTGCTAATTCTAAGCTTAACTTACAAAGGCAATTGAGGACGTGGCAAGAACTTTCCGTCCACACCTTTCTATCCTTTTCTAGCCTAATTCATTGGCGCTGATACTTTGAGGTAAACCTTTCGTTCTCCCGTTAAAGATTATTATTCCAACCTTCGATATGCAGGAAGGTCTAGATCAAGCTTCACACGCGAAACCAGAGAGGATCTTGCTGTTGCTAAGTGCAAGTAAGAAAATTAGAGCATTCCTGATAGTAAAAAGTACGGAGTACAACATCAATAATTTATCAGCCTTTCCACAGTATGCGAGAAAAGTGGGATGAGGATAGACAGCAGAGTAAAGCAAAAAGGAGGGTCAGAAAGTGTTCGCAGGGTATTGAGATACACAAAAACAAAGCGATCGGACAGAGAGTAAATGAAGGTAATAAGATAGGATAGGATTATAATGAAATCAGAGGGAACTATTCATGGGCTCAAAAGGGTGATATCGGACGAATCAGAAGAGCTAACGTACGGGGAGCGGTGGCCATCTATAATCTTTTCGTACCAGAAAGGGTCTGAATTTCCGTTACCGAGAGACGTCTGCTCAAACACCTTTCGAATTTCTGAAGGATCGTGATCTGGAAGCTGGCTACAAGCTCGATGCCATCGGAGCGTATCGCCAAAACTACACTTCAAGTGTTTCGATGTAGCCGAGCAAAACTCGCACCGAGCGCGGTCAAAGATCCATACACATTTTATGTTTCTCTTGGTGCAAGCGATGCACGATGGCTGCGATGTAACCAGTAATCGTGAGTTCAAATGGATAGTTGATTGAAGAGTACGCGCATACCAATGTTTGTGAAATTTCCCGCACATAGGCCTCATTTGCGAGAAGATTTGTGCTTCCATTGAAATGAACATTCAAAGTCTGAACAATGTCGCCGCTGTGAGTTCTCTCGTATTGTTTGAAGTTGGAGATCTGTTGAGCTTCTTTGGATAGGCCTCGGAAATTAAATGGAAGTAGCGGGTGCTGGGCCGGTACAGAAGGCACTGGAACCCCGGGGTTCGTTGGCAATGCGGCACGCACGGTGGAATCTAGAATAGGATCAGATGTATAGATGATTCAGAGAGTGTATAGGAAAGCGTACCATCTGGTCGTGAGCGTTTGTTGAAATCTCCGTGCAAAAAAGCTTCCGCCTTTCGCTTTTGTTGTTGTGCATCTGTCCCTGCCTGCGGGGCTCTGTTAACAATCGAAGTAGTACCTGGGATTGCGCTTCGAGGTTTAGCTAGGTTTGAGAACAATGGTCCGGTACGACGCATGGTGTCAATTGATGAAGATGTCCGGTTGGCTGGGTTGTGCGCGGTTGAGTTAGAAGAGCTAGATGGACCAGGTGCGCCGACCGAAGCTGCTTGGAGAATTTCGTCCTCTGAGTCCGAATCTTCGGAATAATTGAATGGAAGATCTTCAATGTTCGTATTACAAACATCACGAAGACGGGTATAAACATCAACTCTCCTACGTTCTGCGACAAGGAGGTCTTCTTTTCTTTGCTTCTCAGCAGCCTGTGCGCGCACCATGGCCGCCTTTTTCCATCGGGGATGAACCCAATCGCCTTCCCAGTCAGCTTCTGCTCGAGCAAGAACGAATGCATCGCCTGCTTGGAGAGAATCTTCTGCGAGTTTTCGAAGTTGATCAGAAAGGTCGTTTAGTTGGCCTTCGTCGCGCAGGATTCTAATAATCTCCTTGTGTCGGAACTGAGAAGGATGATTAAGGTAAGTCTTATCGCAACAAGATAAAGTTATTGCGAACGCACCCTATAACCGGCATAGTCCTTGGCCCATTGCACGAGCGGTATTAGTTTCGCGTCTACCAGTTTCAGTTTTTCAGCTCCAGTATGTTGTACGAGATCAACGATGGTCTTGATAACTGTGTCAGTGGCCTGAGTGATCTCCGTTGAAGGTGCTGAACGGGCAGACATTCTTATCCATGTACAAGGTTCAGCGCTTGCCCTCAATTTAGTTTTGACTCATGTTGCGTGATTTTGACAGCATCTCAAAGTTCTGTAATTCAACGTCCGTCAACGATAGCAACGGCAGATGATCACCCCCCCCGAGCCTCCCCGAACGCACCCCAGAATTTAGTTGCCTGCGCTACCCTTGCAATAACAACATGCTGAAACATCCCGGAACCTAGCCTACTGGTACGTCTGTTAGCATTCACTAAGAGATATTTTTTCATATGCCAGTGGCTCAGCTGCGACATAACAATGAATAACTTTCGTTTTGGATTTGATTCATTGCCTAATGAACTGTACGGTCAACTAAACTCCCAAGATACCGGTCAATGCTGTTGCTTTTCCAAACGTGCATATTCAATATTCCGTTCAACTTCACAAGAAAGCCATGAGTCCTACGTTATTCACTCTAGCTTCTTCCGAAAAATCGCCACTTTCTCTTGTTGGCTCTCATCCAGCTGCCTTTGTCAGATCTTTGAAGATTTCGATGATGTCCCGTACAGGATTGGGTCTACACAGGACAAACGAGGTATCCAGGCAACAGACGAGCGGAAAAATGGACTGGCGCCTACGGAGCGAGCTACGTTCCGCTCACTCGTTGTAGCTGCTGTCAGAAATATTGCCATTCACGCACCTCATGATGCAGTCAAGCATGCTTAGTCTCTCGTTCCGAAACGTTAAATTTTCCGCATTTTCATCGCTCGAGAGTACTGTCCTCGACTGCGCTTTCCACACGAGTACTTTCCGGAAAAGCCTAGCTTTATTTGTGGCTACCATCTCCGTTGTATATTGCATTCACATTCATGAATTACGTGGTCCCTCGCTGAAACTCTTGGATACAACGATTTCGCCGTCCGGATCGTCGAGTTCTCACTGGGAAAGTTTGTGAGACTTTTTGCTTTTTTGAACCTCACAACAGACTCCAGCATATCTATCCTTTTGAGCCTACTTTCGTGGCAAAGGTCCTTCAGCAAAACCAGAAATTATACCCGAATGCCAGAATATCCAACGACTCAAGGACATCTCGAGAGAATGGGAGAAACCGAATATATCTATAAGACCCGGCATTCACGTTTACTTCCCTCAGAGAACTCCGCTGCTTTATCAACTTCAAGATCGAGACCCGGCCGCCAATGCAGCCACTGTATCTACGACACCCCAACCTGCAGGCGTTTGAATGTTTCGGCGAACCGCTAGGTGCTCAACATCCCGGCGAACCTTCCAACCCGAATCTCCTCCCCAAACTCACTGTGCTTGTTGCTCTATTATGTGACTGCCTGTTAATGCGTGCTTTTGGATCATGTCCAATTGAGCGTCTCTCGATCATTTTAGAAGATAGCCCCCGCTTAGAGGAAATACAATACTTACACCAGCTTTTGGAGAGTATGCATACTCTTTGACGGTTGCGTATTGGTCGGTGACGTGGGAGACATACAAAGAGGGCAAATTCATGACAATCCCTCTGCGGTATCTGCATTCAATTGAACCGTACCGAATTCAGAACTTCATGGCATGCTCCAGTGTCTTTGTATATGTTGATGAGTATAGCTGCTTACTGTCTGGAGAGCTTTACTCAAAAGAATAGAATGCTCACAGGTCCTGTAAGAAACCCGTGACAACATGATAGCGAACCTTCATAAACGGGAGCTTTAAACCCATGTATAACCACAGCTTCCGAGGACCACTTAACTATCGCCAATAATGTAGTACTTTGTATTCGTACAAACGTTGATAGTCACCAGTAGTATATGCTCTGTTCAATGTTGGGATTACACTATCATCCGCTGTCGATTATTCTTATTGTATATATGTACAAAGTTTTAGCCTTTGAGGTCCTTCAGAAATCATACTCCTAGGATATTCATTCCCTATTTCCAAGACAATTTTCGCTCCGAGCTCGGTGCATTCAATGAGCGCCGCCTTCCCCTGTGCTCTTGAGAGGAGCGCACATCTTTCGGTCCATTCTCCGCCTTCGCCTGCTTCTGAGGTATATAACGAGGGTGCACTGTTACCGCCGGGCATCCCTTCATTTTCTTCAAATCCGCTCCAGCCTCACGTGGTCCACGTCCCAGAATTCTCGACGGCACTCTAGAGAACAGTCGGTTGGCGGTGGGCACAGTTATCGTGGGAGAGGAAGAGCCTGACGAAGTAGACCGCTTCAACGAACTAGATATTGTGGCCAGCGTGACGTCAGGTCCACCTCGACGATGGAGGCTAATCGTTCGACGAATGCTACCTCGCTTCGCCGCGGCGGGTTTTGATGTGGTTGGCTTACTGACAGAGTTCTCGTTAGAACAACCCTCAGGTCGCTTGCTCGAGGAAACACTGCTAAACCCAGTTACTTGAGAGCGACTATGCCTCCGGAGAGAAGGCGATGTAGAAGATGGACACGGAAATAATGATGAAGACGAAGTTCGATTTCGAGGCGTCGAGGAGAGAGAGAGACAAGGGATATTGCCCTTAGAGTTGGATATGGTCTCCGAAGGCAATTTCAGCGTAGAATCATATTCTTTTTCGCCATTTTTCCCTTCGAAGCAGGGGGCAGTTGGGAAATCAAAGGCTTCACTATACCCAGACTGACATCCCCCTCCATAACTCCCTTGAACTTCGAGGGGAGTAATGGCTCCATTGCTAACATCTGCAGCGTCAAACGCAGTTTCCTTCAGGAACGTCTGTGAAATTTCATTATCGTAGCAAAACACCCTTGCGCAGCCAGATAGTGAAGTGTGTGCAAAACCCAGACCGAAACCTAAGCCAATGCCGCGACCTGGTGTTGGCGGATTATATTCTGAGTTTGAGGAGATCGTCGAAGTGTTGAGGTCGGGATTCGATGAACTTGCAAAAGTGAACGAGGAGTCGGTCAGGTCTGGAAGTTCAGAGTTATCGTCGGGAATAGATGTATCGACACCATCAGGAAGCAACCATCCAGTGAAATCAGAGTTGAAATGTAACGGAGGCGGCGAGGACAGGGTGACCGGTGAGGCCTTCGATGCAAGTCCCCGTACAGCGAGGCTGGGCGATGCGAATCCAAAAACAGGCGTTGGCGAGTATGGTCGACTGGATGAGTCTATCATTGAAGAAGAAAGCCTCCGTAGCGAGTTGGATGGCTCTGGTAGTACAAAGGCCATGGCAGGAGATTTAGTGGTGATGGTCACTTTCGCGGGACTCTGCAAACAGCGTGGCATTTCAGACTGATAATATAGTATTCACAGAGACGACATACCTTTGTCGGACGTGAGCCCGGTGTATACTCCAGGTTATTACTCTTCCTACAAAAGACTACCTCGGCCTTTTCCGGGTCCCAGTTCCAATATCCTGCCTCGATTCCGATACCCCCAGACAGAGAGCTACGGGAGAGTGAAGAAGAGGCACAGTCCTGTATCTGAGCTTTGAGACCAGGAGGGGTAGAGAGAGGCCGGGGAAATCTTGTGTTAGAAGACCACGGCATTGGTGAGCGATGCTCCCGTCCGCGATCTGAAGAAACCGACCGGCCTGGGCGAGTGATGTTGAGAGTATGGTTTGACATGATTGACATTTTTCTCGAGAATGAGTTGACCAAGACCAATGTGGTAGCTTATGGTCCAAGATAAGGGTGAAGACTACAAAGTTGTGATACAGTGTCGGCCTAAGAAATTCAGTTAGGAGGCAGAAAAAGGCAGTTTAAGCATCTCGCCGAGCTCAAGAAATTTACCAGAAAATGGTTGATAGGGAGGTGCAGAAAAAGAGTGTGTTAATACAATGTTGATACAGATGAGCGACGTAGGATCATGGATGCTTGAGATTCGAAGGTCACGATTCTTAAAAGACTCGTCACACCACGTGGAAGTGACCTATCGTGAAAGATCAAAATAAACGAGTGGATGAGTTCAGAAATCCTTCATTTGTATGTATCATATGAGCATAGTGCACGGACGGTACGAGCTGAGTTTTCATTAATCAATCTCTTAGCCTACTCAAAACTGCTCAAGTATCATACTAGCTCAGCTGAGGCTCAGCAATTGTTTTTCAAACTTCTTGAACAGATCTCTGAATGGCCGGGTCTCAATCTTCCAAAGCTCAATCCCGATCCTCTTTACGACTCTCTTCAGGATGATCTAAGTGAACTAGATATTCTTCCCAATCCTTCAATGTTCAATATGTCTCTTCCGGATTCCATATCATTGTGCTCTTCTGGTTTGCGTACGATTGAGTGCATCACGATCTTTTCTAGGATAGGTGTGCACCAAACTTGAATGAGCAGGAGCAGGTCAAGTAGATTTTGAAGAACACTAAAAGCTTGCGTCGCCTGTGCCTCTACTATGACATTTACAATCCGAAGTTGAGTCCTCCGGAATTGACATTGGCGATTTACAACTATTATGTCTGCGTGTCCTCAGTTGACTGCATCCTGAAATGTGGATCAGATGAACGTTTTGTATGTGCAACACTCTGAATTTCCTTTCACTCGTTGAGCTCTAATACCTTTGTACTAAGTATTCTTGCGGATTATTCAAGGTGCATGTCATGTTATGCCAGGTCTTAAAGCCGTGGAAGCACTGGCGGCATTATGTGTACCACACTACGACCAGGTGTTCAAAAGTCATTGTCGTTTTCTCAGAATGGGAGAAAACTTGTTTCTAGCTCAACACGATGAAGAGGTTCAGATGTGGGATCAGATGGGCCGCCATCATGGACCCTGACAGAGAGGGTGAACTCAAAGGTCGGGATATACCTAGTCCGGGAGGGCTATCAGGTTCTCATATAATTTTGCCATAACATCAGTTATGAGTGGTGAGTCTGCACGTCTCAGGTAGCTTACTGCAAAAATTAGTGTCGTACTTAGAAACATGCGACAAAAAGTGGTGGCTCTGTCCTTACCCAACATTATTCAGTAAAGATAATTCGGAATAAAAACACCGTGCACATACTGCTTTGCGGAAACTTCGGGACGTGCGTGCGCACGAGGCTACATACCGTGAAATTCACCCAAATTGTTTGAAATTTTACTATGTACATGGGTGAACTCGAGGCTTATTCAGGGGATCAGACATATTTGTTATGGGGTGATCATGAAATAAACGAGAGTTTTTGTGAAATTATTGAAGATAGCCTAGGTAGTTCAAAGATAGGAAGTTTATTATAAACAATGAGGGGATAGATAAACCATGTAACTGGATACAGTAACAATTTAAAGAGAAATGGAAGAGCTGCGAGGGGCTGCCATCAATCTAAGTTGTGATGAAAGGGAGCCATGATTCATTGATCAGCATGATACATTTCTCCCCTCTTAGTCCTTTTTAGTTCCAAGGAGACAGTAAGTATCAGAAGGGACCCTTTACACATACCACCGAAATGTCGAATCAATTGTGATTCGAGGAAACGAAAACTGTATCCAGACTGTATCCGGGTGCATTGAGTTTCCCGCGCGCGCGAAGAAGCTATCAGTGAGATCTGTGAACGGGAACGGGTAATTAGAGCTGATTTGTGAGGAGGATCGGTCTGAATCTTGAGCTGGAGTCTTGATAACGTCTCGAAACTACTGGTGATTTCAGCAAAAAACAACAACGCCGCTGAAAAAATTTTACAAAGAGTCTACACACAAGGAGGATAGATTGTGACAAGCTTTGTTCCTATCAACAGGGAGCGAAAGATATGTTCAAATCGTGTGATATCCAGGTGTAGAAGTACTAACCCACAAGTTACTTACCAAGGATCATCATCCGATCAGAAAGGTTTTTGGAAGTTAGTGTCTGAACTTGACGAAGCATGTTGCTAGAGAGGAAGAATAATAGTAAGTATATATGCGGGTAATTAGCGGAGATGTTCTATATGTATCAGAACCCCACCAGGCATGATGGATGCTAAGCTAGTATTTATGGTACTCAACTGAACACGACCGGAAGTTGACAATGGGTAAATACGCTGCAAGGCTGAAAAAATCAGTTTGAAAAATTTGAATTCCTTACAAGTGGGGATTATCATGATACTCAACGGTCATTAGGCGGATGAGTTCTAGGTTATATCACCATATCTGTGTAGAACCACCAAATCTTCCCATTATATCCATCATGTTTAACGCTAAATACGAGTAACGCTAGAGATATGTCAAAATTGGATTAGAACAATAACATCATTGGGGCCCCGTACTTAGCTGACTTGGCTGAAAGTGCGCGCAAACACAATCAATATTGCAATTACCACCATTACCACCAGATTATCAGTGATTATCTCTATTAAGCTGTGACAGATGTACGGGTGAATTTCTTTTCTTCGGTTTTATGGATTTTCGAAAGCGGTATCGCACAAAACCTACTCAAAAGCAAATCAAAAGCAAATCAAGATCGCGATAGACCATTCACTTCGGAGATTGCGTCAATAAGACCTGAAATGGTATTATAAGCACAACTTACTCCGCCGGATTGATGCAGCACACTGACAACACGCCCATTTGGAAGGAATATTTGAGAAAATGCCATTTGATAACCGTACTATCCACCTGTTCCTCAATGGGACCGTGTCGGTTTTCCTTTCCTTTCCACAGGAAAACCATCGGATATCTTGCAGAGATATAGTGAAATTCTAAATCCCGATTCTCGGTTTCTCAGCACGATAGTGATTCAAGAAGCAAGCACTGACAACGAATGAGAACCTTTGCGAAAATTCTGAGATATATGCCTTGGAGGCACATAAGTACTAGTCCAAGTGGCCGGCTTTTTGAAACCACCTCCAGCTGTCAAGTCCCAACAATCTGACGACGACTGCGCTGTTACACTTATCGAAAGAAATAATATACCGCATTCACCTTGTCAAATGATATCTGGACCTATGTGATCTTAATCGCACCCGAATCTTCTGTATGACCATGGTTACATTCACAGGCCGACGGTGAGTGTAAGGACATACAAGATTGCAAGAGAAAAAAGCAGACTTATTCTTGGGCGATGTGTACGAGTATGTGAATAAGAGGGTGAAGATTTAAGATCACATGCTTTTGTGAAACCAACCTTGAACCAGCGTATCCATTTCTCAACTATCTAGAACATCGCGTTTGCCAATGTCATAGTCTTGCAGCCCGCAATTTTTGAAAATTGAAGAAACGCACCAGAGTAAGAAGCCTTAACGATTGCAAATTACGCCCTTGCTGTCGAGTTTAAACGAAGACCCACTATTTTCTTCATTTTTATCGTCCGAAGTGCCTGTATCGATCCGGCGAACCCTCTCCTACCCTCTCTCATGAACCGCCTGCTCCCGTTGTCGAACTGCGGAACGGATGCCTAATTGCAGTCGTGTTTCATCTGATTCTCGCCTAAGTGTGGTAGAAAGGCTTCTCACCCACTTCAAAAGTAGGACGATTCTTCCAACTGCGGTGTCGTGAAAGTCATAACCACCATCTGAACCTTTGTGGCCTCTCGAGGCCTCATTATCACCTTGTTCATTTCTTTGTTTGAAAATTACATCTCCCAGATCTTTGCAGAGAATGTCAAGCAAGGAGGAAACTACCTCCCGGATTCTAATGGGTTCCATCCAAGAGAGAATTGTCAATATATGTGAGCCCTAACCCACTGACAATTACTTGCTCTAATATCAAGCACTGCAGTCTTCCTTCCGCCGAACCAATGAACTGTTGGGGAATCTTTTTCTCTCAAGCCCATCTTACATCTCATCTTTACCCATGCCCCCTCGACTCTTACGTGCCATACCGCGCATGGAACCAGTGGTTAATGTAGAACTCTGATGTTTTTGATGGCTTTACAAACCCCTCTTTTCCGTCCTTTGACAAATTTCTACGGTGCTTTCATACTTTTCCCCGTTGGATATACACACGCTGTCAGTATTCATGTGCTCTCATGCTATCCTTTCTATTAACTGGTTTCCAGTGCTTCCAGGTCCCTCTTCTGCTTGGACTTAACTGCAATTTGGTTGACAAATTGAATTTTTTCGCATCTTGCTTTTCTTGTGCATGTAAAGTGGCCAGCTTCCTCTTGCGAGTGCTTATTGCTAAGGACAAGCGGGATCCCGTCCGGTAGGTAGAATTTTGCGTTCCGTCGGTGCGTTCTGCGTTCACGTTCGCATTTCGTGCGTTCATATGCGTTCATATAATTATTATATTATGTACAATAATATGATTTTGAGTGTTCATGTGAGGCCCCGGCACAGAAGGCCTGCTCTGGTCTTACCCAGACTGGGCCTAAGTGAACGCAGTAGCTGCCTAGGCCGTATGAGGAGGTATGGGATAGTGCCGATACTGGTGAGGGGAGCCTAACCAGGGGTAGTTGTGGAGCTTGGGTAGACCTAATAGAGGGTCCTGGAGGTGTGGAACGTAACGCATAACCACCACTTCAATGTGGAGGGGAGGTGTAGCCGATACGAGTGGGAAGCTGTGGGGAGCTTAGGGAGCAATGAAGCGGAATTGGGAACCTAATGGGAGGTTCCAAAGGATGAAGGACGAATTGTAGAGCCTCGATGTAGATGGTGAGTCGAAGTAGAGGCGTAGACAATATGAGGATTGACAGAAAGAGGCCAGAGATAGGAAACAGAGAGGAGAAACAGAGTTGAGGTGAGACAGAGATAAAGGAAACAGATAATGAGGAAATATATGACTGTTGAGACGTGTCAGGCCCTGTTAGCAAGTACTAGTAGACTGTACTAAAGGGACCAAGCCAGGTAGGAAGAGTTTCCAGGTAAGATTTGACAATAACACGCTGGGGAGCTCCGAGGGGAGTCCCCAGCCTATATACTGTACATGAGGCTGTCAGGTACATATGTCATGTGGCTACTGGAGTGACAGGTAATATGTACAGTAAAGATCGTAAGGATGGTGCATAGAATATCAGAAACATGTATAAGTGATGAACCGGAGCTCTGGAAAGGAAAGGGAAAGGTCCGGAGAAGCAAGGCATGACAGTTCAATTATTAACTACTTCAATTGTACTATACTTAATGTATGCATAGACTGTACAATATGGAATGAATAGTGGAACAATAGTTACATTTGAGTCAAAACATTGAAATTTAACAATATTTATGTAAACTCGGAACGCAATCAATTTATGAACGCGAATTTGATAAATTGATGTTGCGTCCATATGCGTTCAGGTGCGTTCACCTTATATGCGTTCATTTTTAATCTTGGCGTTCCATGCGTTCAGGTGCGTTCCGGATGCGTTCTGGCTCCACTCAAGATTGGATTGCAATTTTTGAGTCTTCAGTTATATATTTGAATATCAATGACTGCATTAATGTTTGTTGACCAGGTCCTCAGTGTGATTACACTCTGAGAGGAACTGGCTGCATCTTATTGATAAAGCTTACTGTTCTGATATTTTTAGCCCTGTCATTGCACTATTACTGTCAGATACTAGTCTTCAAAATGTCATATTCTGTTCCTCTAAGCGGCTTTATTATCTATTTTTATGCATGATTTATGAGTCCTGTTATAGAGTACAGCATCACCACCATGGATTGGTATGCATCTGCATATGTTAAGTTAAGTGAGAGTCTCAATTGGCTGTGAAGCAACCCTGTTGTAGGTACCTTCTAAGTGGGGGTCTATGCTATGTTGATACTATGAGCTCACAGTGAGTTTTATTATATCTAGCTCACCTCAGTTGGCTGTAAAGAAGCTGAGGGACTTGAAGACACTGCTGGCATGATCTAACTACAACTGTATAGTACCTACTCATAACACTGTCCACAGAAAAGGAAATGTCCAAGTTCTTTGAATGTATGGAGCACCTTCCTTAACAGCATAATCAAGGAAAAATAAAAGGCTTATCATTCTCAATTATTAACAGCCTTCAGAGGTGTCAGTGTAAGTTAAACTACTTAAGTCAGTATGGTGTTTGTAAGTAGTGGTCGTAGACGGGCTCACCTCAGTTGGTATTGGAACAACTGAGAGAGTTGATGTTGTCCCATGTACTCTATATACCTACTGTACAGTATCATGTAATAACACTGTTCACTGGCTAACTCTGTTAAGATCATGTACACCGTGTAACCATGCCAGAGGCCACAAGGTGTCTAAGTGCGGGAGGTCAAGTGGGACAGTAGTGAAGCTATTAGCAACACCGCCGTTACGCCGTTAGTCCCCGGAGATCGAAAGTATAGAAGTGAGGAGCTGAGTAGCAGCCAAGTCGGAACGGCGGTATCGCCGGTGATGAGGAGCGAACCAAAGAACATTTAAGCCCTAAGGTAGAGTAGAGAGTACTTCAAGGCGATGAGCCTGAAGACTTAGAGGAGCACAGAGTTAAGGAGGGAATCTAAGTTGATAATTAGACTGAGGAACTACCGTAGCGTACAGGCAGTATTTATATCTACGGAGCGGCGCATCGGTGCGGAGTGCCAGACTAACTACTAGGAGCTATACAAGTAGTACCTGCAGGGTAGAGTAAAAGACAATAAGGAGGGACTAGAACGAAAGGGTATGTGTAGCGAGAAAGAACAATAAGAGTGAGATTACAATAAACAGTGGATCTTCGGAATACTGAGCGGCGGAGTGGGGCCCCGAGGCATGGACTTGACAAACTCTTCCTTACATGTACTTGTACAGAGTATACCTCAATGAGGAGAGATCAAGTCTCAAAATCTACACCAGATACTGCATCCTGCATTTAATTAAAAATCACTGCATGTCTTCCTTGATCCTGCTTATCCATTGCATGGAGGTAGAGCAGGCTGGAGCTTGAAGGGAGCTATAGGAGCTGCAACTGAGGACTGGATGACCTAATGCAAGTGATGGGGAGAAGTGTCATCCACATTTATATAGGTGGACAACTTTGTACCCTCCACACAATACCCAGACATTGTACTCATCAAAGGATGAACCCAAAGGAGACAACAGGGTGAGAAATATACTATCATGAGCACCTATGGGGGTGATGTATGTGGTAGATCAGCTATGAGGGAAGGAGGAGACAGAGCAGTGGCTGATACATCCTCAACACACTTAATTACTTGATCATGTATTGTGCGCAAATGCTGGGAAAGACTACACCAGGGGATGAGCTTAAATTGTATGTATACATCGACTCGGACCACACAGGATGCCAAGATACCTACTGGTTGACTTCAGTCTATGTATTCTTTATGGTATGAAATGGGACCTAATCCATTACATGAATCATATTCCACCTTGAGTATGATGGGAGGTGAAGGTGCATTTGGAAGATGGGTCAAACAGCTAGGGTTTTCTTGGTGGTATCATGATCAATTCCCTTTGGAGACAATTTTGGATCTGCTTGCCTATGTCATGCCCTGTCCCTAAAACTCCCTTTCTAAACCTCCCAGAACTGCTTCATGAGCACGTCAGTTCCTCTGCTCCTCTTAAAGGACCTCCCATTCTAAGCAGTCCGAGTGAGTCTTTGAGCTCCCTCAACCAATACTAAAGCTCCCCAAATGTCTATCGTTTTGGTGAGCCAACCTCCCCCAAACCTCCTCGAGCTCCCTAAGTGCTCCACGAGCTCAGTGACCTTGATATAGCTAACGTCGAACTACATATCGCTTCTCTGTTACTACCTCCAACGCTTGAGGACATTCGCCTCTACCTCCACTTCCCGGGACCTCCTTCCTGGTCTTACACTCTGTCAGGAGCTCTTACATCTGGAACTCCCTATGTCTATGATCTAACGTGATCCTGTACTGTCAATCCTATCTACTACAACTCATACTACATAGCCCTCCGACGTTTCCTAGCTCCTAGCAACCTCTAGCCCCGTCAATGTCCTAGAGATCTCCCAGGACCTCCTAGGAACCTCTTCGAAGGTCAATCCTCTCCATCCGAACTATTTGTAGGTCATTCCCGTCCTCGGTCGCGGTTCCCGTAGCTCCCTTCGAGCTCCAGCTTGCTTCTAGCATGCTACAACATAAACCTCTCATACCAAATCCATCCTTAAGACCAATTCTAACGTACTCCATATGTCAGATATACTGCTTTGAAATGCCTATTCAAGAGATGGCAGTATTACTTGATAACATTACAGTTCAACTTAGATCACACAAAGTGGCATACTTGAACACCTCAGTTGCTACTACCCTGAGTATGCATAATATACACAGTACTCATTGTAGATTAATCTTACTTCAACAGTACTTGGTCCATGTTTGTGTAGTATAGTTAAGAGAAAAGACTATTTTGTATGTATATTCCAACACAATGTACTAACCCCATGTTTTGAGAAGGTATGTATTGTTGAGGTATACTCTGTACATGGGGAATGGTACATACAGGTTAAGTAGATATGTACAAACATAGAGATGGCATTATTAGTGAACACTGTACAGTTAGATATAGATCATACTGATGGCATGTTTCTGAGTCCCTCAGTTGCTTTACAGACAACTGAGGTGAGCTACATAGTATATTGCAACAAACTAAAGTACTAACACAATATAGTATACTCTTACAGGTACATTATCAATACAGTTGCTTTACAGACAACTGAGTATACTCTTACATGTATGTGATGGTTTTTTAATCATTGGATAGTTAATGGCCTCTGGACATTGGTTGGAAAATAAGAAGTGGAACAAGAGAGAAGTGTCTAAGACTGTGCTAACTAGCAATCTTACAATCTTACCTATGGGAAGCACTATGAGGTACACTAGAGTCCCTCTATCACTTTATACTGCACTAATTTTTGAATGATTTGGTGGAGAATTCATCTCAGGATCATGTTTTTGGGCTCAAATTTGGCTGCAATAATATGGATGTACTTTCCAGAAAAATAGATTAAATATTTGGGAATAGTTTAGTAAATATGATAAATATTCCTCGTGAACGCAGCTATATTGAATGTGAATGCACTTAATTGAATGCAACGAACTTGAATGCAAATCCGTCGGAATGCAGAACGCACCGGCGGAACGCGAAATTATACCGTCCGGATCCCATCAATCCGGGTACCATTGTATCCTATATTACTGCTCACGAACACGTCTTGACAGAGCTTCCTGGAAGCTACTGATTGACTAGGGAGGCTGAATAGTATAAGGGCTTATAAGGGTTGTACATTCTAAATCAGACCATCATCATCATAATGATGGAGAGGAAATTGAGGAATCAGGAGGAATCAGAGCCTGAGGCACGACATCCCAAGCCAACGGCATTGTTTCAGCTGTTCTTACCTATAAATTAGCCCCTCGTATCAAACCTGAGCCCCGCAACCTTCTTTGTTCTAATCCCTCTCAACAGATTTGCCGGTCAGATTTGTCAATATCATTTGGTCCGTGCGTTGTTTGATTTTCTGACCGTTCTAATGATCCCAAACTTGTGGTCATCTTCTCAAGATCTTCCCTGTTCAATCAAAGTACCAGCTCTCTTCATTATCCTCATTTAATCAATTTCGTTTAGTTTGTGTCATCTGTATAGATTTGTAGTCCTGATCCAAGATACATATCATCTTTGGATTCGCAATTGTCGTGGTTCAAACGCTGGTGAGTACTATCTCTTTATGCTCAAGTCTTTAACTATATTGTTCCATCAGCAGTAATGCGATACTCATTATTCCCAAAACGCTTACTTGCTGCTTTGATTTTGCTCTCAACCCTCCTCACTGTTGCCGCATCTCCTATAAGAACCGATACTCTGGCGCAAACGGCGAATATTCAAAAATGTGAGTTGTTGAACTACACTTTCTACGGAAATGCATCCTTACCATTGGAGAATATGTAGCTCAGCCATCGGATTCTCAACTTGTAAAGATTATGCTCATACGTCGCGATAAAGAATCAAGAAGGAACCTGGTTCAAACTTCTCCGGTCACTGAACATGAATACTGGACTTTGATTCTGGATCTGAAGTTGAATTCCATAGAGACGTATTTTGGCTATCGTACTCGGTTTGAGACCAATCAAGAGGGAACCAGGGGTTCTTGGGTCAACGAAGCTAAAATGCATACCAACACAGGCAATATCTTTGTCGTTGTCCGAGAACCTAAGGGAATAATTTTAGGGAGTTTTAGTGCATCACAAGTGGCTAGAAGGAAGATTTACCTCCGGCTAACCAAAGCTCCAGTAAAACCAAACCTATGGTATATTGACCAGATATTGGCAATGCTGGAAACATACTTGCCCAATGAACTGGGAATATCCGTGGATCTGGATCTCACTCCGCATGGGATATGGGTGCCTCTTGTGATGAAGATGGTGAACGCAGGTTGTACTGGAGCACGTAAACTTGTTGTGGGCAATCATGAGGCAAATTTGTCGGGTGGCCCACTGAAACAGTCCTCAAAGCCACAGTTCGGTGTTGGCCCAAGTGTTTAGGAGAAGCTCCCTATGTATGTGAATCTAACTGACGTTGAGTTTGCGAGACTGTTACAAGAAGAGACAAGAAGGCTTAACGATCAAGAAAAGGCAGATAAACATCACTAACAGGTGGTTTGGTTTGGGTTGGAAAATAGGGTGCATTGATATCTCTTTCATTACTCAGTTTTGAGTTGTTCAAGTACTTGTATGTGATGTGAACCAACCTATGTATGTCTGCAGGAGAATCGGATGTTATTGTGAAGCACTCAGACTCAGAGTAGCGGGCTCAGGTTCCCCTCCGTTTTAGGCTATGTTCATTGTTTGAAACCTCCATTAAATTTGCCACTATTAGCCCATGACCGCCAACAGGCCCCCAGAAGCTCCCCCAGAACTTTTAGAGGCCAAAATCAGCCATTCCCTTGTCCAAACATAGTGTAAATTGAAGGTCAATGGGGCTGTCCTTGTTGGGTAAAGCGTAGTTTAGAAGCACTAAAGAAATTTTGAAAATTGTATATTTTGGGTACTTTACACGGCCAATTTTGGAAATTTCAGGGGATAAGTTATTCGAGTGAGCTTGTATGCATAGCTAGATATTCTTATTTGTATATGATAGTTAGTGTCAGTATATATATGAAGGTTTTGCCTGGGGGCAAAGCCCCGCGCGGGTGGGCAACACACCGCTAAGCGGAGACTTTTGAGCCCGGAGTGTCTGAGCTGTGGTAGCTTACCTGTCAGACACTAGAATAAAAGAGAGAATGGGAGGGTGGGATTACGACGAAAGATGGGGTTGTGAGATGTGGTGCGGTGAGTGTCGAGAGTGAGAACGGACAAGCGCCTAATAGCACTCATCGCCACTCCTTATCTTATCCTACATATGATAAGCCAACCTACGGTTGACTTATCTCGGAATTTTTTGAGCTTCACGTGATTAGCTTGTCGGTTATAGCGTATGTACGCCGAAAACATTGCGTAGTTTCCGGCTTGCCCGAACAGAATTCTGGTAGAGCTTCTGAGGGGCCTCCGTCAACTAAGACCCTTTTGTTATGCCCACTGGAATTTCTTCTACGAATTCATCATTAGAAATTTATTATTTCATCATTCGAAAGATAGAACCATCTAATAACACCTCATACGCCCAGTAAATCAAGGTAGTAGCCTTTGCCAAAGGGGGTGGTTTGGCTAAGGCTGTTGTCATAGAGTACCACTATCTACCTCTAGCGGAATAAAAGCTGGATATTTCATATAAACTCAGTAGTACTCTAACTTACATACACACTATATATATGCCATTGTATTCAATTCCCGACCTTGAGAAATTTACCCGACGTACACTTCCCGACGCCCGTACCCTGTGTACTTTCTGAGGCATAATAACACTTGCTACTTAAGGTACTACTTCTTTATCGTGGGCTTTACATATATAAGTCATTGTTCCTACTAGGTAGTATTTGTAGGAGGGAGGACCAGCATTGGAGCTCGACGACGGTGTTCAGAAATGCGGACCGTGAGCGCTTATTTGCTGCCTCGTTGTTGTTGACAGCGAGCTCAAGGCAGAGCAATAGTGCAGACTGCCCTCGGACCTTGCGGGAACAGCTGGTAGTATATCTGAGCACCTCTTTGTTATCTGACTGTATTTAAATCATAGTAGAACGTTAGTCCACAAGCTGATCTTT